TGTAGTCTCGCTACTTGTTGAGGTGCCTGTGCCTCTCAGGCCGAGTGGTTTGACAGCAACTGACACTATTACGCGTCTCACCGTTTTCTGCAACCCCAAAAAAACCAGCTTCCTCTTTTTCAACGCACAACGCTGGACACAGAAGGGCAACGCGCAAGCGCCGTTGGTGCGGGACTTCAGCGGAATTGGCAGGGCTATCAGAATCATCAGAAATATCTCAAAAAAGTTCCGAACCGGCTGAGTTACAGCAGGTTTTGTAATGTTGTTCCAGATTTTTTGTAACAGGAACACACACATTTTGGCTTAGTGGTTAAGACACCTGGCTCTCACCCACGTGGCGTGGGTTCGATTCCTACCTCCCCCAAACATTTTTCTCTTCTTTCTGTGACTGTACCACCTCTCCGGGGCGTTCCGAGCGATCGGGACGATTCCCTTGACATGGTAGCACCACAAGTCCTTCTCGGGACCATACATATACTGCGATACCAACGACCCGGTCCTAGGTACCCCACAAGGGATCAGAGACCCGGGCCGGTACTCCAACTAAAATAAGACCTATCCACTGGTCCATAATACCGATACAGTGGTACATATATCCGAGAGGCTGGTACAGTCAAGGGGAGGTGTAACAGGAACACACACATTTTGGCTTAGTGGTTAAGACACCTGGCTCTCACCCAGTTGGCGTGGGTTCGATTCCTACCTTCCCCAAACATTTTTCTCTTCTTTTTGTGACTGTACGACCTCTCCGGGGCGTTCCGAGCGATCGGGACGATTCCCTTGACATTTTTGGACGCTGTTTTTTGGAGTGCCGTCGTGCAAGGCGCAACGTCCGTACGGTCATGAGGCAGTACACTGCCAGGGACTAGGCTACAAGGAACAAAAAATCATAATGGCTCAAGGTGATCCAGCTCGCCGCAGAGATGATATGGATGTACAAAGTTGCTCAAAACTTATATGTTCTAATACTAAAATTACGCCTCGGGCGTCTTAACGTCCATATTGCGTGCAAACCACGGCATCGTGTCCGTACTAATTTTGATGAACATACCCTGGCAGTTCTGACACATTCCCTCGGGTCCAATAAATGTCTCCGGGCACCTGCACGAGGCTAACGGCGGAAGGGCGGTCGTTGGCGTGATCGGATCCTGCCGTAATTGGGCGAAGCGGAAATCTGAAACTAGTGAATTGGGATGTCCGTATTGAGCTGTACGACTGGGGAACGCCTCAGCGGGAGAGGCAGCAGCATCTCGGAAATCTTGGTCGCTTGCGAGGGTTGCGGTTGTAACGTCAGAGGAAACGTAGACGATATTGGGCCCTTCTGAGAGGGCTGAGAGCAGTGTATTGTAGTGAAGAAAAAAGTAGGAAGCTCTTCGCAGCGGCCGCTCGACTGACAGCTTTATATATGGGCTGCCAGTGGGGCTTGCGTGGCTTTAGTGAGGCTTGGCGCCTTATGTAATGTATCACCGAGAGCTCGGGTGGCCAGCCCGGGTCTCGGATCAAGTAGAAGTAAAGAGATATAATATGAAATACAAGTGAAGATGAGATATCCCCGACACCTCCCTCAGATCCTGAGCAGGGCGCAGAATAAATAAGAGGTGAACTACGAGGGATATGTGAAGAAAGGGAGAGCTCATGTTCATTTTAAAGTGTTGACGCACTTGTTCATTTTATAGTGTTGACGCACTGTATGATGTGTGATGTGTGTGTTTGAGGCAAAGGCGTCCCTAAGCCGACGTCATGTGTGATGTGTGTGTGTAAGGTCGGTTCTTGCGTCGCCGCGCATGATGTGATGTAGTTTATGTTGCTATTGTCAGCGGTGTGATTGATAGTGAGCGGTTCTTGCGGCGTCGCGTGTGTGATGTGATATGAGATGCTCTATGCTGTTCGTCTCCGTATCCACAACGACTGTGGGTGAGCTTTTCGCCATCGTTTGTAGGCAGGCGTGTAGCGAAGTGCGGATTCGGGTTCCCAAGTAGGGTCAGGATAACCGAGCGATTTGACTAGAGGATTTCGTACGGCGCGTCGCTCGTTGATGATATCTTCTACAACTGGTTCAGTGCATGTGTATTAATCTGAGATTAATACACATGCACTGAACCACTGTTAATCTCACTGTATATTAATCGTTAGAAAACATTATGCTTTTTGTGTATTAATCGGTGTATTAGGATATCCTTTCTGTATTAATCGTCATAATTGGATATCCTCTTCTTTCTGTATTAATCGTCAAGCAGGTCTATTCTCTAATCCCCTAACTTTCTAACTCTTCGCCTCCATAGCTATCCTACATATACACAGTAAATACCCAGCGTTTTCCCTACTAAAATCGGACGCCCTTTAAATCCAAGTCTTTAGAAACTCGGACACTTTGAAGTATCGAATTTGTACAAGTCCGAAACTTATCGCCACAAGGCCGAATCGCAGGAAACTATTACATCACGTCTCCTATCGATAGGACTTGTCCATATCGGGCCCGCTCTGTCGCTCCCCCATCTATCCTATTTCTTACCCCGTGCGATTCTTTCATTCTGAGCTTTCTGAGCCGCTTTGGGTCTAACCCCCCTTTTCCCAGTTTTTCCCCTCCATAACTCCTACTACTTCTCAACTTACTTATTCTTCTTCCTACATCTATCCTTCATATATATATTCTATATCTTTTCAAATACTCTCTACATATATTTTGGGTGTCTGGGTTTCGGGTTTAACACTAATATCACTTTTTGTTTTCTAAAAAAACGATACACTTTTTTCAAACATCAAAGTACAACTGAGTTTTTTTGACCATTCTCAGCTACCCAAAATACTCAGATTTACCCCACTCGATTCGATTCCCGTCACTTTCCCTCATGCGCGTATCCGGCTACCTGCGTATCCGTTATAATCGGATCTGATCTTCTGATGCACCTCGCCCGCTCTGATATCGTACATAGGAGGTTCTATCTCTTCACGCACCATCTCAAGATCATACACATATGTCCTCTTGGTCCGATTCGCCGCATGATAGTGTTCGCAACAAGGCTCTTTTCCTCCCTTCGCCTTCTTACCGCATGACTTGCATATATGTAAGAGACTGATCTCGTAGCCCAACTGCTTGAAAGTAGTAAGATCATTCTCATCCCATGTGTACTTGACCTGCGGATGATTGAACTTCATGTAGTTCATGAACATCTTCTTTACATCGTCCAATGTACACCTCAATCGCGCATCACCCTCTAACACACGTTTTCGTACAAAGAAGCACGCCTCTTTGCTTTTGTTCTCATCCGGGCCTGCAGTAAGGAACCGGTGAATATAGTTTGTCGCATTGTTGATGTACTCCTTGTTATCGTGAAAGTATACTGGGCAGAAATCCCAAAAATCGCTACCTTTGCGTGAGGCATATCTCCAGTATGCCGTTAAACTTTTAAAGACGAGGTTGGCTAGTTCATTCGCGATAACAGTTTGTTGTATAGTCGTATCCCTGCTTTCAATGAATTCGTTGAACAAAGTTATAACGAAGCGACGAGCAATCTGACCTTGGTTGTTTGAATATGCAGGAAATCGGTTTCCTGCCCACAACATAGGTGTTGTGAAATTTCCTGAGAACGCGTTCAGGTGTTTGCCGACGACACTTACGTCCTCCCCGCTAATCATACTTTGTAAAAGTGTAGCATCGGGCCCAAGGTGTAGATCCGCCGGAACATCCGGCGCAACGATAATCTGCTTATCATGTAAGTTGTACAACCCGAACTGCTTCTCGATATTCGCCGATAAAGCCCCTATACATTCGCGCGGGAACAACGCTTTTATGATGTTGATAAGGGTTGACTTCCCCGTATGACTCTCACCCAGAAAGAAAAGGTTAACGCTCCAGTTATCGTGCTGCCCGACTTTGAAAAACAATCGGCCGATAAGTGCAAGAATTACATTATAGATCTCGACCCGCTCTTCATGAGCCTTGCTCTGTAACTGATGTAGCAACATATTATCGAGAACAGGGGTATGTCCTTTACCCGTGTAGATCTGTGGTATGAAATGACGAGCCACCTTGTTCTTTGCGAATTTGTCCGTGTAGGCATAGAACTTTACGGTATCCAGCGCTACAATTCCATTCTCGAACGCCAAGATATTCAAATCTTTCTTCAAGATCGGTAATTCCTCATCATCATACAATTTCAGATGCGCCATGATATCGGTGAAGCGCTTTGGCCCCGACTTGAAAAGGGCGCTTTTCTTTAGGACTTTGTTGATGAATTCCTCGTAAGACAAATACGGAACATATGCGCAGGGCTTCTTATCCATCGGCTTATAGATTTGCCCGTCCAATTTCTTCAAGTTCCCCTTTCTGGCCGCTGCCCAGATCTCACGCATCAACGTATAATGAGCGCTCTCCCCCTTCGTCTTTTCACATTCGCCAGGAGCGACAATGACTCTTGTGAAGTGTTTATCGCCTGTGCCTGGACGACAAACGAACAAAAGATTTTTTCCTCTTCTAACTAAAAAGGGGTGGTTGCTGTGATTGGTGTGCTGGCGTTCGCAGATCTTACACTGGAAGTCCTCGGCTTCTTTCAAGATAATCCGCTGGTAATGATCGATATTGACGACAGTATTCAAAGTATTCGGACTGTTTGAAGATCTCAAAGTCATTCTTCGAGATTGTATCGTTCTCGAAAAGTTCTGTGTAGTTTTTCTTTGATACGTCCTTATGATCTTTGAACGCTTGGTTTGTGCACGTTGCGACTATGTTCTCCTTTACCCATGTCGGCATAGTCGAGATCTGAACATCTTGGATCTTATCGGTGGGCTGCCAAACGTACTGACCGTTCTGAGAGATGCTAGGCGGACACATAACAAATCCACCATCACCGCAAATATCAATCGAACAGAGTTTATCATCGATGGACATAACGTTCGAGTTTGTGGTTTTGACAAGGTTGCTAAATTCTTCATCCCACGCGAAATAGTAGTGGATACCACCGCTCGGAGTGGCACATTTAAGAGTTTGGGGTTCGCCTCCATGCTCATCACAGAATGTCTTCCAATCTTCAACGCCGGTGCGCATACGATAAATGCCACCCTCAACTGCCTTTTTCGGGATCTTATTGTCGATATCCAGCACGATAACGCCGGAACGAACGCCGGTAAGAACGCCGATATTACCTTTTACACCTTCGATATATCCGAGTGATTTGTTCCAATCCTTCACACTGTAGGATTTCCAATCACCCAACGGACGCTTTTCAGTGAGATGCGCGGGGATCGGCAAGAACCCTTTTTTCATCAGTTTGTTTTTAGCGCTCTTCATCTGTTCGAGTGTAATTCCTACGTTCATGATAGTATTGTATTGTACCTGGCCGGTCATGTATACAATTCTTAGAGGTTTACTCTTTAAATAGGATTATAATTCTGCGACTTTTGCGTTCATATGGGTTTCGTACCCCATTTCCCAGCTTTTTCTCTCCATCAGTCCTTGTACGTTACATCATCGTCAGTTATTATACTCCATCTTTCCTGTTTATATTTTATACATCTCTTATCAAATATTATCTACATACATTCTGGGTGTCTGGGTTTCGGGAAAAACATAATAAAAAACTCAAATGTTTATTGAAGTTTTTAAAACACACAGTAGAGACAAGGTAAAATGGCGAAATCAGCGTACCCAGAATTCCCAAAATAAAGCTGTATAAGGATAAGAACAACTATACAATATAGAAACAAATGGGATACAACGAGAAATTCTGGAAGGCTCTATTGAACGCATCAAAGTATAACACTCGCGAGGAAGCAATCGCAGAATTTAAAGTGACCGGAGTCCGTCGGCAAGAAGGCTCAAAATGCATCTGTACTCATGTGATAACAGAACAATGCGAGGTCAAATCCGTAGTCAACAACAAGGTGTTGATTATCGGTAATTGTTGCATAAAGCGCTTTTTTTCGGCGGAGGAAGCGGCGAAGGCGGACGATTTGTTCAAGAAACTGGCTCGTAAGACTCGGGATTGCATCAAGTGTAATAAGCGATACCCTAAAGACTATGCGAGAGACATGGATGAGAAGTTATGTAATGACTGCTTCGCCCATTATAAGACTTGTGGTACTTGCGATAAAGGATGGGTTTACTGCGAAAATGAGAGTGAGTTTCGTTGGAAGACCATGTGTACTGATTGCTTCAAGACCAAGAAAACGAAGGAACAGGCTGAAAAGCCGCTCGCGACACCGAGGACCTGCAAAGGATATACGGGACATAAATGTAAGAAGAGTATCAACGCTGCAGAACACTGGAAAACTCGATGTAGCAACTGTTACGTCCAGTGGAAGAAAGAGAAGAAGAAACAGATCAATTGTCGCGGCCAGTAGAAGATATCGATTACCAAAACATAGTCAGTCCGAATCTGAGTCGGGCTTAAGTGTATAGGAAATTTTACTAGGGAGTTTGTACCAACAGTTCAAGCAATAAACGCGGCGCGCTACATATTTGATCACTTCCGGACAGGTCGGATTCTTGCAGATGCGGGTTCGTTCGCCTAATGGCTGGGTGGCTTCAATCCTTCGCCCTGGCATGCTGAAGTTATTATATTTATGTCAATGATTCTTTATATATGCGTTTTGAATCACTTACGATCAACCGGTGTTCTGCGCCGCAGCGAGCGTTTCGACCTTGTTGATCGATTCGTCCAGATGGACTTCGCACTTTTCCAATTCTTCGTGCACTTCACGCAATGCGTCGGCGGATCCTCCTGTTTCTTCGAGTTTGTCACCGATGTCTTTGATAGCGTCGGTAACTTCCCGGAGATCCTGTTGTATCTCAAGCAACCGTCCGGCTTGATCGGTAAGGCTCATTTTTCCTATGCAGGTGTTGGACTTGGGAACAAATAGTGTTTTCATCGTCCTCCAACACTTGATGAGGTGTGCGCATATGTTTTTTCCTCAAATACCCGACATTTTATTGAAATGCAACAAAGAATAGAACAATTACAAGAACAATGATAAAACAATGAAGGAGTGCTAAAAATAGGCTACAACTAGACTACAATCGACGGGGAAAGCGTGACTAGTAGGGGTATTTACATAGCGGGAATAAGGTAATCTGGGAGTATACAGGGGAATGAAGTTTAACCGGAACTCGGACCGGCAGTTTTTTCCACATCTTCGATTTCTTCGGCATCTTCGACGGTTTCCGCGGTAGGCTGATTTTCCACCACCGGCGCTTTGCCCCTGGATCCGCGACGAGCCTTCTTTGGCAGCCTTTCCTCGATATCATCGCCAAATCTTTTCAGTTGGTTCTGAATACTTTCGGCGAAAGTCTTTTGAGTCTGCGTGATCATATCTACGTAGGCAGCCATCACATCCGGGACCTGATTCTGCACAACAGTACCCGCCTCTACCTGATCACGGATGAACCGCGGTACAGCGTTACCCGACGAGACCGGTGAACCCGCTGGAGGTTGTCGGATGGCCGGCGGTACGTATTCCGCCAGATATTCTTCGTCCTGGTGTACGGGTAGCGGGACATACTCGTCGTCGTCGTCGCCGTCGTCCTCCCCGCTTGAGCCGACATCCTCACCTTCGTCATCGCTTGAATCCGGGGTTCCATTTGTCAATGTCTCGATCCTTTCATCAATTCGGCGGGTCCTCCTGAAGCCGCGGTTCAATCTCTCCAATTCGTCTAGACGCTCCTTTGTCTTTCGGTCGCGGGCTGCTCTCAGGTCACGGAGGTAGTTCCTCTCGTCATCTTTTCCAGTCTTGACACATCTGAGTGCATCCCTCAAGAGGATGTCGAGTTCTTGTATGGTGAACGTCTCGAATCCGTTCGCTTGGATGAAACGACGCATCATGACGTCGCAGAGACCTCCATTGTGGCTAGCGTTATGTTTGAGTACGGTCGCCTTGTTTCCTCCGATGTTCGCTGGCATACTTGGTAGATTGTTGGTAGGTACGTCAAAGGGGTGAAAATTGATGTTTCAGAATGAACTTGATGTATCGGAATGAAATTGATGTATCTAAATTCGGGGTGATGTTTCGGAATCTGAGGGATGTATCGGAGTTGCTTGAACTTCAAAGTTGATAATGATGAGATGATGGGACAAACGGCTGATCGTCGTTTATATAAACTTCTCCTCGGATCGCCCGGATTACCGTCGGTAAGACAACGATGTGTTGGAACCTTCTAAATCGAGAAAATTGCAAAAGGCGGGAACCTATTTTAAGGTACGCCGCAACGGTTCGTAGCGGTCGATACTATTTTTAGTCCGCAATACGGATGATATAATAATTAATGCGTTTCACCAAAATAATAATCCTATATAAGGATATGGATACGATTAATACTATGACAAGTCCCCAATTTACAATGAACAAACAATTCGCCCTTACCCTTCTTAACCGCGCTTACAAGGACAAGTCCCTTAAGACGAGGACTTCTCAAGTAAACACTCTTGATCGTTGTGGTATCTTCGAACCTCACGTTTTCGGATCTCCCCAGAAAGTCATGGAAATCCTCCGCGCAAAGTATTCTGCTAACTACGCAATCGGCTTTTCTGGATTACTTTCTCGAATGTTTCATGTGCTCACCAATGAAGAAAAGATCGCCTTGTACAATTGGTCCGTCGAGAGTTACCCTTCTTTTGTTAAGACTCCTCTTCTTGCCCAGTCGGACGATAAGAAACTCAAAACTATTACCAACGAAGTTCACCAATACTACAAAAATGAGAATCACAAGCATTGCGCTGAGATCAACAGTCGCCCGGCTCTCGTAATGACTCCTGAGTATGAGGAGAAAAGACACATGCCCGAAGAGGTCTTGGTCAAAACGGTTCTCGGAAAGTTAGCCGAACTTAGAGAAAAAATCGAGAAAGACAAGAATCGCATTGATATCTGCGAGTATGGTCTGCTTATCGGAACTCTTTGTTACTTCTGCGGTGACAAGATGCGCAGGTTAGACCTTGCGCTCGCTAAATATCGAAACCATCTTGAACATACTCCTAATAACCTTGACGCGTGTGATTATTTCCCGGCCACTCATAGTTTCTTAATCCGCCGTTGCAACAAAGTCACAAAGGAAAAGGATGTTGCAATTATCATCAACGATCGGGTAGTACAAGAACATCTCGATTATCTCGTTTCCCTCCGTGAGGAGTTAAACCAAGACTACCTGTTTATGAAGCAGCGTGGTCAGGACAGGACACCCGATTGCCATTGGTTTGGCGTTGCGATGAAGCAGAACAATTCGAAACATTTCGGTAAGGATATCTGTTTGAATCAGTTGAGAAAGATCGGTGTTCAAACCACCATCGACTATGATGACGGTGATAAAGATAAGCAGAGAGAAATGTGCGCCAAATTCGGTCACAGTTACGCCACTCGACAGAACTACTATTACATGCGCAAAGAGAAAAAAGAGGAAAAAGAGGAAGAAGTGAAGGATGAAAGTGTAACCAACAAAATGTCCGTAGATTTCATGTTGAATTAAGTACAATGATGTTCGTTAAATAAAATGAAAACTCCGATCGATAGCAGACTTACATAAGTCTGTCGCGCTCAACTCCTTAAAAAAGTGGTGCAAGCTGCACAATCTGAACTCGAACTTCATAGAACTTCGCCGTCATGTCATCATTCTCGGTCATTTTCGAGCGAGAAAAGCAGCTCTTGAAAAACTGGGATGATCTCTACTCTGCAATCGGATGGTATCTTCCATCGACAACCCTGTATCGACTGCGAATGGTCTCGAAAGACGCACGACGATCTTTCCGTATCGCTGAAGAGAACCGTGAGGTTTATTACGACACCTTGTTGCAGCAATGGAAAGCAACCGCAGATTCGATAAAGCAAGAAAGCATCGGACCAATGGGCCGACTTCACTATTATCAAGCTACACATATCTTCACTACCGCTCCAACGCTTACCACCTCGTGCGATCGAATCATTGACATCATCGATCGTTACGAGCAGTCAAATCCCAAAACGAAAACTCGAATCGTTGTGAAAGACTGCCGGCAACCTCTTGAAGATATCGCCGGTTTTCTGAACCCCGCAATGAACTTCATGTACCGGGCGGGGGGTGTGGATCCAACAACATTCACGCTGGGTACGGTCCGACAAATAATCCGCATGCGAGACGATGTTTTGATCATCGGCCCTGACGATCAACAAGTAGATCCGTTCGTAGCTTATCAGTTGATGTCAGTCACTTTGTTCATGAACGTTACGTTCCCTGAAAAGTCGAGCAATAAGACTTTTGACGAAATAGACCCTCTGTAACGTAATACATAAACATCTACTCTTGGTTATTCTCATATTCATCAATCGCTTCTTGCGCACCCCGAAGATCGCCTTCATCCTCCCAAGTGCTTTGGGATTGATCATACCCGCTCCATAAGACCTTATACTGGGTAATTTTTTGTCTGCCGCGACGAATAACTCTGCTATCAACGATCGCCTCAACCTCAAACTCATCATTATCGTCTGGGCCCGGTTGAGGGTTTACATCTGGCATCTCCACAGTCCCTGCAGGTACGAGCCGGAGATCGTTCGCCGCGGTTAGGCCCGGTAATGGCGTTCCATCCATATGTTTAAGACGGTAACTGTCTGTGTAGCCTGGAAACTTACTCCTTGAGATTCCGGCGATCTTATAAGTTGCGTTAGAAAAATACCCAACTCTAGCCCGCTTCTTTATCGCTCCCTTTATCGGGATAATCTTTCTCACCACATCCCCGATGTTAAATGTGTTCATTATGTTCGCCCCCACTCCTTTCAATTTCTTGTTCCGTATTCTCGCGAATATCTCTTCATGTTCTTCCTGTGTTATCTCATTGGCACTCTTACCCGTTGCGAATGTCATGGTGTTGTTTAGATTATCGACTAACTGTTGCAAGTAAGTCGGCCAATCCTTTTTCCCATAACGGATCGTAGAGTACAGGATATTCTTCAAATTCTTATTAAATGATTCTATTGTTCCAGTTGATTGCGGAGTTCCGGGCTGATTAAATTTCCACTCAATATCGTTCTCCCTTGCCCAATCTTGAACAACTCCCAGAAATTCAGTACCCACATCACTTTGAATCCGCTCGATAACCACTCCATCACTTTTCAACTTTAGGAGAAATCTGACAACGGTTGCCTGATCTTGAGATTTCATAGGCATTGAATACAACTTTTTGGTAAGGATATCGCACGCATTGACAACGTATCCGAACCCATTATATGCGACAGAGGTGAGGTTTATGCAGTCGATCTGCAGCGATCCTTCGCGGCTCAACATCTGCGGGCGAATCTTCCCACGCGACCCCATAGTTTTCGTTGAAGTTTGCCATTGTTCCTGGCGCTTAAGGAAGGCGTTGAGCAAGGTCCTCTGCGAAATCTTGCTATTTGGATAAGCGCGGCGATAAGCATAGTACAGTTTGTCTCGGCCGACGAAATTGTGATTGTCATAATAGAATCGCTTTAACTGTGCGAGATCTTCTGGCGTTATCGGATCATAGTGCAAAGAAGATGTATCTCTGTTATCGTTTTCCTCATCCATTTTAACTTATAGTTAGTAAAAGCTTTCGTCTTTTATTCGGTCGGAAGACGACTCCTTGTGTCCACTTTGATTTTGCTGAGGAGGTTCAGCGGATTACGTTCAAAGGGCCGAAAAACGTTATGAGTAACACCCTTATGGCTCAGGGACGTACAAAGTAATCTTATCGCCAGAATTGGAGGTTCATAGTTTAGGGTCGTTGCGGACCATTTACATTACTCACTTTGAGTCTCAGGCGGTGCAACTTTCTTTACGGCGCGTGACTTTTGTTGATATGCTGGCTTAACCAACGCATCAATGTGATGTTGGACAATTGCCTCGCATATTTCCGACTTTAGTTTCTCAAACATTTGAGAGCGAGCGTCACTAGGCATATCAACCCACAACTTATCCTCGCTTAGGCGAGTGATCAAAGCGTCGAACTTGTCCTTGTCCAAAGAGTCAACCTTGTCAAAGATGTTGTCATACATGTTTATCATTAAGAAATCAAAAATAATCTTGGAAACCTTCTGCGTTACAATAGCGGTACATTGACTTCGCATCGTCTGCCGCGAGGTCTACATAACAGAACGAATACGGTTCTTTCGTGCCGTCGTTAAGATACTGGAAAACCTCGTTCTTGTTCTTGAACGCGGATGTCAGCAGTTTCGCAAGGGCATCTAAATCTTCGTTGTTATTCTTGAAGATTATAAATTCCGTAGTATTATTCTTCATCTTCCGAGTGAGTTGTCCAGAGACGGACTGAATGCAAACCATAGTGGAACACAGGAAGTGGCGTCCTTTTGTGTATAACTTTGAAAGTTCTTTGTTCAAGTCTTTTCCCATCGCAGAATCACCCGCATCATCTATATACAACAAGAGACTCTTCCCATCTTCGGCAAGTTTCTTTTGCTCTTCAAGTATTTCCTTTATTGAAGAGTTCGATACATCATCGGTAAAGTAAATATTCTTATGCTTTGTTGTCGCTGCTAGTTCTTTGATGCTTTTGTCGTAAAGAACGGTATCAGACATGATGATTACTCTATCAACAGTCTTTGCGTAAACGTCGTCAATCAATCCACAAACAAGTGCTGATTTTCCAGATTTCCGAGGTGCAATTAGCTTAGTACAGAGAGGCGGCTCGGCAAGATCCGAAGGAATCAGCCTGTTCCTTGTCTTTTTATGTTTAGGAAAGATAGGCTCCGGCTTGTAGGAGGAGGACATTTAAAAACTCTTTACATTATTGTCCACAAAATTACTCAACTTTATATTTTCCTTAGCTTTATATAACATGGTTGTACCGTAATTTTTCAAGACGTACAGCGAAATATTATACTCCTCAGTAAGACAAAGAGTCTACAACATCCAACCTCGTAAGGTCGAGGCCTTCAAGATTCTCTCCGTCAGTTTCTTACAGGACTGGGATCTTGTGGAAGCAGGCGTGAATGATAAGATCGCGTTTGCGCAAGAGGGTTCAGACACAATACTGAACGCTACGATCGCAAACGGGACGTACTCTGTGGTAAACTTTCCAGACGCGATCGCATCAGCCTTGAACTCCGCTCCCGGTTCTAATGGAGGGTACTCTGCCAGTTACGATCCGGTAACTCGGAAGTTGTCTATATCGTCCGGATCTCCTTTCAAGATTCTCCAAGGTGAGCGAGGAACGACCGCATACATTTTGACAGGAATGTCCCGAAGGGCGGAGTCTGGCTACGGCACGAATCACGTAATGAAGAATCCCGTCAATCTAAGCGGCTCGTACCCTGTCATTCTCACTAGCAATATTGCAGCAAAGGGGACGCAGTACCTCACAGATTACAATGATGCGGCTCAATCGATCGTTTGCAGTATCGTTCCAGATTCGTTTGGGGATGTTGTAACCTGGACTAATGATGGAGGTGAATATCTACCGGTTGGAGAAACGGTGACTCGAATCGAATTCCATCTGATAAACTCCCTTACCGGCCAAGAAGTTTCTTTGAATTCGCCTTTAAGTGTGCGTTTCGCCATTTTGGACGATGTAGATGACCTGTAATTTATTTTCTTTTTATTAGAGTAAAATGGAAAACACGTCCGATAATCAACCAGATTCGACTGCCGTAGAGGAGAATTCCCAAGTACAAGATCGCGTACCGACCCCTGTACCGCCTCTAGAACTGCCTCCTCCAACAGCACCGGAGAAGCCTAAGCGGAAGATGACTCCAGCGCAAAAGGCGGCATTGGATAAAGCGATCGCTACTCGACAAAAGAACCTGAAGGAACTTTCAGAAAGGAAGAAGAAAGAGAATGAAGCGAAACGACTTGCCGAAGCAAAGGCGATACTTGAAGCCGAAAAGGCTAAGAAAAAAGCGGCAAGAGAAGCGAAACAGAAAAATGAAAAGCCCGCAACAAAGAAAGCGGCTGCTAAAAGAGTTCAACACAATGAACCTGCTGCGGTAAGGTCAACTGAAGATATGGTGACGACGATCGTTGAATTCGATCATGACGACCAAAGATATGATGATCCATATGGAGGAATTTTCGGATAAAAGTTTTTCTGTTGCAATTTTTTTTTGGTAGCTTTATAAGAAATGTCTGTTGTTCCCCGTAACTGGTTATTTTCGACAAACACATTCGCAAGAAGTTACAGTGATCCAAGGGGAGAATCTGTAGCAAGTTTCTCTCCAACTGGTCAAAATGTTTATTCCACAAAAACTCGCGGACTGACTCCCGTCCGTATCACTTGTGATTCTAACTCTGTTTCTTTTATTCTTCAAAGGCTCGTGCTTAGTATGGACGTAACCACCCTGAAGAGTGGTGCTCCTGTACAAGGCGCAGCAAATACAAAACTCGGGATGGAAAGCATCATCCAAAGTTTGACGGTTCGCGCCGGAAATGAGGTAGTCACAAAGATTGATAACTACCCTGCCTACCTTGTGCAGAGTTACCGGAACTTGAATAAAGGCATGAAGCAACTTCTCGGTCAACTCACCGGATACGGTCGAACGGATGTGTTTGCTGGAACTTCTACCGCGGCAATCTCCATGCACCCCACTATCGGATTTTTCCACCCAACTAATGACCAGTTCCTGCCAGTTTGGGCACTTCCTAATCAAGCGATGACCATCGAGTTGGTGCTGGCCGATCCAAACACTGTTTTCACCTCGGTTGGAACTGTTGATGAGATACAAGTCTCGAACATTCGTTGTTTGATCCCCTACGTGACGCCGCCTCCATCCATTGTAGTGAACGCGACGAGGGCCATCGCAGACAGTAAGAGCATCTATTACGATTACGTCCGTGCTACTCAAACTGAGAATGCATCTAGTGGTGGATTGCGTAACACTTATTCACTCCATATGTCGGGTGTCAGAAGTTTGATTGGATTCGAAGCGTCCTTCATCGACGACGATGTGTTGGCCGATCCGACGAAAGACAAGAGCGAGGCTTTCTCCGATCAAGGTCTCCGTGAATGGAGGCTTCAATTGGGACCTAACCAGACGATCCCTAATGGAGTCACCGGATTCACCCATGGGCCTTATGATCGTCAAACTTTGCTTGTGTCTCAACTTACAAACAACGACTGGAATCAACTCGGAGATCTTGATATCAATGTGGCCGATTATAACAACAAAAACTTCTCCTTTGCGTATGCCTTCGCTGATAAGAGCGAAGGGAGCCAAGCCGCACTCAGTTTTACAGGTACTGACTCCATCCTTAGAATTCACACTCAACACGAACCCGGAAAGGCTCCTTCACAGCGTGTCCGGTTGCAAGTAACTTATCACGAGAACGTAACACTTGCTATTGGCGATGTTGTGCAAGTTATCTAAACATCGCTCCATCTCTTTCCTGTGCCATTTTGATTATCTTGAGCTTTAGTACCCGCGTAGTGCTGGGTTGGCTTTGTTGCGGCTTCGTTTCTCACATATCCAGAAAAGGTGGTAAAGTCACCAAATCAGGAAATCTCCTATAGGGCAAATCCTGATTTGGTGACTTTACCACCTTTTCGATACGACTATTCTAACGATCCACCCTGCACCTTATCAAGGAAGTCTTGTCCTTGTTTGTTGATCTCATCAAGGCGCCTCACTCCATGCGTCGCGGTAGAATCAATGCGCCTCGACGTTTCTTTCAGTTTCTCATTGAAGAGTGGTGATTCTTGAACCGCATTGTTTACGTTCGTGATGAACTTTGCTCCCTTGTGACCTGTCTTTACCGCTTGATTAGCGAACGTTCGGGCTTTCTGATAGTATGCTGGGGCATTCGATATAAAGTTATTTGCCTTCTGCTTCAAATTCTTAAGAAAGTTGACCATTTTATCATAAAGCTCAGAGAATAAATTTACTCTTCTTATGGTAAATGGCGCTATACCGTGATAACTACCTTGAGTTCCAAGGTATCAACAGAAGTAAAGGTATCCCGAACATCCAGCGACACCAGATCGGACGTGCTCTAGATTATAACCATCTAGATCCCGAGACAGGCCGTCCCGAGGTTATTTATTCATGGAACCGGAATATACACGACAAAGATCTAGCGACGAAAACCAATTATGTCAAACCGGTCCATGAACAGCCAATCAGTAGTGCGGATATCCTTAAACTATCCGCCCAGAAGAATTACTCTCAAGCATATAAGGATGGGATCGAATATCTCAAAGCGGAGAAGGATTATCGGGCAAAGGAACGTTACCTCGACAGCATAACCCCAAGCCGAAGAAATACGACCCTTGTTTCAACCTCTACATCAACATCTGGGCTTCCTGTTCCCGATACTGAAGGAAGGGTTTATAACTATGACGCCGCAACGACACCGATGACCGGAATGATGTTTGAAGCCCCCGCGAATCTACACGAAGTCCCAGATCTCCCTAAGAACATCGCCGGTAAGCCAATTCACCCGGTAATCTTTACAAGGGAGAAATCTATCGTGATTGATCCCATTACCGGCGCTGGACAGGTAAAAAGTGGCTCAAGTTCGGTCTTCAAATCACCCGTTGTAACGAACAATTTAGGATATCAGGAACCTATGATGCCAGGAGCGTTTCCTAATATGATTGGGCCGGACGAGGTAAAGGTTGAGGCAATGTCACCAGAGATGAAGACGGAAGAAGTTAAGATCGATGCTAAGCCTGAGATAGCCCTCACAACGATTACCGATCCGGCCAAGGTTGAGGAAGCCATATTGAAATCTGAAGTACGCAATGAGTCTTTTACAACACCAGGTAAGACGCCTTTTGGTAATACTCGGAAAGACCGTCGCTTCGATCCCACTAAAAAGACTGTAAAGAGAAATCGCGTGGATGATTCGCTTCTACAATCCACTTTAACAAACGGACAAGAACTTATCGGAGTTTCAGACGGCTTAAAGACGGAGGTACAGTTATTTGACATGGCGGAAGCAAGGGGTCGATTGTATGCAGCAGGGCTAGATGAAACTATGAATCCTTCAACCAAACGGAAACAGGAAGAATCACTTAGAAAGGAAGCGTCGAATAAGCGTCAAAGGACGGATGATCTACCGCTTCCTCCGACAAAACGACCTGTTGCACAGGTCGGATCTAGAGACGATATCCTTTCTATTAATCCTGCGGTTAAGCGAAAACACGAGGTCTCACTCAGGAAAGAACCATCAAACAAACGGAGGAAAGTAGATGACGCAGATGAAATCCAACTGGTGGATCCTAGTGTTCTGGAAAGGAAACGTGCTGGCAGAAAAGTGAATGCCGCTATCGTTGGGGAGACGATTGTTGACCCAGTTTCCGCACAAGTTAGACGAGATGTTAAGGCCTCTTTGTTGAGACCTATAGCAGCATTGCGTGGACAAGATCCAATTGAATATGCTGCCATTACACCCAACTTTTCGACGGGCACCTATGCAGAACCCACGGTATCGCTCAGGAAGAAGAAGGCAGCGGATGCAACATCCACTCGACCTGCAAAGAAGGCACGCCTTGCTTAGGAGGTTCATTATACATGTTAAATTTTGTGAGCTCTATTGTAAAATGTCTGGAATTAACTCAAGAACAGGATCAGGACTTAGGGAACTCTCAGACACCCATCTGAGTTCGCCTGTTGTTTCGGGCAACATGAAAGCGTATTCAAACAACGCTAAACTATCCGGCTTTGATTCGGGTCAGTTCAACAGACTAATGAACAAAAACGGACTGTTGTTGGTCAACGATGTTAAAACGGAAGATCCGGTAGAACTACAGACAGATAAGGGTGTGTATACATTAGGTGTGAAGATCAAGGAGTCTGAGGATTTCTCTATCGATAGCACAGGCCGCCTAGAGGTCATCCCCGATGTGCCAGAATTTCCTCTCCAGAAAACTGACAAGACAGTTTCATTGCTCATAGATTCACCGCTCGGGGTAACTGAAAACGGCTTAGGGTTGGCGCATGATACAAGTTTGAAAGTCACGGAAGACGGGTTGTCCGTAGTGTTCCCCGAAGTAGAGTTGGAAAATCTCTCAGAACCCCTCTCTAGAGACGAACTTGGTATTAAACTCGATATCGATGATACTCTAGATGTAAAGAACGGCTTATTGACAGTCGTTCCAGAAATCCTAAAAGCACCTTTGACGCGTGACGTGATCGGTAATATCACATTGGATTATGACCATTCGCTTCGAACGATCGACGGGCAATTAAGTGTTGTCCAAGAAAATGTAGAAGCCATCGTTGACGAAGCAGTGAAGGTAGCAAAACCGCTTTCGAAAGATGCAGACAAGGTGATCCATCTTGATCATGGAAAAGGCTTGAAACTCAGTGATGAAGGGAAACTGGTGACAGATGTTGATACCGTTATTGTGGGAAGAGGTGCGATTAGCAACGATAAGGCAAGGAGTTTGGCTCTCGATGATCTCATGCAAGAGGGGTTTGATTCTCTCGCGGATTTCTTAGGATCTGATACAGATGTGGATACTACGGTTATTCGTCTTAAAACTACAGACGACTTCCAACAAACAGGAAACAAACTTGCAATTCGCTCGAAAGGCATGGGACAGATTCCATTCTACTCTGCTCTAAGCGGATTCAATGGAGACAGCAGTTTTACCTATAATGAGACGCTCAATCAAATGAATGTTCCACATCTTTACGTGAACAGCAACTTCAACCCCTCGAATAACGAAGTGCCAACATCCGCGTATGTAGAGCAACTGTATCAGGCAGGATCAGGGATTGATATATCTGGAGTATCGAATGGTCGAAGGACTGTTGATGTAAGAACAGATGCTAGTCTCGCTATCGATAGCAGCCAGAATCTAAGTGTCAATGTCTCGGCCTTATGTGATAACAAAGGTATCCGAGTCGTGAACGATAAATTGGCGATTGGGCTCACCTTCCAACAGGGCAACGGTGGATTGAAGATAGAAAATCAGAATCAAGTTAAACTTGCTCCCTCCGTAAGTGGTGCAATCACTTTTGATGGTAACAATACATTCGGCGATAAGCTGACTGCATCAAATGGAGTCAAACGTGTTGAGAATGATCTCCAACTGGATCTTCATGCGGGGGATAATACCGTGACAGTAACTAACAATTCGATAAAGGGTGCGTATACAGGATCTAATGGAGTGTCAGTTACGGGAAACACTATTTCCGGGGCCTACACTGCTGGAAACAACATCTCGATATCTGGGTCAAGCATTAGTTGCACATATCAACCTGAGCCGGAAACTCCTACTGTCATCACTGGTGCTTTACCTATCATTGTTACCGGAGCGGATAAGGAATTCAACGTGTCCAAGCAGCCTTTGGTTATAACTGGTGGTTCCGGAATCCTCGTTGTTGGCTCCGAGGAAACCGGCTTCAATATTTCTTCCATACAGCCCTACAAGAACCGAAAGGAAGATGATGATCCGGAAGAGAAAAATGAGGAGTCCGAGCCGTCTGGAGAAAGTGATCCTCTCACAGCATCTGGAACTAATCCCGTAGTCTCAGTAACAGGTCCCCTTTCTACAATATTAGGCGGTTCGATTGGTCTCATCGGCCCTGCGGCTTGCGCTCCTTTTGCCACATCTGCTATCGGTAGCGTCGGGGGACTTCTCGGAGGACCTGCTGCAGCAGCCGGAATCCTTGGTGGTTTCATCGCTGCAAGTGGTCGAGAAAGAAAGAACCAGAAAGACGCAAATGGTAACAATGTAGTGGATTCAAAGGGAAACCCCGTTCCAGATCCAAACGGATCGCAAGTTGTGATAGCGACATTTCGCAAGACGGACGACACATCATGCGATGTTACGAGATTACTTTTTGACACTCCACCTCCGTGTTCATATCTGGGTATTGCAGGAGAGGTCCCACAGCAGGCAATCAACTTGGGCATGTTACGTGAATACGATTCTACAATCATACAGCCAACGTATTTAAATTTGATAAGTCAGAATACAAGTCTTCTTCAAACTGCTATTGATAGTAAAGTCGCAAAAACGGATACCATTCCATATGCGAGAATAACGGGTGCTCCAGATCTCACCATCTACGAGAAGAAATTAACATTTGCTGGACCTATCCTCTCCAGAGATACATCTAATACCGTTTCGGTCAATACCGGAAATATCACTACTCTTGGGACACTCACATCTCTTAACGTAACAGGCGCTTTGACCGCCGGCTCCATAAGCAGTCCTACCTTGACAAATTATCTTACAACAGCAAATGCAGCCACAACGTATCAACCTCTTAATGCTCGTCTTACTAATCTTGGGAACATTGCGCCAACAAACACGTACATGCTTATCGCAAGCGGAGGCAATTTCATTCAATTTAGTCCTGCAGATGTTCGTGCAAATCTCTCATTAAAAAATCTGAGTTTGCTCGATACTTTAGACTACACTAGTTCGGCGTTGGTGAACAAACCTACGCTTGGTTCGCTTGCAGCACTTAGCAGTATTGACTATGCTTCGACGTACATTACTGGAAAGCCAACTCTTGGTTCTCTTGCAGCACTGAGTAATATAGATTACACTTTGGCTTTACTTACAAACAAGCCTTCGCTTGGTTCACTTGCAGCACTGAGTAGTATAGATTACACTTCGGCTTTACTGACAAACAAGCCTTCGCTTGGCAGTTGGGCTGCTAAATCCGTTATCAATCTTGCAAGCGCAGATGTCACCGGTATTCTTCCTGTTGGAAGTATTGACCCGATCATTGTGCTTGCTGGAACCGGTTTGACTAAAAATTCTCAAACTTTAAGTGTCAATTCTGTACAGACACAAATTACAAGTGTCGGTACTTTAACGGGTCTTTCTGTAAGTGGAAGTTCCACATTCTCCGGTGCAGTCACTGTTCCTACACCTACAATTGCAGCAAATCCTGCAACAAAAGGATATGTGGATGGGTTGATTTCTACAACATCCGGAAATGCTCAACCTCTTAATCCTAAATTGACTGCTATTTCTTCGAGCACTGCTACTCTCAACAACTTCCTTGTAGGAGATGGAACTAATTATATCAGTATGACTCCATCAGCATCTAGAACAGCACTAGGGCTCGGTTCCGTGGCGTTAAAGAACACCATCACGCTCACAACAGATGTGACAGGTATCTTGCCTCTCGCCAATATAGACGCCCAAGTAAGCACCAAAGCCTACGTCGATGCTCAGACATCAACAGTTGGCGCAGGATTGTCAAAGTCAGGCACGGCCATTTCAGTCAACACGGACCAGTCGGCTGTTATCACCAAAGTTGGAACTCTGCAGGGGTTGAGTGTTACAGGCGACGTGACCATATCAGGGAACGCCATCATCTCGACAGCCCCAACAGCAGATACACATCTCACAAATAAGACTTATGTTGATACGCTTCTAAGTGCAGGAACCGGCTTAACACGTACAGGAAACAATTTCTCTGTCAATGTGGCTCAACCTCAGATAACATCGGTTGGAACTTTAACATCATTGAACGTTAATGGAAATGCGAACTTTGCTGGAGATGTCATGGTATCAGGAAACGCTGTCGTCTCAACAGCACCGACCTTAGCAACTCATCTTACAAACAAGACATATGTTGATACGCTTCTTAGTGCTGGAACAGGATTGACACGTAGTGGAAATTCGTTCAGCGTAAATCCTGCTCAGCCTCAAATTACAAGCGTTGGAACTCTATCATCTCTGAATGTTGGTGGAAATGCGAACTTATCCAATGTTCAAATTGCCGGAACGATTGATTCTACGTCGACAAATTCAGGTTCGCTCCAAGTTGTTGGCGGAGTTGGTATAGGGAAAAGTGTGGTGGTTGGCGGCACTGTATTCCTAGGAGGAACAACAGCGAACCTGAATACGACAACAGGGCAGACTCTGAATATAAATAACGCTGCATCGACTGTAGTTACTTCTACTATTGACTCTAACGCCACAAATGCCGGTGCCTTCCAAGTTGCTGGAGGAGTTGGCATCTCAAAATCGCTGACGATAGGAGGTGCCAACCTATACATGACTGGGACTAACCAAACAATTCAATGGTTCAACACATCCAATGCAACTGGTAATACCGGAAGCACTATCTGCGGAAACTCAAGTACGGCCGGATACTATTCAAGTAATTCGTCCATAGGAGATATGTGTATTCGAGCGGTATACAACAACGCACCATCCAATTTGCGAATAGGGAATTCGCCGGGAATTTCCATTATAGATGTTCTTGCCTCTGGGAGCGTAATCGTCAATACCACGACCGATTCTACCTCGACAACAACTGGTGCATTCCAGATTGCTGGTGGTGCGGCTATCGCAAAAAACATTTTCCTAGGAAATTCGACAAGTAATTCATCTTTGATAATCGGGGGGAAAGAGAAATATCTAAACTTTGTTGATGCTTCAGCGGGAGTAGCCTTTACCGTCGGTGTGAATAGAGCGAACAATCGACAACTATGGATTATGGACTCTGCTAGTAGCACAGCATCATCATCTTTGTATGCGATGCGAATTGTAGTCTCAGGTACGGCCTCTCCATCAATTGGAGCCGTGTCTACTGATGGGTTAACAAACGCAACCCTTGGTTGCAATAGTGTATTTGCAATTTCTGATGTTACGGATTCCTCAAGTGGGAACACAGGAGCACTCCAAGTAGCAGGTGGCGTTGGAATTGGGAAATTTCTATTTGCTGGTTCTTCGGCCACTGGGAGTCATACACTGCAAGTAAACTCAACTTCCGTTGACGTCTTGAAACTTCAGAGTCTTTCCGCGTCGGGGTTTTCAACTATCGGTTTCCTTAACAACACAGGAACGATAGTGGGAGCATTCGGTTATGCTGGAACTGGTACAAGCGCTCCAAACGCTGGGAACTTTTTCCTTTATTCGGGGTCTGGCGCTAACTTTGTGATAAACAGTAATCTCCCAAGTGTACAGATTCTCTCCACCATAGATTCTACTTCGACAACATCAGGTGCATTTCAGGTGAGAGGTGGAGCGGGTATCGCAGGGAATGTCAATCTTGGTAAAGACTTGAATGTTAATGGGACAATATACTCCAATATCGTCTCCACCGGGCCTGTTGTATCTTCGCATCTCGGAACACCTAATTTGGCAGCGGGGAGTTTCTCAACACTTCCAATTGGAGTCGGAGCGGCTACAAATAACATGGCCAGGGTATATTTCAACTATGCCGGAGCGGGTCTTGCAACCAATACATTGGGTTTAGGGCTATGGAACTCACCACAAGGTCTCACCGTGGATGGTACAGGAAAAGTTGTTATTCCTACCGGTTCTATCAACAATTTAACAGTGTCAGCAAACATGACTTTCACCGGGAATTTAGCAACAATTTCTGCTACAGGTTCACAAGGTCCTCTCTCCATAGATCCGAACCAAAGTTCCAACCCTTATGTCAGAGTATGGGACGACTTGAGAACTGTAGGAGATTTTTCCGTGTGGAATTCGGCCGAAAATACCACTTGGTTCAAAATTTTTACATCTAATGGTGTTGCATCTGTCTTTACCACAACCGATTCCACAGGAGTAGGAACCGGTGCGTTGCAAGTCTCTGGAGGCGCTTCTGTTGCGAAAAACGTAAATGTTGGAGGTAACGTCTCGGTCTCGAACACTGCTGATGCAACCTCTAACACATCAGGCGCCCTTGTAGTGAATGGAGGCGCATCTGTTGCGAAATCTCTATATGTCGGGTCAAATGTTAACGTGACCGGTGATTTGAAGAGTCCAGCATTAACATCGACAACTACTTTATTTCCGTACCCCACAACGCCAGCAACAGGTTCCTCATGGAACGGCTATACAGTTACAGCCTCCAGCGAATACACGTATGCAAATGGAAACGGTGTAGATGGATATACGGGACATCCATTCGATGCGTACATGAACGCCTCCATTGCATCCAGACTGCGGTGGGCAACATCTAGCACCTCAACGGCCAATTTAGGTTTAGATTCAACAACACAAAGTCTTCATTGGTCGTTATTGAGACTGCCGTCGGCCATTCCTATGAGTTCAATCAAACTCACCGCCTACCTGATGGACGCCGTGGCGATGCCTACTACGTTCTCCGTGATTGCCGGAACAACCGAGTCTGCTATGGTAACAATCGCGACGTTTTCGAATATACCTGCTTCGAGTTGGACCACAGATGGGAATTCATTTAGTTTTGCAAATACCATGCCTTATGTAGTATGGGGTATCGCATGGGCATACGCAAATCAGACGACAGCGGGTGGAGTGGCGATAAGACAGATTCAGTATAATCAAGCCGTTCCCAAAGCGACCCTTGTTAGCGCTTCTGCAAATTCTCTAGATGTTACGGGTGCGATAAATACGAACACGGTTACGTGCAATACAACTGCATTAGTGAAGAGCGACTTGACATGTAATACGAACGTCTATGCTTCACAAATCATTCAATCTGCTGTTTGTATCAAAGACGGTGTGGTTGATACGTTGTTGACTAACGGGAATGGCTACACAGGGGGTTTCGGACCCATTGGATGGAAAGCGGGGATGTCTGGGGTCGTGGCCCACGCCAGTTTCATAGGGTACATGAATGCGAACAACACTCGAATTACAGTAACTGTTCAAATATTAGACCAATCTTCTACTGTTATCGCCGCGAGAGGGGTATCGTATTATTGCGATATCAATACGTATAATACTAGGTATCCGTTCAGTTTCCAAGTGCCGTTGCTGTTCTCTTCGACGAACACTCAATTAAGCGCGAGGATCGTCATACCGGCGAGTATTACTCTTTCAAACAGTTACCTCAATTTCTGGACACAGTGTTATTAGATCTAAATCTCAATATCGAGAACACCCACTCGTTCATTTTTATCACTTCCGCAGATCATCCTTAATTGCCCGTCAGTAAAAACGACTCCCAGATATCCGGACTTGTAGAGGAACTCGCGTTTTTCATTGAAATTCCGCCGAGTCGCTATCGAATAGATCTGTTTGAAGATATATCGGTTATGTTCGTTCATTTTAATATATGCCATGTATCCGGGCTTTGATTTCATCGATAAACAGATTCTTTCGAGGCTCTCTAGATCAGTTATGGTGAATCGCATCACAAGTGTGTTGTCGATCAACTTGATGTTATCGTTAAGAGCGAAAACGGATGTTGGCATATTTATTTGATAAAGCTATGGCAGGTATATAATGAATTCGGAACAAGCGCGAGAATAGGAAGTGATTACCAGCGCGAGAAAAAGTCGGCACCCTCGTCTTCCACCTCTTGAACGACTTTCCTCTTTGGCTTCTTCTTGAAGTGTTCCTTATATTTGTTGAATAGTTCCTCGGCTTTGATAAGACTGAGCAAGCGATCAGATTCATATTCGTCGAGGATCTCTGTTTTGATCACGTCCTGAATGAACTCTTTCCGTTTGTCGATCTTTTCAATCTTTGACATTGTAGTGTACACCTTTTCATAGACAAGATCGTCGTCGCCCATGTTTAGAATAGAGCTCAGAATAAAAGAAATGGATAAGCGCGCTTACACCTTCAAATCGAGTGGGGTAAATCTGAGTATTTTGGGTAGCTGAGAATGGTCAAAAAAACTCAGTTGTACTTTGATGTTTGAAAAAAGTGTATCGTTTTTTTAGAAAACAAAAAGTGATATTAGTGTTAAACCCGAAACCCAGACACCCAAAATATATGTAGAGAGTATTTGAAAAGATATAGAATATATATATGAAGGATAGATGTAGGAAGAAGAATAAGTAAGTTGAGAAGTAGTAGGAGTTATGGAGGGGAAAAACTGGGAAAAGGGGGGTTAGACCCAAAGCGGCTCAGAAAGCTCAGAATGAAAGAATCGCACGGGGTAAGAAATAGGATAGATGGGGGAGCGACAGAGCGGGCCCGATATGGACAAGTCCTATCGATAGGAGACGTGATGTAATAGTTTCCTGCGATTCGGCCTTGTGGCGATAAGTTTCGGACTTGTACAAATTCGATACTTCAAAGTGTCCGAGTTTCTAAAGACTTGGATTTAAAGGGCGTCCGATTTTAGTAGGGAAAACGCTGGGTATTTACTGTGTATATGTAGGATAGCTATGGAGGCGAAGAGTTAGAAAGTTAGGGGATTAGAGAATAGACCTGCTTGACGATTAATACAGAAAGAAGAGGATATCCAATTATGACGATTAATACAGAAAGGATATCCTAATACACCGATTAATACACAAAAAGCATAATGTTTTCTAACGATTAATATACAGTGAGATTAACAGTGGTTCAGTGCATGTGTATTAATCTGAGATTAATACACATGCACTGAACCAACAACCCATTCAGGTTGTCCGCGTTCTTCGATTGGTGGAGGAGGTTGTGGAACTGCACGTTGCGGAAATTGCTCTTCGCGATGTGGTCGTAAAATATCAACGTGAAACACGGGCCAGATGCCGCTGATCTTCGATGGTGATAAATCGAGTTTGTAGGTATCAGGATGTGCTCCTAGTGCGATAATTTTGAATGGTCCGATCCACGTAGCTGAGTATCAAAGTCCTCTTCGAGCGTCTACTTCTAGGTTGATTCCTTGTCGATTAAGATCGACGAGGTTGCCAATTTTGTGTGCGATTGGCGTTCGACCTTTGTCGTGTTGACGTGCGAATTGATCTTGCGATCTCTGAAGGTTTTCGCGTACGATACGGGCGATGTCTTCCTGCCCTTTCTTGAAGAGTTCGATTTCGTTTCGATCTACAGCTCGAAGTTTAAGTTCTTGTCCTTTGAGTGTTGGATTCCAACCCGGGAGGATTGGAGAGCGTCTGAGATCTACTTCGAATGGCGATAAACCTTCATATTCCTCCCTCGGAGCGGTATTGTATGCGAATTTGATTAAAGGCAATAGGTTCTTTCAATTGCTTTTGTCGTAGTTGAGGTATTGCTTCCAAATCCTTTTTAGGGTTTGGATGGCTCGCTCAACTTTGCCGTCAGTTTGCTGATGACGAGCCGTAGCAAATTCGTGTTTTACACCAAGGAGAATATCGAATGCGAGGAAGAAGTCGGAAAGTGCGCGAGGTTCGCGATCCGTAACGAAGACTTTTGGCGTACCGACATGTTTCCAAACATGATCTAGGAAGACTTGGGCTAGTTCGCGTCCAGTGATTGTCTTCTTGATCAGTGTCAGAATCACACGTCCGGAAAGGTAATCAATGCAGACGAGACAAGAGTTTGTTTCATCTACTTCGAAAATGTCGAATCCAATCGTGTGCCATCTTCCAAAAGGTATAGGAAGAGGTCCAAGAAATCCATATCGACATTGACCAGGTTTGAATTGTCGACAGGATTTGCAAGTTCCAACGTCTTTGATGACGTCGGAGCGTACGGTAGGCCAGTAATAATCCGTAAGAATTCTCGCGAGAGTCTTCTTAACACCGAGATGTCCTCCGGTGGCGAGTTCGTCATGGAATTTCCGGAAAATCTTTGGGCAAATGTCTTCAGGAACGTACAGACGTCCTTTGTGTCGTCCTAATCCATTTTCGAACGTATAACGGAGTTCTTTCGAAGTTTTCTCATGTTGGGGCTTTCGAGAAATTTCATCGAGATAATCCAAATATGGATCTTCGCGTAGCGCTTTCTTCCATTCTTCTTCTGAGCAAGTAGGTGAGTTTTGTGGATCGTCTGTCATAGCGTTGGAGGAAGGTTCATTGACAAGCATGTTGCTGATCTGCGTATGCATGTCGAGGCGTCGTTGACGATCTACACATCGAGGCGCATAGATTGGATTGCGGGAGAGCATGTCGGCGATATGATTCCATCGTCCAGGTAAGTACTGAATATCGAAATCATACTCTTGTAGCTTCTCCACCCAATTGGCTTGTCTTCTGCTCAAATGGGGTTGCGTTTGGATGAATTCGAGTCCCTTGTGATCACTTGAACATCGGAAATAACGACCAATGAGATATGGTCGGTTGGCGACCAACATCTTAACAAGAACCAAAAGCTCTTGTTCGTGCGTAGGATATCGAGTTTCTGCGTCCTTCATCTTTCTAGAAAAGAAGACCACAGGCCGGAGCCAAGGTAACTTCTTCCATTGTCCGACGAGGGTAGGCAGATTCGTAGGGATCGTTTCATCGCCAGAAGGTTGTCCAATCCAGCCAGCGATAGCGTAGCCTGATGAGTTGGTATAGACGTAAATCGGCTTGGTTTTATCAATTGTTGCTAGCGTAGGCGCATTGATCAACGCTTCTTTCAACTTTTGAAATGCCTCTTGTTGCTCAGGACCCCATCGAAATTTGACTTTCGAAGATTGAATGCTTGATAGGGGCAGAGCGATGTCCGAATAACCTTGTACAAAGTCGAGGAAGTAGTTCGTGAACCCTAGAAAGCTCTGAACTCCTTTTGTTGACTTTGGAGTTGCCCAATCCTTGATAGCTTGGATTTTCGAGGGCGCGATGCAAACACCATGTCTTCCGACAATATGTCCACACCATTCGAATTCTTCTTTAGCCCATACGCATTTTGAAGGCTTGATGAAAAGGGCGTGTTCTTCAAGTTTCTTCAGGATACGATCGACGTGTTCCAGATGTTCGGCTAAGATCTTCGAGAAAATGAAAATGTCGTCCAGGTAGGTAGCAAGGAATTCGTCGTAATCTTTATGGAAGATCTTATTCATAAGACGTTAAAATGCAGCAGGTGCGTTGGTAAGCCCGAACGGCATAATCAAATACTCGAAATGTCCGAAACGAGTTCGTATTGCCGTTTTTTCTCGATCTTGTTTTCATATAAGAAGGCGATGGTATGCTTCTCGAATATCGATAAGTGTAAACCATTTACAACCTTGAATCCGATCCCTCATCTCACAAATATTGGGTAAAGGAGTGCGATCTTTCTTGGTGACGGCGTTGAGACCTCGGTAGTCCCAACAGATGCGTAATCCGCCATCTTTCTTTTTCGCAAAGACGACACTAGCTCCCCAGGGACTTCAGGAGGATTGTATCCATCCTTTTTCGAGCATTGAGGTGATTTGTTTCTTGAGTTCAGTGAGTTCTTCTTTGTTCATGTGCCAAAGAGGTTGCCAAACGGGTTCAGCACCTTCAGTGAGTTTGATCTTGAAATTATCTTCTCCGCGATCAGGAGGTAGACCTTCTGGTTCCTTGAAGAGCGTATTGATGTATTTATTTAGGATATCCTTGAGATGTCCTGGATTTCCTTTAAGCTCTTGAGGAGCGTCCGGTATTTCGTTAAGAGCAAGGTGACAGACCGTGTCTTTTTCAAACTTGTTCCGTCGCCAAGCCTTATTGAATCGCTTGGAAGTCATTTCTATGACTTGAAAATTGCGAAGGGCATTGGCTTGAGCGAGTCGAGATACGTAATGAGGTGCGGCTTGTAGAGTACGAGTATCCACAGGTTTAATGATCCGAACAGGTCAAACGGGTCTTTTGTCATAGACCGGATCTCGTTGCACATCGAAGTAAGGGTTGTTGTTTTTCGGGATATATCCGACGTCTTCCCAGTTTCTTGAAGTTCTTTTGCACTTGATAGTGACAGACTGCGGTGCGTTTGGTATAGGGCCGTAATTGGTCCAGCGAAGGATAGGTAAGGTATCCATCGATAATTGTTCAGCGTAATTAAAGAAACGCCAGAAAGGCATTCCAATAATAGCGTCGTAAGCCAGATTACTGACTAGCCAGGGAAGTTGTCCAACTAAGAAAAGCGACTGAGATTCGAGATCCCATAGATCTAACTTTTCCGAAACAACCGTGTCGAGAATCATGTAGGATTCTTTGTCTTCCAGCCATATCTGCTTTGGTTCGATACGTTTCTTGGGAAACTTGTGCTTTTAGACGAATGTCTTGTCAAGGAATAACCCAGTTGCGCCGCTATCAAAGAGAACACAAGCAAACTTGTTTCCGATGCGACAATGAGAGACCCAGAGTCCAGCAGACAGTGGTTCGAAGGCAGGTTTATCGGTAGGATCGTATGTTGTAGGCCGAGCAGAGCTACCGAGGGGCTCTATCGACCTTGGAAAAAACTCGAAGATTGATTTGTAGTAGTATTCGTAGTATTCCCAGAGTTGACGGCGTCATCGAGAATTTCCGTAATGCGTGACCCAGCATCAACCTGATTGGCTGAACCTTGTTGTTGATTAGGTTGGCGACTGCGCTGCGGAGTTTGAGCGCCACGACCGCGCTGTCGAAAACCACTGCGTCGGTTCTGGGTTTGCGAGCCTTGCTGTCGATTTTCTCCATTTGACCCGCATTCAACTCTCCAATGTCCCATTTTGTTACGAAGGGGACAAGGAGTCGTTGGACGTTGACGAGGAACGTGAGTAGTTTGCCATTGTCCACATCGACGAAAGGGCTGTTGACGTTGGTAGGGAACTTGACCTGTAGTGAGACGACTCACTCCAGGGGGGTAGTATGACATATCAAGGGCATTGAGCCCAAAGGTCATATCATCTAAGTCTTGCTCAAATTCCGTAATTTGAGGATTGGTGTAAGGGGCGAATCGTCCGCCATGACCACCGCCACGACTACCTCGACCGCAGCTGGCTCCACGGCCGCCACAAGCACTTGATGCCGAGGCAATCGGACGAGGCGTATTGGCTTGGTTGCCGTCAGTGAACCCGTGAGCCACATGAGCACGACGAGCTGCAGTGATAGCTTTATCGAGAGTGATAGGGGTGTTGATATTGGTAGTGCCCAAGACTTCGAGGTTCGTAACGGCTTCAGCGAGATAATGACCGATTACCGTATTCTTGAGAAGACCGGCCTTGAAGTATCGAATCTGATCGATAAGGGGAATGGTGCCTTGAGTGTTATCGAGACGATGAGCAGCTTCGAGCTTATTATTGGTGTCTTGAAACTCCTTGATATATTTCTCAAGAGAGTCGCCGAGCTTGAGGCCGGAGAGCTTAAGCTCAATAGTATTACGCAAGTTGCGAGGATAAAAGTGAGCGACAAGAGCCGTTTCGAAAGCTGCCCAATTTGCGGGAGGTCCAGCGGCGTAAGTCCTATTGTACCACTCAAGAGCAGTACCCTTGAGTTAGGGAGTGAGCGTGGGAGCGTACTCTGCCATAGTAAAGGGTATGGCATTGGCAGCTCCAGTACCGTCCGTTCCAGCTGCTACAGCCGGGACAGTGAGAGACTCGAGAAAGTTGTGGTGAGACGTAACGAACTCTTCGATCCTTTTGGCAGCTTTGGCGCCATCGTATTCGACAAGCTTGTTCTTGCGAGCGTCCATAAGAAGTCTGAAACGTTCGGCTCGTTGGACGTCCTGCGTAACAGCACGCTCCCGAGTAGCGAAAGCAGCTGCGACAGCCGCAACGATAGCTTGAGTTTGTTGGTCCATTCTTGCTTGTGAACGAGTTTACGGGCGACGTCCGGTAGAAGAGCGACGTTGACGAGGAATGTCTTGGTGATGCTAGCGGTAGGTGGTGCTACCATGGAACGTCAGAGAAAACGTAGATGATATTGGGCCCTTCTGAGAGGACTGAGAGCAGTGTATTGTAGTGAAGAAAAAAGTAGGAAGCTCTTCGCAGCGGCCGCTCGACTGACAGCTTTATATATGGGCTGCCAGTGGGGCTTGCGTGGCTTTAGTGAGGCTTGGCGCCTTATGTAATGTATCACTGAGAGCTCGGGTGGCCAGCCCGGGTCTCGGATCAAGTAGAAGTAAAGAGATATAATATGAAATACAAGTGAAGATGAGATATCCCCGACAGCGGTGGCGGCGGAACGGGGATGGGGGGCAAAGTTTCAAGGGTAACTCGTGATTTCTTCTTTGGTCGCTTTGCTAGGGCACTAACTGGGGGCAGCCCGGGTCGCCGAAGCTCGTACAAACCAATCTTCCTTGATCCGTGCTTTGTCGTCTTGAGGACTTCTTCTGAGTGGATAATATCCAAGTCCATGTGGAACAGCTCGTGAAAGGTATGGACAAGATGATCACGCATGCGTGAGACGGCTTCTTCGTAGTTCTCCGAGTTGCTTTCGGAAGCTGACGGGTGGTTTTCCTTGTTCTTATGTTCACGGTCAAGCTCATTTACGCCTTCAGTCATTGCGCGCCAGGATGTTAGAACGGATGTCGGTGACGCATCTCGGGCGGTGATGAACATTGCTTTCTGGGCGACTTGGTTTGCCGTGTCCTGGTGTCGGATGGTGGCTCGCAGCATCGAATGGAAGACTTCGAGGTTTTCGGTGGAAAGCATCCCGAGACAGGCCCTCCTCATGTTGAAACACCCCCACTCGCCTCCAAGCCGTCCAACATGCCCCACAAATGATTGCCTGCGTCGCTCCCTCGCCGAAGAAGAAATCCCTCCCCATTGCCTCTGCCCGAGCCAAAACCGGCCACGGCGCACGATAGAATCGAGAAAAGCTCTTCACCCGGCAGTCAATACAACCCGCGCTGTATCGATACTGCTTCCCTTGCTTCAAAACCCTCACTGCCCCCGGCCTCACCGCTGCCCCCGGCCTCACCGCTGCCTCCTGCCTCACCCCCGGCCTCACCGCTGCCCCCGGGCTCGGCTTCCTACTTTCTCTCCCTTCGTCCCGCTCCGGCTGCCCAAGGTCCTGTTGCACTGCCCCCGGCCTCACCGCTGGCCCCCTCACCGCTGCCTCCGGCCTCACCCCCCGCCTCACCGCTGCCCCCGGGCTCGACTCAAGGTCCTGTTGCACTGCCCCCGGCCTCACCGCTGCCCCCCTCACCGCTGCCCCCGGCCTCACCGCTGCCCCCGGCCTCACCGCGGCCTCCGGCCTCACCCCCGGCCTCACCGCTGCCCCCGGGCTCGGCTTCCTACTTTCTCCCCCTTCGTCCCGTTCCGGCCGCCCAAGGTCCTGTTGCACTGCCCCCGGCCTCACCGCTGCCCCCCTCACCGCTGCCCCCGGGCTCGGCTTCCTACTTTCTCCCCATTCGTCCCGCTCCGGCTGCCCAAGGTCCTGTTGCAAGCCGTTTTGTCCTGGGCAAATATAAAAAGGTCGAAAGCATGCGTATCAGAACACTGTGGTGAACTCCTGGAGCTGTACGACACCCTTGTCCACCGCAATCAGGTACGCAATGCCGGCGATGCTTTACTGCTTACCTTCATCACTAAAATCCATATTTCTCAGCAGCCTGTGATTCAGATTGAGTGTTGTTTACTGGGAACCTCAAGCCTAGGAGGTCCTGAGCCCGAATATCGCCGGCGGAGGTTCTGTATGTGTATGTCTGTCGAAGCGATAGCAATGATGTTGGCAATGGCGGGTAAGGAAAAAGGCCAAAAACGGCGCCGCCGCCGTCGCGACAAACGTCCAGAAATGGGTGGCGCAGCACGGGTCGGCCTGAGCTGTGCCTGGCCCCATTCCTGTGCCCGTGGCTTTGCCTTTCAACTACCAACAACTCCACAGAGTAGCGAGACTACAGTACCACAATTATATGTGCTAGGATGGGGTTGCTTTAATAAGCAGCGGGCGGGTTCGCGTGACTTTCGCGTTTCCGTTTTGTGTTTGGGATACTCTTTCGCGTTGGAGTATTGTTTTTTCTTTCCTAACAGGCATCAAATAAAGAACTCACGATTCCCCCGCCCGCCCTTTTGCGGCAAACGCCTTGCTCCTGGTCCCGCTTGTTCCTTCCCCGCTGCAGCCGTTATCATGAATCCTCCGCTGAACCTCGAGACCTGTAACAAGAGAGACTCTGTTGATGATAAAGTACAAGAAGAAGAACGGCTTTTCAGGAGGTGCTTTTAAACGGGAAGGAAGAAAAGATGAAGTTCGCAGTCACGTGCAGTGTCCCGTGACTCGGATCCTTCACACCCCCCCCAAAATCACAGCCGGCTTGATTTTTCACAAGACGAGAGCGTGGGGTGGTGGTAGGGAGGGAAGAGGGTTATGGAGGGAAGAGGAAGGCGTGGGGTGGTCCGGTGTGGTCTATCTATGGTGTTGTGGAGGGGTCCAGTGTCATTGTTGGTCTCTTACGGGGATAGGGGTGCGGTGCGGTGGATGGTCCGAAGGCCAATGGCGTTCTTGTACGCGAGGAAGGCGATGGAGTCGGCGATCACATCCTCTTCCACCCAGTCCGCGGTATGGGGTGATTCGCCTGAGCGACGGGCGAGGTAGAGGCGACGGCGGGCGATGTCCCGGTGTCGTAGGATTTCCGCAAAGGGGTGATCATCGATGCTCTGTGTGTATTTTGGGATCCGTGCGGTGTACAGGCGTAGTACGTCGACATGGAATACGGGGTGCTGGCGCATCGTCGGGGGGAGTTGGAGTTTGAAGGTGAGGGGCTGTTCGCCGGGGTGTAAAACGGGAAAAGGGCCAAGCCATGCTGGAAGGATTTTGAGGGCCGCTGATGGCAGGTCCTTATATTCCGGGATGTTGATCGCGCTGCGGTGAACGAGAACGTGGGCGCCTTGTCGGATGCGGGGGTCGGCCGGGGCTCGTTTCATGTCGGCGTATCGGGCAAAACGGTCCTGGGCGTTTTGGATGCGGGTCTTGGCCAATCGTGCAACGTCCGCAAGGCGGTTTGCCCAAGCGGGGCCGGGGAGTTCTTGTGACGTCTGGGTGTGGAGCGTGTGCGGCTTCAGGGGGTTGTACCCCAGGTTGGCCTCAAAGGGGGTCATCCCGGTAGATTGGTTCTTTGCGTCGTTGTATGCGAATTCGATGGCCGAAAGGTATCGCGACCAGTTCCGTCCGGAGAGATCGGGGATGCATGCAAGCATTTGTTTGATGGTTCCGATGGCTCGTTCTGTGTGTCCGTCCGTTTGTTGGTGAGCGGTGGTGGCGATCGCGGTGCGGAAGCCCAAGTAGTCGGATACATTGAGCCAGAATTCGGACGTGAAGCGGGAATCGCGGTCCGTGACAAGAGTCTTCGGGATGCCGTGCAATCGTATGATGTTGTCGACGAAGAGCTGTGCGGTTTGGGCGGCTGTGATGTCGCGACGGCATGGGGCTATGTATACGCGTTTCGTGAGACGGTCAACCACAACCATGACCGCATCGTTTCCGTTGGCGTCGACGGGCATATAGGCGAAATCTAGGGTGACATCTGACCAGCGCATTGTGGGGATCGGTAGCGGCTGCGTCATTCCGGGTTTTTGTCGTCTTGTTTTCGCCCGGAGACAGGAGTCCCAAGTGCTGGTGTATCTCTTCACGTCGCGCTCGAGGTTCCGCCAGTAGAACTGCCCCCGGAGGCGCTCGTAGGTGTTGAACCACCCGGGGTGTCCGGCGGCTTCTGCAGTGTGCGAGTCGTGGAGTAGCTGGGTGCGTAGGGGGGAGTCGGGGATGTACAGCCGGTTGTCATAGAATAGGAGCCCGTTTGAGTAGCGGTGGCGGCGGGTGTGGATGGTCTGGGCTTGCGTGGGCTTGTCCATTGCCTTCAAGATTTCCATCGCGTAGCTGTCGCTCGTGATCTGCGCTCGTACGACGTCTTCCAGTTCGTTTGTGTTTGCGAGGGCGACATTCACGTACACAACTTCCCTGCATTTGTGGCATCTGGGGGCATAGTCCGGGCGGCAGGAGAGGATGTTGGCGATGGTGTTGTGGTTGCCGTTGACGTAGCCGATGGTAAGCTGATGGTCTTGAAGAAGTTCCACCCATGACGCCTGTCGCCGGGATAGGTGCGGTTGGGAGCGGAGCCAGGTGAGTGACTTGTGGTCCGTTAGGGCTGTGAATTCCCTGCCGCGTACGTATGGGGAGAAGCTCTTGACGGCTTCGACCAGGGCAAGGAGCTCGCGTTCATGCACGCCGTATCGTGTTTGGTATGAGACGAGTTTCCGTGACCAGAAGGCCACCGGCCGGAGGGTCGGTAGGATGTTCTCCCATTTCGCATTTTTGGGGATCCTGGGGCTCCCGGGCGGGGGTTGCAGGAGACAGGCGCCCATCGCGTACCCGGATGCGTCAATGGTAAGGAAGAGCTGGGCGGTGGGGTCGTACCACTGGAGGGTTGGTGCGGAAGTGACGGCTTCGCGTAGCGTGTCCCATGCGGCTTGTTCGGAGGTACCCCAGGTGAACATTGTCTTGCCCGCGAGGAGGTTGGACAGTGGGAGCGCGATCTCGGCGTATTTGTCGATGGAACCCGAAAGGTAATTTGTGAAGCCAAGAAAGGAGCGAACTTCACTACGGTCGGTTGGTTGGGGCCAGTTGACGACGGTGGTAATCTTCTCAGGGTCAAGCTTCAATCCCTTGTCGGACACAACAAAGCCGCAGAACAGCACCGACGTCTTGTAGAAGGCGCACTTAGCGAGATTGATATGCAGGCCATGGGCGCGGAGGCGACGGAGAACCTCCTTCAGGATGCGTCGATGGGTCTCGAGGTCGGAGGCGTAGATGAGAAGATCATCCATGTATACGATCAGTCCCTGGTCGAGCATGTCGGCGAATATGTGGTTCATGAGCTTGTTCCATGTCGCAGGGGCGGAGGTTAGGCCAAAGGGCATGATCTTCCACTGGAAATGTCCGAATCGGGTACGGAATGCCGTCTTGTGGACATCGTGCGGCGCGATGGGGATACCGTAGTACGCGTCTGTAATGTCAAGGGTGGTGAAGTATTTGGCACCTTGGAGGCGGTCGCGCATTTCGACGAGGTGTGGGATGGGTGTGCGGTCGGGGATCATCATTTGGTTGATGGCGCGATAATCGATGCAGAATCGGAGTCCTCCGCCCTTCTTTTTCGCGAAAAGCACCGGGGCGCCCCATGGGGAAGAAGATGGTTCAATGTAGCCTTTCTTGAGCAGGGTTTGGAGGCGCTCTCGGAGGACATCGAGTTCGGCCACGGACATGTGGTACAGCCGTTGGTATACAGGTTTAGCGCCGTCGCGCAGCGGGATGGTGTGCTCGATTACCGGTTTCGGCTTGTCGGGGGGATCCTTGACTGCCGCGATGTGCTCCTGGACGAGATCGCGGACTTCATGGGGAACGTAGGTAAGGTCCATTGGTGTAGGTTCTGGGGGACTTGGGTTTGCGTGGGTAACGTGGACTTGGGCAACGTTGTTCGAGTCGAGGGTGACGGAGCCGGTCGCCACGATTGCCCCTCCTTTCTTGACCAACCGCCGGAGCTGATGTCGTGAAATGGGTGTATCGGATTCGTAGCCGGAGTCACGGCCATCCTCCACGGAAATCACCTTGGGCTTGGTGTGCGGTTTCTTTGGGATGGGGACACCGGCTACAGCGGCGGTGGGGAGGAGATGTTTGTTGCCGCGTACATCTTGTAGTGCCAGTGAGATCGTGGGGCCGACGTTGACGAAAGAGGGACAATTGGCGATGAACCACGGGAGGCCGACAATGGCATCGTAGCGTATCGGGGCTACAATCCATGGGAGTCGTTCGGTGTACTCATTGAGGCGCAGTTCTGCCACGGTGTACTTGGACAATGTACCCGAAGAGTCGCGGTCAGCGTACTCTAGGGTGATCTTGGTAGGGCGTAGGGTGAAGCCGTGCTTCTGTGCGAACTGGTCGTTGAGTATGTAGGTGGTACATCTGGTGTCGAGCAGGATCGTGGCGAGAACGCCGTTGATGAAGCCGGTGACTGTGAGCGCGGCCTCAGCGATGGCTGGGCCCGTCGTTCGTTGGTGAGTGCGGAGCTCGGCAAGGTAGGCTCGGGGTCCGGGGGGGTCAGGGGGTTCAGGGGGTGTGTCCGTGGGCGGGGTATGTCGTGCCATCAGGTCGGCTACAATGATTTCAAGTATCTGGGAGGCTTCTTCTTGGAGACAATGGGGAACCGTGCTGGGAGGGTATGCATTCATGTCCGGGTAGTGCCGTTGGTTCAGGGGCCGTGCGTGGCGGTGGGTCGTGGGGGTCATGGTTTTCGGGGTTGTCTGGGGTTTGTTGGGTTCTTTGGGGGCGCTCCCAGCGGGGGCCGGTGAGGTGGTGTTCCTCGAGGTCGCCGCAGCAGGGTCCAAGGGGGTCTGATTGGTACTGTCCGGGGGTCGACTTTGGGTGGGAGGAGCCTGCGCAGTTCGTCGCACTAGCAGGCCTCACGGAAAATCCCCCTGGGTGGTCTGCGGATCTTCATGGTGGTCGGTCGTTTTGTGTGTGTCGGAGGTGATCGCCTGGATGCGAGCCTTGGTGTACTTAGGGCAGTCGCTCTGCATGTGGCCGGGTTGGCGACAACGGAAGCAGGCCCCTTGGTCGCGGAGACGTTGACGCTCGTCGTTTGTAAGCTTCTTGAGACGCTTGGTCGCGGGGCCGGTGCCTACCAGGTCAACCGCCGCACGTTTGTTCGATGGGGGCCATTGTTTCAGGGGCGGTCTCTTGTCCCTGCTGGCTTCATCGCGGCGTGCGCTGTCGACGGAGTAGACGCTATCGGCCAGCGTAACCAATTCGGCGGGGGACATCGTAAGGCTGGTCGGGTTGGCAGCGAGCAACCGTTGGATGCCCTGGCGGAGGCCTTTACGGAATGCGCAACAGGCCTGCTTATCCGTCATCTCAGGGACTTCGAGGAGGAGGGTGGAGAACTTCTGGTAGTACTCATCGATGGAGCCCGTCTGGGTGAGGCGTTCGAGGGCAAGTAGCGCGTGTTCTTCGGCGTTGGCGGGGATGAAGCGGGTACGGAGCCCCTCTTTGAAAGCCTCCCAGGTGAGGATGGTGGGTTCCGCTTGTTCGTACCAACGATCGGCGGAGTCCTTGAGCTTCGAGGCGGCAAGCGAGATCTTCATGATATCCGGCACGGCGGGGGTCGCGGCGAAGCAGCGGTCGAGGCGTGTGAGAATTCAGTCGCGGACTTGGTGGATCGGGACATACCGTCAAACGTGGCGAGGCCTTCGCGGAGAGATTTGGCGATCGGGCCTTCGTCAACGAAGCCGGTTGTGTCGCCGCGGTTCTGTAGTTCCGGAGGGGTTATCGGGGAGGGCAGGTGGGACGGGGCGGGTGAGGCCAGCGTGCGGTGGACGGGGCGGATGTTGCTGAAGGTAGAAGGGGCCCGGTTCTGGTTGGACTGGGTCGGGCCGGCGTTCTGCTGGGCTTGTTGGGTGAGGAGACGTTCAAGGCGCAGGGTTGCGGCGGTAGCCTTGGCGTGGGATTCTTTCACCAGACGGAGGAGGTCAGCCTGGCGGGCGAGTAGTTCCGCTTTGTCCGCTGCCGCTTGTTCACGAGTCTCGTTGACAACGTCCGCGAAGTTGGATTCCATCTGGGCCATGAGTTCGAGGAGACCTTGGGGGTTAAGCTCGCCGTCGTGGTTCTCCTCTTCTTCCTGGTCGTCCTGAGAAGGTTCGTCAATTTGCTCGGCGTGGGAACCTTGGTCGACCTGGTCGGTCTGGGCGTCCGAGTCTTCGGCCTCCTCGTCGCGGCTGTCGGCCTGAACGCTGGTCGGGGAGGCGGGAGGTTCGCCGTGTTCGTCGTCGTTGCGCACAGGGCGGTTGGAGGTGACGTCGTCGGAGTTGGGATTTCCAGACTCCACTGAAACTGCGCTTTCGCCGTCTTGGTCATCTTGGTCGTGCGTTTGGCCATGGTGTTGTACGGAACTTTTGAGGGGTGAAGTGGGCAGAAAAAAAAGGGCTTGCGTTGGCGGGAGTCGTCGTCGTTCTTCGTTCAAAGAAGAGTGGTGCTACCATGTAACAAGAGAGACTCCGTTGATGATAAAGTACAAGAAGAAGAACCACTTTTCAGGAGGTGCTTTTAAACGGGAAGGAAGAAAAGATGAAGTTCGCAGTCACGTGCAGTGTCCCGTGACTCGGATCCTTCACAAGACCAGTGTCACTGCTTCTCTGCATCGCATGGAAAGCGGTGACTACATCGGGCCTGTGCCGACCGCCATCAAGAACAAGGACTATGGCGTCGACGACGATGGACTCACCATTGTTCCAACACCGACATGGCAGTTTACGCCATACGCCCTCTCTCTGTTCATTCCGCAAGTCGACAACCATCTGTACCTAACCACCGCCCTGCGGGAGGGGAAATGTTATCAGTTTGTCCAGCTCCCCTTTGACCTGCCAAACGGAATAGCCGTCGTTCTCGACGGCGAGATCCCTTTGAAGTTTTGGGAAAACGCGAAAGACAAAGCGCTCAAGAAAGGCGGGGTTCGACAGACCACAAACGCCCACTACTCCTTGATCTGCACGGAACGCATGAGCGAGGCGACGTTCCTCGAAAACCTGCGGCACATCTTCCAGATGCCGCAAGTCTACCCGTGCCGTATCCACGCCGCCGCAGGGCTTGCCGACCTGACAGCAGATTGGGAAGGAGCCTCAGACCTTGACGGACCGGTTCGTATCGTCCACGAGGCCGCTGTGCAGCTGGCACCGCTGATGTCGGGCATGGATAGAATTGACGTCGCCGGGTTACACGGGCACATCTCGATTGAAAAGCCCACCTTTTCGTCGCTGCTGTCAAGCCCATTCTTCAGCCGGGTTGCCTTCCACCTACTGGGATTTGGGGTCGAAATCGAAGACTCCCACTCTGCAGCTATCCGCATGGGGGCGATCCGCGAAATGATTGCCGACAGATACGAGTGGGACACCGATCTGCCCTACAAGTACAAAGGGAGTGAGTTGGGGTCGCGCACTCAAACTTATGCGAACACTTGACTAATCGCTTGATAGAAACGTGGTGCTGCCGAACTCGGGAGTTGACGATGTCGTCGATAGCTTCAAGAGGGGTCTTTCTTTCTCGGAATTTGAGTATGGGGAACACGTGCCCAACTTGTCGGACAGCGAAGAGAGCGAGCAAGCCTTCCTAGACTTCTACAAACCGTTCGGGGTTTTGACGTGCACACTCATCGCAGCGAACTCCGTTTGGGCCGTCATGTCGTTTGACGGGACGTCGACAGACATCCCACCCTTCCGAATCGAACGCGATAACAAAATCTACGCTGCCGACGCCTGCGGAAGGATCACGGATTGGATTGACGATACTGAGCAGCAGCTCATAGTTGTCGAGTCTTATGCGGATCCTATTCCCACTCCCCGAGTCAAGTTCGAAAGGATTCTGGCGGAAAGCGGTCGCACGCGACAATGCAAAAAGATCTTGCTCGTGGGCAGGTGCTGTAGGAACCGAACCTTGCATGGGGAGTTGTGCTGGCGGCACCGGATGTCCCAGGGCGCCGAATAAATGTTAGGTTGATGAAAGCACAGCGCCACGCCAGGCATTCTTTGTCGAGTTCCGAAGAAATCAAAGGAACGAGAACCGACGTTGCTTGAAGGCCCCTTGCTTTAAAATCCTATACAAATAAGAACGAACGAGAACCGACGTTTCTTGAAGGCCCCTTGCTTTATGTATATTACTACGGGTCTCAAGCCCTGCCCTGCCCCTAGCCTCGGTGCATCGCCCGGTTCTGGTGGCAGTGACGGTAATACGAAATCCTGCTTGGCTTCCTTTTTTCGGTCTACTATAAACATGGCGAGTTCACTGTTGAAACTTTTGAAGACGAGAATAAGTTACGTCAATTCTTTGACGACTATCTCGATGAGCATAATCATGTCCTAGATATGCACCTCCCTCTTGAAAGATTATGCGAAGAAATCGTACATCTCGGTTATAAAGTGATTACCGAACAAGCCGGCTTTGGCGTCGTCGCTAGCGTCCTGACCGACGCTGAACAAGGTTGAAGCCTCAGCGCTCACATACGTCTTCGGCAAGCGTGTCGTTCGGTCTTCCGCGCAGAATAAACAGACATCTCTTGTCGCAACCCCACGGCCTCTGCACACACGCAACGGCCACCCCAAGTATTGTAGTAGGATATGTGCGCCAGAGGCCGCTCTTCAAAACTGTTCCATTACATTTTTTATATTTTCTCTTAAAAACAAACAAATGCCTACTTTAACTTGCTTTGTCAACGTCAAAGACAGAGGGCTCCTCATCGCTTTCCTCTCCCGCAACGCCAGCCTGACTCCACTCTTGCACCTTGCTGTTACGATCTGCGACAACGGCCTGCATGATTTCCTTCGTGATAGCAAAGCAGTTTGGGCACTTGCTCTGCTTGAACATCGCTCGAACACTGCTGCGGTGACGGCAACAACCGCAGGAAAGGGGCTGGCAGGGGGTGTTATGACCAGCGTTGTCGCATGGGAATGCATATCGAGTGATGTCAACATGCTTTCCAACCTTGACTACGGTGTGGCCTTGTGCATTTGGGCGTCGCTGGGTGAGTGGGATGACTGCCTCGCCTAGCAGCAGGCCGTCAGGCTCTGCGGTGAAACGATACAACCGCGTGGTCACCGGATTCTTGCCAGCTGTCCTTGATTCCCTCTTGTAGGCTGGGCCGCCATGGTCTTTTTTGTAGACGATTATCTGGTCAAGAATGCTGAGAAGCTTATCCGCCGCAGCCTGGAGGTTGCACTCCTGGTCTTTTGCGGAATTGGAACAACGACGTCCCGGCGTTTGCTCCCCGTAGCTTGCCTCGGCGAAGATTCAGTACTGCCGCTTCCTGAGCATCGGCTTCTTGGAGGGCAGCTTTGAACATGACTTGCTGCTTGGCTTGATTCTGCTGCATCGTCGGATGAATAAGGGGACGGATGACTGAATGCCAGAGTTTGATGGCCTCCTCACTGAGATGCCGGAAGTTGTTTTGGATCCATTCGTAAAGCGGGATGTTGTGCACACGGTAGAAGCCCATGCGCCCAAGAATGCAAAGGATGATTGTCACGTAGTTCTTCTTCCCCATTTGTATGAAGAACGGGAGGCTGCGAACAAGGAATTCCTCAAAGTGATCGTGGTTGAGGGATGTGATAATCACTGGTGCGTCGAGCATGAGCGGTAGATGCTCCTCGAAGAAGGTACGGATAACATTTCCGCCCCAACTGTAGTCATGCGCCATCGGGGCTGTCGACGTCGGCGTGTGAGCAAGCTGCCATGCCTGAAGTGCGAGAGACAGCAGGAGAACACGTTGAATGGGACGCAGATTGACCTGTGGACAAACGAAACCCAGAAATGCCGCTTCGTAAAGGATCTTAAGAAGGGGGAACCAGTGCTTCTTTGCTGCTTCCTGCATGTTCAAGGCAATGTGAAACGATCCAGGCCAATCCAAGAGTTTTCCGGAGTGTCGCTCCCCCTCCGCAGAGCCCGTGAGGAACTTAAGGGTTCCCATCCAGATGTAGAAGTCTCCGGATACAACAATTGGCGATTCATCAATATATGGCCGAAGTTTTGGGATGATCGTCTCCTGATAAAGCTTCACCATATCCTCATCAGACTTCATCGGGTTGTCTTCGCTTGCCAACGCCACAAAGTTTTTGATGGAGCACACCCAATCCAAGCGCCGGGTGTCATACATCTGGCGTATTTCCCCTCCGTTCCCACGTTTGACAATGTAGGATGTCAGTGTCCGATCCAACAGCCGACAATACTGCGAAAGAACATGTTGATCCTCTGCAAACCCGATTGTGTGAAAATTGGGGCGCAACGGCCCCAGCCCAGAGGGTAGGCGAGGCATCTGTGAGACATCCCAAGTACGCACTCCAACATTTGCTGTTGTCCGGGTGATCGATCGCTTTCCCTGCTCATTTGGCGTGCCTCTCCCCTGATGCCAATTGAAATCATCAACGAGAACCACGGCGGATGTGTTGGGAAGCGCAAGTCGCGCGGACACGTCCCCTTCGTGAGCGGCAATGGCAGCCTGCGCTTGGACAGTGTTGTGTTGCGGGACAAGGGAGAGGCCAACCCTGGCGATCTTTGTCTGCTGATCGGTGCTGACGTTGGAAAGCTGGAGCTGGGTGGACATCTAGCGCTGGAGGTAGTTTGCACAAAGGTGTCGGGTGCTGAGATCGAGCAGGATCGAGATGAACACTCTGCGGCAGATCCTATCACGGTGTTTCTCACTCCACTTTGAGCTGGGCTTCAGAGGCACGTCCCCGACGACCATGGTCATCTTCATGTCAAACAGCCCATCGCATGTGGTATTCATGTGATCAATAAACCGTTCCATGTTTCCGATAGGGAAAAGAAGCTGCCCGTGCTCGTCCTCAAGTGGATTCTCCATGAGCATCTGCAGCTTTGCTGCGTAGGTCCTCCCCTCAGGCCCCGGCGTCGTTGGTTCGTCAATCCTGTCATCCCCCTCATCTTCATCTTCAACCTCATCCGTGAGTCCAAGGAAAAACAACATCTCCAGTTTGTCCCACGGCTTTGCTGATGAACCCTCGAGGACATCAGATGTTGTGCGGGACCGGCTGCGGCGAGCTTCGGCGTCAGGAGGGGCAACACCTTGAAACTTCAACTGAAGCGGGCGCATGGGTTGCTTTGGGAGGCAAATATCAACGTGAGACTGAGTGCGCACAGTGGGCGGGGGCAGGTTGGCAGCATCGCTGCTGGGGGGAGGAGTGCTGTCGCCGCTGGGGGGAAGAGTGCCGTCCTCATTGTCACCGGCAGAAGGCCTGTCACTGGCTACCCTGCGCTGTCTCTCTGCTCTCACTGCCTTCATGCATGTTTTGCATCCATACAGCTTGACAGTATTGGGAAGGTCACCCGTGGGAGCCCGCAAACAGAAACTACCGTTGGAACTTCCAAGCCAGGAGCGCATATCCGTGCTCGACAGCGTGAATTGGCGGTGAATGCCCTTTGCTTCAACACGACGGCGTTGCACTTGAGCTTTGGAGCAGGGCTTATCCGCTGCTGTATTCCAGATATCACAGTACGCATAGTCTTTCCGGTCATCCTCAGCCTTACACAGCAACTCGGCAGTTTGCGTCCTGGTCCGCATCTGCAATCCTCAAGTCAGTTTGTGTGACCTCATTCTGAGATTAGAAGGCCAGCTTTTCCATACCTTTGTGCATTGAGAATGGGAAGAGCCGTTACGTAGAATCCAGAGGTCCAAAGGTTTTCCTAGTAGCACGTTGTTTGAGGGTTGGCGTGGTTGAGGAGTTCTGCTTGGTAAAAGTTCGCGGTAAGTAATTACTTTCTCCAACAGACCAGCTGGAGTTGCTCCTCATACCTGTTTTAGTTATCCCACAGAGTCTCAGGTCAGTTGGGTGTGTGTGGTTTTGCCATTGGCAAAAGCAATGTTGAAAAAAGGAGCTGTGGAAAAAGCGTCGGCGGAGTTGTCGAGGTTGTCGCGGCGCAACTGCGCGGACGTATGTGAGCGCTGAGGCTGATGCTACGCTATTTTTTACATCTTTATTTTCCATTCAAGGTCACGCAGAAAACATCATTGCTGTCGTCATTCCCACATTGCCATATTGCCACATCACAACATCACAATGCACAACAAAGATTTCTTTTCTTGCCCCTTCAAGAAGAAGAAGGAAACTTGCAAATGGCGCTATTAACCACCAGCAGGAGACGACGCCATTTGTCAATTCCTTGCAAGCACGCAAACCAGGAACGTAACCCTGAGTCGGGAAAATGCAGACGCAAGTGTCCACAAGGAAGCGTGAGAGGAGCTCAAAACCGATGTCTACGTCCTAAGTCAAGAAGCCGACGCAGGTCGAGAGTCCGGTCAAAGTCACGATCCCGTTCCCGAGTACGATCCCGTTCCCGTTCCCGATCACAGCATTCCGCACATTTCGGGGTAAAGGTACGCAACGCTGCAGGCCGGGTCATTCTTCAAGCTCCACACCGTATCAGATCCTCCATAACGCCAAGCTTCAGAACCTTAGCAGCGAGTGCACGACGAAAATCCGTTACAACCCCGACCCTGACCTCGTGTCTCGCTTCGAAACGCCGACTTCAGATCGGTATGCTACGTCTTGCGGCCAAACTATCTATTGCTCGTAGCAATCTCGATGGAGAAAGGCTCAAGAAACGAACCAAAGTGGTACCAAAGCCGAAATCAAGGGTAGAAAAACGATCCAAACGCAGCAGCTTATCTGCTCCAGAGCGCAACACAGCATCAATCCGAGCTGCAAAATCTAGGAGCATTCGAGCCCGAAAGCAAGCCCGTCTGGGTCGAGAAGACGACTGGTTTGCTGGACTTATACGTCGACATGGAGGAAACAACATATCCGAGGCTCAGATTCAGGCTGTGCTGCGTCAAGCTGACGATGATGCTAATCAAGTAGCCAATCGTGTCGCGGCCGCCCCGGTACGACACAAGTCAAGAACCCCAGACCGAAACAGTAGGGGACCAGTTGTCGCAAAACGTCGCATTACCCCCACTTTCCTACGACCTTTGTGAAGAGATTACCGCGATCCCATTTTTTTTCGCTTTGCATATCACCAATTAGCTATTGGGCAATCAGCAATCGGCAATCAATCGACTGTGAAATGCCTATCACTTACTTGGATCAGCTATCCATTGTTTCGCCGGGCACGGGAAGTGGTATCCGGCTAGTGTCGTCGACAGGTACAGCAATATCTGTCAACATCGCTGATGCCACTCAACAAACATACACAATCGTCATGCCACCAAATGCACCTAGCGCTGCCGGTCAGGCTCTTAATGCGAATCTTGATGGTACGCTTTTCTGGGGCGGAGGATTCGACTCAACAAAAACCATCACGCTAACCAACACAACTACAGTACCGAGCACAGCTACAGCTACCGCTTCATTAACGGGTGCGTTAACAATTGGTGGCGACCTGGTATTAGGTGCTACGAACCCGAGAGTGTATTTTCCATCTTCAGGAACCGGCCCTCCCACATTGACGAGCCGATCTGTAGGAAGTAAGATTGTTCTTCTTCCGAGCATTAGTTCGACTTTGGCTGATTACGCTATAGGAATAGATAGTAATACTGTGTGGCATACGGTTCCCACAAACACAGCAGCGTACTCCTGGAACTGGTACGGTGGCGCGACCCTTGCTGCTACGCTTACTGGTGCTGGGGCACTTACTACGATTGGAGCTTTAAGCGCTCCATCAGCGGCGATTTCTGGTAATGTGCAATTGAGCGGTGGTGGTGCATTAAGTATCAATTCAACAGCTGCTGTACAGTGCACCATGCTGAATCCGACTCTCGCGAGTTCAGGTAATGTCAGTATGCAGCTGGGAGTGGCTCAGTCGACGAATAACGACGCGTTCTGGAACTTTTCCTATGTTGGATCCGGATCAAGTAGTAAACTCAACGAATATCGGTCTCTTTAGCGGATCGGCCCAGCTTTCGATTGGCCCTTCGTCCGTAGCGGTACTAGGCGGATCGCTGTCTCGGGATCCGCCCGGGTCCGCCGGAGTCCACAATCGTCCATCCTAAGGTGGACGATGCGGACCGTTGCCGGGTACCTGCAACGGTCCGCAGGTTGGGTCCGGTCCGGGTGCTTGGGTAGTGTGGGACCGGAACGCGTTCAAGATCCCACGCGTTCCATTTCAGCGTTTGTACTGTATGTAAATTTAAACGCACTAGCTACCAGTATTCACCAAAGAGGGATTTACGGGACAGGAGAAAACTACCTCGCTACCCAAAACACCAGAGCATATACTTCAATATCGTTCGTTTCAGGGCTGTGAGCCTCAGTAGACTGGCTGGAAGTCGTTGAGGGGGAACCGATTGCGTCCGGCGGCCGAGGAACAGGTCCCAAGCCTCGAGTGCCATGTTCCGCTTATCTTCATTCTCGAGCGCAAGCCAACCCGCCTTTTGCTCTCAGCCTCCTCTCTGAGGTCGTCAAATGCCTTCAGCTGCGCAACAAAGTCCATCTCCCTGTCCACCGCCGCCAAAATCACGTTCTCTCCCTTCACCAGGCTTGACTTGCCGCATCGGCAGTTCCCCTACTTCTACCAAGTTCAGAACTTATCGCAGGGGCCAACTACAGTGCGATTTTTACCGTTACAGAGCTGTGACTTTTCGGGTTTGTCCGCGTATATCCCGAATGACCATCGTAGCGGGCTGCAAATTCCCCGGGAGGACCAAGAATCACACCTCAACAGGCAGACATATGTGACTCAGCACGAGCACGAAAGCAGCAGGTGGCTGTGCTGGGGTCGCCCCCAACAACGACGTGGATTGTCGGCTCCTTCACCGTGGTGGGCGTGAGTCTTTTTGGCAACCACGGGTAAGTTTGCGTCAACCAAGCCCGGATGGGTGTTCGCGTCGAGGTGTCTATGGCAGGTGTACAGTATGTCCAGTGAGATCAAGAAAAGTCTTCATTCGCTCGAACGTTCCGCCGATTCCGATTGGTTCACGTGCAGCCAAGAACGAAAGACTGGATAAGATATTCGAGTAAACCTCAGCCAAAGAGCGCTCAAAGAACATTATTACTCACCACCTACACGCAGCTTGCATTCGGAGTATGTCCTTCTCACCCGTTCCCGCTTGACGTTTCCGGTCGGTAGTGATTGGATAGGTTTCACAGAGAGATGGGGAAGATGGCCAGAGCGGAGAACGAGGATGAGGTAAACAAGCCTGTCAATCTATTATGTAATCTATCCAGATCTATTACACGACCCTGTCAAAATGGCAAATACGACGTGTCCTTCACGCGTAAATTCGGAGTTCTAACTTCTCGAAAAACATTGGTCCCGAGACCCGTTTATAAGCGGCTAAGCAATGCCACAGCACTTGCGCTGAAAATCCCTCCGTTCCCGTAAACGAGAGCCCTTCGGGCATTACGAATCTGTCGCTCAGGTCCGGCACGGTTGGTGAGTTGTGCGAAAGCTTCTATGATGTTGTACATGGCTGGGACTTCCCATGGCGCTCCGAACGCTGTAAAGGAGCGGTGTCAATATCGCAATTCCCCAATCAATAAGAAAAGACTGGGAGTACGAGCCTAGTAATCCACCGTGCGTGTTCACAGGAAACACATCTTGTGGGTGGAACCCCTCCGGATCCCTCTTCAGACCATCCAAAATCTGGTGATACTTCTCTTCCACGTAGGCACCGCCGTGACCTTTGGGAGCCAGACCGACAGCCTCGACAGCGCGGATCAAGCAGATCGGGAAGCAGTCATACAGTCTGCCAAAATCGTACGATGTTAGAGCGGAAGTCCGTTGCCAATGATAGTCCGTTTACTAACCCAAAGAAGTCAATATCCCTTGGACCCAATTGTGCCTCCTCATACGCCACACCAGCGGCTTCCTCACATGAAAACATGTCCTCGTTCATGTCATCGATGCTCTTCGGCGGGAAAAGCGGGCCAGATGCCTCTCCGCCCCCAATCACGACGACTCCAGTATCCCTCGCTATCCCCTTGCGCTCGAGGAAGTTTGAACTCGCTAGCAATAACGCCGCGCCTCCATCTGCTCTCCTAGCGCACTCAAGCACACTCGTCACGGGCGCCACATGCCTCGCCGACAAGATCTCTTCGATCGTCCTCGGTTTCCTCGTAAGTGCAGAAGGATGCCGTGAAGCCATGATTGACATGAGCGCCGACGACGCGGCGAGCTGCTCTCGCGTGATCCCAAAGTTCTTCATCTGGTACTGTGCTATCCTGTCGTATCCTGACGGAATCACCGGAGAAGGCAATTCGGCGGCGGGGTGGTTACAGGTTTGGTCGGCCCTTTTCAAGAACTCCTCCCCTGTGAGGTTTTTGACCGCGTCGCCGGCGACCACGGCTACCAAATCGGCACCCTCGTACATGATCATGCGCTTCGCTTCTAACAGCCCTGTTACCGGGCCAGCTCCTCCAGTGTCCACAGTCCGGACGATTTTGCTTTTGCCGGGAAGCATGCCCACTTGCGTTGCTGGAGTGGTTTCGACCTCGTTAGAAGTCGTAGGTGTCAGTGACAAGACGCGGCACACAGGACATACCCAGGTAATGCGCCTCCTACGTTTCCAGACACCGTGATTTGAAACGAAACTGATTAGCATACTGAACACCAGTAGTCGCTTTGAACAGTAAACTCCGACGCTACGCACCATGAAGTGCGTATCAGCGAGCGACGGCACCGCAATGAGCCCATTCAAATCCCTGAGCCCAAGTCCAGCGTTATCCAGTGCTAACCTAAGCGCCTGCTGCATCAGATTACTTGGGGAGACCTTAGCGGCTGTTGAGCGAGGGTTCAGCGGGGTCATGCCGGTAGCAATGAGCCTCACGGAGCGGGGAATCCGAATTGGAGGCATGGTGGCGTTTCGGTGTGGAAAGTGTCTTGGATATGGAGACGAGGCGACGCCTGGGATAGAGAAGTACTCTGTCCTGCTTCAGCGACCGGGTTCAGCGTTGTAAACCGCTTAGTAAGTCGGCTGGTCAACGACTTGAGCAAGTGTCGTTGTCGTTGTCGGCGAGAAACGGAAGCGAAGAGAACGACGCGGAAATAGCGGAAATCTCATCAACGATTCAACGCGCTCACTTTCAAAAGGTGCCCTCGACCTTCATGCCATTGCCCACAACAACATCCCTAAAGCACCCCGGAAAGCGACATGATGACCGTAGACGCATCCAAAAAGCTCACCGTCGATGAATACGACAAGCTCTCCGAATCCGAACGTACAGAATACGACGCCGCCCGCAAGAAGCTCGAGGAGGACGAACAGAGTGGTATGCCTCCCGTGACTCCATCATCCCATCCCTCAGACCCATCTAACATCTTTCCGAACTCCATCACAGCCCTCCCATACAAATGGCGCCAAACCCTCCAAGACGTGGACGTGACCGTGCAGCTGCCAAAAGGGACCCGCGGGCGTGATCTGGCTGTTACGATTGGGAAAAGATCGCTGAAAGTTGGGTTGAAGGGTGCTGAGCCTATCATGGAGGTGGGTGGGAGGGATTTGCGATGCGCACAGGGTTGGAGGATTGCGAGAAGGCATGTGTAGCTGACTGCATGTGATGGGATGTTTTAGGGAGAGCTATGCAACGACATAAAGCTGGAGGAGAGCACATGGCTGATTGGTATGTATCCACCATCCCTCGCGATATACGCGGGCCCGCAAACATCATCTAACTCACGCCATCATAAACCGATAGAAAACGGAGAACTAGAAATCCACCTCGAAAAGATCAACAAGATGGAGTGGTGGAAGCACGTCCTGACACATCACCCCGCAATCGACACAACGAAGATCCAGCCTGAGAACTCGAAATTGGGCGACTTGGATGGCGAGACGAGGGGGATGGTTGAGAAGATGATGGTAGGTGCAAGTGCAGCGCCAGTTTGAAGGGGACATCTGTGCTTCTGGAACGCGAGCTAGTGGCCCTGACATAATCCTGCACATCCTTTAGTTCGACCAACAGCAGAAACAGATGGGTAAACCAACCAGCGACGAGCAAAAGAAGGCAGAGATGCTGAAGAAGTTCCAGGATGCGGTAAGTCACAGTAGCTCTTATGCGCAGCACTCAATCGTGTCTCCAATGCTCATGCAGATCTGTGTTCCCAGCACCCCGAAATGGACTTCAGCCAAGCAAAGTTCGCCTAAACGATAGCGGGAGTTACGCGCATCGAGTGTAAATAGGGGAAATAGGTTTAGGTCAGAGTATTCAGAATATATTTGGTAGCTGTAACTACCAGTCTCAATCCAACCGTAAAGAATACATATTTTGCGAAGGAAGAAACGAAGCAGCGGATCTACATTTAATCAGGGACAGAGAATCCAACGAAGAATCCGCAGCCAAACTTATGGTGGTGAACTTATATGTGCAATCCCTAGCGGGACATACGCCGGAAAGATTACGCCGGAATGAACCAAAAAGAGTTGGTTCAGATCAACGCCAAAGCGGATCCCAGAACGACAGCTGCCGCAGTACCGAGACCAGACATCACCGAGGATGCAGAGTTCTTGGCATTGGTGGTGCTGTTCCCCGAGCTTCCAGAGCTTCCATTGCTGGGCGTGGTCCCATTGGCAGACGCGGTGGAGTTTGTGCCCACGGTGGTGTTTCCAGGGGCGCCGGTTGGGTCAACGCCCGGAGCGCACGCAGCGACCGTACACAGGCACTTGGCAGCGATGGGATCCCACCAGAGTGGATCACAGGTGGCGGGAACACGCGCACGTGTGGATGTGGAGGCAGGGGACGCATCCGCGAGGGAAGGTACCGCCGACGGGCATCCATAGCATGTTCGGAACGCACCAGTGGCGAAGTTGCAAGTCTCGGGTGCGGCGTTGCCAGTAGCGGCATCACCAGCGAGACCATTGCAGATCGTCGTTGGTGGAGCAGGGTTGGGCTGGCAGTTCATGTAGGGCTGGGATGCGAGCTGGGCCGCTGGGACGGGGTTCTTCATGTACTCGATCAGTTGGGATCCGGTCACCATCCAGGTGTTGGGCTGGGCCATGGCGTAGTCGAGGAAAGCGTTGACGGCCGCGAGCTTGGCAGTGCCGTCAGGCTGGCCAGGGGTGTTTGCGGTCAACCATGTTGGGTGGAGGTAGACTCCGTACGGGACGCGGCCGGTCTTGTAGTGGTTGTCGAAATCCGTTTTGTAGTTCGCAGTGACCTGTGCGGGTGCCGTAGGAGCGGTCAAGATTGGGAGATTGTAGGGGTCCATGGCACTGTACATGGGAATCTCCCACATGCCCTTTGCCTTAAGATCTTGTCCGCAGATGTTGATGGCTCCCAGACAGGCATTGACAGTTCCGTAGTCGAGGGTGTAAGGCCAGACATTGTCGGGCCCAGTAGCACTCAGGCTCGACTCGTACTCGAAGCCCAACGAGGACAGCCTTCCAAAGGCCTCGGCGGTGTAATTCAACAAGGGGAAGCGGAAACCCTTGATCTTGCTCTTTGGAATACCCGCAAGTTCGTTGGCCCACTTTGCCATCCCAACGATCTCAGCGTTGGTGGGGAAGCTATGGGTGATGGTGTGGTCGGCGATTTCGTTGCCTTGAGCGTACCACTGCGTTACCATGTAAGGGTCGCTGTAATCCACTTGAGTGTACCATGTTGCCCGAGCGGGGCACCCGTTGGGGTTCTTGCGGTTGGCAAAGAGCGCTTGAGCTTGCTTCCACACCGCTGTAAACGAAGGTGTTAACAGAATGCACTCAAAAACAGCGACACGGGTTCTTCCGCAGGTTACTCACAAGCCTGAACAGAGTCGTCGAATGTCAACGTCAAGAACATGGGTGGATCGTCGACGGGTGGTGTGGCGCTAGCGCAGCGACATGCGGGCGCCTTGCAGGCAGTTGCGTCGCAGTTGTAGTTAGCGAGTTGAGCGACGACGGCCGTCGCCGTCACCAGCAGCAAGGGAAGGGAGCGCAAGGACAACATCGTGCTACACAGGTGTGTTGTCGGAATTGGGGATGAGGTTGAGCTGCCTGTCTGTTCTGCGGGCGATGGCCAGGTGAAGTTGGTGAGAAGATCCGCAGTTGCTGACTAGGTCCTTTCAAGCCCGTTGGGAAGTTGGGATACGGCGTGCGCTTTATGATTTTTTTGCGTGAACGGTGAAAGGCGTCCAAGAAGAAAGCAAAAGGCAAAGCCTCTTAGCCCCATGCGGCCCTTGGAACATTCCGATTCTCTTTGTCGCAAGCGGGGGCGGTGCTGATTCACTGCTGAACCTGACCGCAGCCCCACAGCCCGATCCAGTGGTACAGCAGCAACCACGTGACTTTTTCCTCCTATTTTATCCAACTTTCTCTTTTACAGGAGTCAGCAGGTCTACGCGCTGTCAAAGTGCGCTGTCAATGGCCGGCCGGAGGCACGGGAAACACACAGCTGTCCCTGGGAAGGCCAGAACTCCTCAACACCGCCCATCGCCATACATACTACCTTGTTCAAAGGGAATGTGATCGGCAAAAAGTGGCAAAATTGCATACTGCACTTGGCACTGGGCACGACCCATGGTTGTCTGAACGCAGAAAACCGAGATGTGTGGGTGATAGTTACGCTTATTCCCGATTTGTGACATCTACGCGGACTCGCGGAGGGGGGATTTCACTTGGAGACACCCAGAAGCTTAAAGTACGGTAAAACCCGGTGCTGGAGTTTCGAGAGAGCATCATCATGGGGCGCTCGGAGGGCCGTGTACGCTGTAGAAGTCCGCGATCAATCACTGCCGATATTCAAGATACGAATACCGGATTGATGAACGCGGGAAAACCATAAGGCTACGAGGGCCAGGCATATTGCTACGGGGGAAAGGGAGCTCGCGCTTCAACGTTCTTGATCGACATCCATGTCATACCTTGTGGGAGACCATTCAGCAGACCATTCGCCAGCCAGCATCTCGCAATGAGGCCGGTAACCACGATCAACGATGGGACGGAGTTCCTGTCCCTCATGTCGGACCTCAAGTTCATTTCTTTCCTGTTCAACTCGGCGGTTTGCCTGTATGGGATCCAGTTTTTTCGATCCAACAAATTCCTGCGATGCGCAACATTATCCTCGGTATTCGGGACCTGCGGCGTGGTCTTCGTCACTCTCCACAACTACTATCGGAACATAGATCGTCTGTCTGACACCCGATTTTATGCATTGCTTGTTCCTATTGAGCTTTTCTGGAGCTTGTCAGAGTTTTTGGCCGCAATAACGACTCTATACAAGCTTGAGGTATTCGCGTCGACCCCCGCAATGAAACGCCGCAATCACCGGCTGCTGGTGGCAATGGCGGTGATCTTTGCCATGGCGCGAGGAGGGATCGTAGTGACGAGGGTCACGCAAAGAATAATATGGTAAATTGAAACTCCTCCAGTGACTTGTCGTCACCATCCCTCTTAATTCTGTGCCTCACATGCAGGAACTATACAATCTACATCGCCCACGCAGTCTACTACATGACGCTTGTCCTCATCGATACGGTCCTCACCACCTTCTTGATCCGCGACACATTGGCTATTCAGAAAACCAACGGAGGCTCCGCCTCTCTTTCACGAGAAGACAGCCTCTCTAGGCCCCTAGCCCCTTTCCTCGGCTTCCTTCATTTCATTGTGGTCGGGAACATCTCCCGTGTGATTTACATGAACGCCGTCATCCTGGTTATAGCCCTGACCTACGTCGACAATCGGATTGAAGCACATCCCGCGGTGACCGCGGTGCAGAACCTGGCCTACGCACTAAAGTATCATTTTGGCATCATCTTCTTCATCGATTTACTCCTTTGCAAGGAAGTCCTGAGCAACAGACCCCGACACGCACCACGACAAGCAGACATCACCAACCCGTCCTCGATGCCATCCGACTCCTGTTCCGTCGACATGCCCGACAACTACGTAACATCTCCAATTGACCAAAAGCAGACTAGCAGCCCAGTCGTGTCGTTAGCGAAAGACCCGTCGAGCTTTCGAAAGTACATCCACAACAAGAAGCTTGCCGTGCCGCTGCATGCGGACGTTGCATCAACGGCGAGTACGGAATTGGACTCGCGTCATTCTGTATTCCGCCCCCAGCGAAGGTCGCCTGGGCTTTCGAGTCACTTAACGGCTCCGCCGGCGGAGAAGATGTTTCCAACGTCGGATGACAATTTGCTGGATGGTCCGTCGGCTTCCGACGCCTCATTCACTGACTGAGACTGGTTTTCTACACCATGCCCCATGGCCATCATCTGACATTGACGCGCCAGGTAGCTAGATGTTCAGTGGGGTTGAGGACAATGTATTTCTACAGGGCATCGCATTAGAAGCCCCCTTATGTACATAAACTTACACTCATTCTTCAATCGAAATGTGGCCTCAATACAAGTTGCCCCTCCTGCCTCCGGATGAACACTTGCGCCAAAATGTCTCGCCTCTCTCACTCATCCCTTATCCCGAGCTGCAGAGGCGTCGTTCGTGGCCCATCTATGCTTCTCTTGCGGGGCATCTTGAGGTCAGCACCCATTGGTCTTCATCTTCGAGGCAACAGTAGTGGCGCAACGCATGTCTTCCGGGTTCATGGTGTCATCGGCAGCGCTTCTGGTGACTGCACTTGAACCACTGCGTTTCAGGGTGCTTGAGTTTGTGCATGTATTCATCAGGGAAAGCAGGACTTGGTTTGGGAGGCTAGGCCTCATACCCTTGGATTGCCGGATGACAGTTGATGGAGCTGCCCCGCTCGCTTATGATAAGGGTGGTGGCCCTGGCAACGGCTGAAGTGTATGCGAGAGCCTTGACAGGGACAGCAGGATGTGGTCGTCGCCAGCCTGGCTTCCTGCTGAAATCGCCAGAGCCAAAGGCAAACACAGGTTGATGAGCGAGAGAGATTGCCCAGTTCGTATGTAAAATGGAGGAGCATGTAAAATGCCCTGATGGCTCTGTGGTTGACTGATGATGGCCAGAGCAATCAAACAGGTGCATCCTGAATATACGGCTCACCTCCGAGTGGGCTGTGTCCATAGAGAAGATTGACTCGCAGTCTCGGACGATCAAGCTTTGCAGCACTGGTTCGGGCTCATACGTGCGGAACGGAGAACTACTTACATGTACAGACTACTCTACATCTCCGTCCTACACTATGATGAATCGAAGCTTCCACAAATTGCACAGCGGAAACACCCATTGCAGTTCAAAGAGTGCAGTTTACAGGTGTGACCCAGCCCGCCCCGTATGCAACAAAACGCTTTGTCGCACATGAAAACGCTACCAAAATCAGCCCCATACTGAAGGAAAGGGATGCTCGATACCCCGGCAAGAGTCGCGTTGGATGAAGAACTGAAGTTGACCTTGGTGACTTCGGATAATGGGGCGGCCAAAGGGTTGATTGTGAGTGGATGTTGCTGCGAAGCTTCCGACGAAACTAAGCTTTCTCTACTGCTGTAGCTAGGCACTGGATCGACGGGAATGGGAACGTCAGAGGTTGCTGTGGCCCTGATCATCAGCGAAATACACTTCTTACCTGATTTACCACCTCCAATAGGTGGTTATTCTCCAGAGCGGCTGCTACTCGCTCTTTATCATTCAATTGCTTGTTGACTGGCGTGTATATTACGAATCAGTAAGGCCCGGACCTTGACACTCATCAATCAACCGTGCTCTACCTGCTTGCTCAGACTGATGCGAGCCTTCCGAGACCTGGATGTCCACCTTGAACCTATCCGGCAGTGACCTCAACAATCGTACTCGTATGCATAACCCAATCAGTGTCGCCATCGAGCAATGTGGAATGGTGGGCGTGAATCGGACCAGAACGTGGTTCCGGTCGTTGTTGACTGAGATAAGGTTCAATTGCGTTACGTTGAGTTGTTCAAGCGTTAACTACAAATATAGGCCGCATATTTAGATATCGCGTACAGACGTAGCGGATTGCCGTCGCTTACAGGATGCTCGGGGTCGTTGATATTCCTGATCAAATCTGATATAGCCATGTGACAGACCGGGTGAGTAACCTATCATCTCCCGAAGCAAAGCAAACTGGACTGACCAAAGATCTCCTCTGAATCGAAAGGGTCGGCGGCCAATTCATCCTCGTCCTCTGGCCTGGCCTCCCGCCGAGAGGACTTGGTCCCAACGTCGTAGACAACGGGGTTGGCGTTGAGCTTGTCGGTGGTCATTTTGGAAAATGATTGAAACTTCGGTTTGGACTTCGTGCTGGAAGAGCTTCGAGTGAGTTGGAGGGAAACCCCCTGCAATAAAGCGTCTCCTTCAACAAAGGAGCTAGCGGAGGAGAGAATACAGAGTGCGTATGTACCTTCTGCGAACAGCTTCGATATAGAGCGGGTCCTGCTTATAAAGGAGGAGACGAATCGTTTTGAGCCTAGGCTTTCCCTCAAACGTTGGTCAGCAGCGGCGGTATACAGCTTATATCACAGACGAGTTGAGGGAGAGGGCTATCTACTGAGCGATGTTGCTGTGATCTGGCAGTTGCTTTGGGCTGCTGGGCTGTTGAAGAGAGAGGAAAGAGGATGTCCCCAGTCAACTTCGAGTCGGCCATCACTGACGCGCTTGCTGGGAGAATGTTTTCAGAGGGACATCTTGGGCATTTCCCTCATTCCCAAGGAACGAAACGAACGGCGACCGACGATCTCAACGTGAAGGGCAGAAGTCGGAGAACTTGCGAGGTTGCCGTTTATCCTGGGGTGGCTGCATAGTCCAATTGTGAACCCAAGAAAGTACCAAGGCCTGAAGCCCTCGACGAGGTCACACTTTACCTGCTGGAGATCAGTGCCCGGTCTATTAGCAGTGGGAGTGGAAAGAGCGCGCGGCGTAGACAGCCCGACAGCTTGTCAGTAAACGATGCCGCACTCAACACAGCAATGGGACCTCCCAGAAGTGTTCCATAGTTCATTAGTCAACTACGCTCAAGCAATACGAACGAGGGATGGGGAGGAAGGCACGGGCGCGGACCCGCATAGCATAAAGGAGGTGAAAAGCTATCTAGCACAGCTCAGACCCGACTTTGTTCAGCTCTTCAAAGAGACTCCGAAGAGTTCTGGAGAAAGGGAAAAGCTTCTTCGAGGTTTGTAATTTCTTTCCTGAATCGGCGCTCAAGTGGTGACTAACTGGGACATGTGTGCATGCAGGCGAGCTTACCTTGAACGGACGAAAGCGGCAAGCAAACCCTGATTTCGTTCAGGCTGTTATTTTCCTCTCCGATCTTTTAGGCATCAACGAATTGCGCGCCGCGGAGCTTTTCCAATTCGCCTGCGGAGTGAAGTCGAAGTACGAATACGAAGACTGGTCAGCCGTACGTGTTGCCGTACACATTTACCATTCGAACAGGGATTATGCGCTGCAAACCCTGACTCTTATGGTGACGGACTTCAATGCCGTTTCGGGAGCTGAGGATGTCGTGAAGGTCGTGGATACGTTTCTGCGGGACATGCTGCAAATGAATGTCGGACTACCGACGAAGATCCTGCAGTCTATGGACATTTTGAGAGACGCGGCCAGTGCTTTCGGTCCCGATGGAAAGCAAAATGGAATCACTTCGGAACAGGTGTCGAAAGTGGGATGTGAAGAGTATGTTTTTGCTCTGCATGCGGAAAGGCTTGAGCAACAACGATGTCAGTTGGGGACCCTTTTCTTCTATCTCACCAAACGATGGAAGCTTGCCGCGGAGGAGGTTCAGCTAGTCATTCAAACGTTGCAGGAGGTGCAGGTGGTTGACAGCACGAGTGTGTCACTACTATGCTCCCTCTTAGTTGCGTTCGACCACGCATTTGTACCGTACGACGACTATCGGCCATTGCGCATCGGGCACAGTTTTGATAATCTGCGGAATCTGATTCAGAGCTCTGCCTGGAAACTACCTGAAATGCAAGGAGTGGTATGGACCCGGTGGCTAGGGTTCTTGCATCAGTCCGTCTCCATAGAGTCCGATGATCCCGCCGTGGATGTGGCGTTCCAGACTGCCGCGCGGGCCAGTCTTGACGCTGAGAGTAGGAAGTGGAAAGAAAAGGTCGGCAAACAACCCAGCGTGTACACATTCATATGCGACAACGTCATCCCGTTCTGCAAGTCGAGAAAGGAAAGCCTGCTCTCTGCACCGGGACCGTCCATCGATCGCCATCTCCGTGAGGACTATATGGAACAAGTGGAGCGTCTCATTGATGCGTTAATCATTTATGTCCGATGGGCTTTGAAAGACATAAAGTGTCACGATGAAGATGCTACCAAACAAGCCGATCAGCTTGAGCGCCGAGCACCGCTCTCTCGTAGCTCTCGAATGGGGATGGATAATTCAACATACGGCAGGCGACCAACAGCTTGGGAATCTTTCCTGATCCTGATCACGATCCTGTATCGGGACAGGCCAGATGCCGCAGTTTCGTTCTGGGAAGACCTCTCCTCGCCCGACGACGAGCACTCAGTGGAGCATACCCAAACATCGGAGAAGCAAGCATTTGTTCGAATGGCATCCGACGTGAGGACCACTCGGTTCCTCAAAGCATTCATTCACATGTTGGCTTCGCTGGCGACCGGGAAATACTCAGCGCATCAGGTTCATCTCAAACTGAATGCCGAGCCAGCCGACAGCCAACTCGGGAGCGTTTTGTGGACGACCTTCTTCTCGTCACTCAACAGTGCGATCGATATCCTAGGGAGAGAAAACCGGGATCTCAGGCAACATGAGATCGATTCGATCGTTAGCTTCCTACGATTGCTTAGCCAAGTCGTAAAGTACTCGTATAGCGCTCGTCGAACACTATGCGACAATCAACATCTTCGCGCGATACATACCCTGTTCTGGCTCCTTGGAAGTCGGATACCTGTAGAGCTGAAAGCTGCTTTGCTCGATGCAATCGCCGCGTTCTGCATACCCCTGGGAAACTCCTACGATATCCAATTGCAGGTTTGGGCGATGCTGGAACAAACGCAAATCGTACCTACGATGCCGAATGCACGACATCCTGAGGAAAGAGGGGGACAACAGGGCGGGTACGGGCAGCCTGGAAACCAAAATGAGGGCATTCTATACGATCTGGAAGAGATTGAAACCGCCAACAACACATACCCTGAAACGCTGGCATTCCTTCGGCTGTTGAATATCCTCGTGAATGGTCAAAGGGACATGCAAATGGCTTCCGTTTTCGAAACTCTAGGGGCACCGAACCGATTGCCTGGCATCCGCCCCTATGTCCGTTTCGTGGCCGAGCACGTCTTCGCGAAGTCTCTTGTACGAAGGTTCGATGATCCGGAGGAGCGGTGGGAAATCATATTTAACTGTCTCAGCGTCTTCGACAAATGTCTGGAGATATTCGATCTTGGAAATTTGACATTGGAGATTGAGCCGGAGTATGACGATCAGGGGTTTCCCTTGGACGAGATGATAATGGAGACCGAAGGCTTCGGGAGAAATATCCTCCAAAATGCACAACTCTTGGGAATCCACCCTGGTTTCGAAATCATGTGCGCAATCCTGAGCAGAACGAAGATTACCGACAGATTGTTTGACGTAATTGGAATCGGGGTTGATTCTGTGAATGAGTCTGCCAGCAGACCATCGTTGTGTGGAAAATCCGTGTCGCTCGCCTTACAGATCATCTTGCGCGTGCTACAGCGACAGAGAGCGTTCCTGGAAATCCTGGCACCCGCGCTCTCGGAAGTCGGCGCAGCGGAATGGATTGGTCTCCCGAAATCGATGGCTGGCATCGATCATATCCTATCGTTCCAAAAGGAGATCGTGGTGAAGATCGCGGAATACATTGGGTGCCTTGATGACGAGGTCTGCCTGATCATCGTGAGAATTCTCTCCGCGTTGTCTCAATCTGCAGTTTACGCCACTGTTGATCCTGTTGCGGGGACAAACCGCTTGTTGGTTCTGCTGCAAAGCTCGCCATCTGCGGAGTCGATCATTGCTGGTTTCGTAAGTCGTCTCAACAAGTCCGAAGATGAAGGCAGCTCGGCGTATTCCGATCTCAACGATGGCGCAGATCCGGTCGAGTTCCAAGCTCGGGTGGAATACGAAAGACAACAGAGACTCGAAGCCCTTGTTGCTGAGAACGTGTACGCACAACCATGGCCTCTGGAGCAAGCGGGCATGGTGCATGCCGTACGATTAGCAATCCTTGACTTGCTGTTGACCAACCTCTCGAGTGTCGGACCGCCGCCAACGATCGCTCACTTCCTGCTCGGGTACGAGAAACGCATCACCGGGCCGCGTCCCCTTCAGGGTGATAGGACTGCTATCCGAAGCCGTCGCAATTGCCTGACAGCCATATTGGATCTCATCAAAGTTCCGGGGTCGAAACCTGGATCTGATGGGATTGAGGCCGATCCGTCCTTCCAGCCTATGTTTGAGACGCATCCACATCTTGCGGAACGTTGTTACCACCTCATTCATCAGTTGTGCATTGACAGTGTTATGTCATCGTCCACGATGTTATACCTTCGCAACGAAGAAGATTTCTTCTACTCGCAGCTCAAAGCGATGCCGACTGGAGAGCCGACGTTTGCGAGCGATAGTGAAAGCGGCGAACTCAGTGCCCTTCTGGCGAAGCTACTCCAGCGAACATGGCTCATGCAATCCGTTGCTCTCGAATTGCATGTTACCGTCGGAGCCCGACAGAGGATGTACGCCCAGCGTCTCATCGAAATGCTCTACACTAAGCCCTCTGGAATCTCAGGTCCCACTACATCCCGTTCCCGACCTATCGTGGAAGGCGATGAATGGTTGAACGCTTTCGACCAGCGCCAGCTTGGCGGTTCCTACCGGCAAAGCGGAACCGCATCACGGTTCGATGTCCCCTTGACGAAGATGTTGGAGGTTCTGAACACGATGAATTTCGATGAGCCGGTGCACCGGAACCCGGGCGACCTATCCCTAGCTACTGCTTACTTCCCGAACCTCAACTTAGACGATTTCCTGCAGAACTCCCTGTATGACATAGGCGCCTTACATCATTATATGATGTCTGTTGCCGAAAGTCGTAGCGGGATTGAGAATACCTCCGAACGGGCAGATTGCATCAAACGCATTCTCACCGCTGTCTTGACCATGAATCAAGACCAGGAGCTTGGAGCTGCTCGGTGGCACTGTGCGAACTCCTGGGGTCAAATCGTACAAGTGACTCTAACCAGGTGTTTCACGCTCATCCCCAGCACCGCCAGGGAAAATACGCTCTTCGACCTCCTATCGACCCTCATCGGCAAAATGACATCAGCGCAAGTGTCTCCCCTTATCGCCGAAACCATGTCCGCTGTTGTCCTGGAGCTCTTGGACAAGATGCACAGTGACCGGCTGTTCCAATCGCTCATTCACTCCTCAAACATGAAATTGGAAGCATCCACCGTCCGGTTGCCAACGGAAACCCTGTTACATGTTGTATTGCAAGGCATTATACGCGGCATCCTCATGGCCGGGGCATCTCTCGAGATGCGAGGGAATCTATACGTGGCCCTCGTGAGGTTGTTGCAGTATACTAAACCCAATGACGATGAAATATTGCACCTACCTCCTCCACGAGATGAAGACGCCGATGAGGCTTCGACGGATGATACCGAGAACGTATCTCCCTTGCAACCGAGCCAGTCTCACCTACTCCAAAGTATCTACGCTATCATCAGCACCACCGGCGGCGATAAACTCTTCGAAATGATTTGCCGAGACGCAGCGGACGGAAGCGGTGTATGGAACATCATCGCTTTCGTAGCGCTAGACTCCATCTGCGAGCTTGCGTCGTGTAGTCCATCCAGCCTGGGCGAAAGCAGCAAGATGAGCGGTTGGGTACTGGATGTACTTGTCAAAATCAACTTCCTCGGAACATTCGTTCGCACCATCACGCAGCACGACGATTATGAACTCCGCGGCATTTTCGTTCATGCAAAAGGCCATGGCGCCAACGGCGGGACGCAGCTGTTGGAAGGTCAATTGGGGACTGATGAGGATGGGTCACTCAACACGCATCTGTTGTTCGAGATGAAGATGGCGTTCCTATTGCGCTTGTCGTTCCAGATTGATGGTGCGCGCAAATTACTGGAGTATGGTGTCATCGAAGCGCTGGCGGAGTGCAAGTATCTGGATCAGCGACCGGAGTCCGATACCTCGTTTACAGGTTTGTAGTGTGCCGAGAAAGCTTCAAAGCGCATACTGGCTCACATTCGATATACTCACACCCCGTGCTTTCCGCAGGCTACGACCAGCTTTCCGTCTCGGCGAATGAACAGTATCACAACGTGCTGGTTCCGGCTTTACAACTCATCCTGTCTGTCGCTAAGCAAACACAAGGCGAATATAACGCATCAGCAAGTGTGCGTTCAATGCTTGTCGTTTAGCCTTTCGGTCTATGACCGGCCCCATTGACCTTCGCTATGCATTGGTTACTATACAGGTCGCCTCGTTCGTCACAGCCCATCGCCATCTCCTCGTAACCATCCTGCAAGATTCTACGCGGACCGTGACCCTAAGCAGCCTGACGCAATTGCAGCTCGTTACGGGCTTGCTCTCTTATCTTGCGGACTGGAAGGGCGTGACGGAACATAAGGTATTTGGCGAAAGCATTTCTGATCGTATCAACATTGTTATGCTGATACTTTCCTGTCGGTTCAAAGCTAGCGGAGGCAGGACACTACACGTTCCACGAACTGTTACTCAATCTCCTGGACAAATTCATTTCAAACACACGCTCACTGGTCGAAAAGATCCGACCAACCAACAGAGTCGAAGAAGAGAAGGATATGACTGCATTAGCCTGTGAGTTCAAAGGGCACGGGCTTATATTGACTGTCGTCAGCGCTGACTTCCTCTGGCGACACTTGCAGATCTGGGCAGGCCCTCTGGTCAGACACAATTCCGACAGGAAGCTGAACAGCTGATTCTCAGCGTGTGTCGTGACCTTGTTTCGTATTGCGTTACCGTCGGAACTAAGGTCGGCGGAGGTGAGTTGCAGCATCATCCCGAACTTTCCGATTCTTCATAAGCTCCTGGCTAATCGTTCCCTTACAGCGGGTCCACATGGATATGTGCCACTATTCAGGCCCAGCTTTGGAGACGATAACCAAGGAACGCAGAAGAAGGCTCAAAGGCAGGCGGGTAGGGTCTCGTGAATGCGATAACCATCAGACAAACCACTAGAACCGAAGCTAACACCTCATCTTTCGATAGCACCGACGCTCGGCGCCCTCTGCAACTTCACCTCCTCCATCGTTGACCAACTCGCACAGGCCGCCGACGACCACAAGAATCTTGACCTCAAAGTGTCCGATGTCGACCGTCTTACAGCCGACGAGATCTTGTTGATTGCCCAACCCTACCTCCACGATGAGGAGGAGGAGCGAGACCTGCCGGCTGCTCAGAAACGGCAGCTGGCGTTGTTTGGATTGCTGAAGAGTCGCGCGGAGGGTTTGAAGGCTATGCGGAGGTTATTATGTACGCTACGTCGCCCGCCGTCTCTTTCTGTTTATTGTCTTCCTCGCACATACCTTACCATCCCACCTTATCCTCCACTAGACCTGACAGAACACCTCCTCCTCCTGATCTGGCGCCACCTCGTTATCATGGCCTCCGCCGACGACATGACCCCGTCTTCTGCTCTCGGGGGCGCAGGCACCTCCCGACAGCAACCGCAGCCCCTGTTGGCGGCGATGTACACGCTGAGCGATGAGAAGAAACAAAATCTGGCAAAGACGGTTGGGAATATCACGGGGAGATTGCAGGCTGTTACACATGTGAGTTTTTCGCGTGTGACGGTGGATATTCTCTCTGCTCCCGGACGGTCTTACTCATCGATGGCTTTGATGTTTGCACAGAGCGAAGCCTTCAATCAAGACGCCGGGTACTCCTCCACACGCAAACCGTTCTTGGAAATGCTGATACGGCAGTTAGCCGAAGTCTCGCAGGCTATTTGATAGTCTAATCCTTACTTAAACATAGCTACACAGAAGAAACTGGATAGCGCCCTTTTACATAAATATCTATACACATGGCGTTTCGGATAAGGGAGGCATATATACCACCAAGAGGTTTCTGCAGAGGAGCGTCCTACTTCTTGAGGCTAACTCATCATCAAAAGCTACGCCACAGTCACACCTAAAGCTACGCAGCCGTCCAAGGTGCCCAACCCACAATTCCCACTTTATACCGACCCCTCAGCCCTCTCCCCAAATCCCTTAACATCAACCCCTCCCTTTACATCAACCCCCTCCAACCTAACCACCAAATTTTTCGCAAACCTCTTCCTCAACCTCTCCGCCTCTTTCTTTCCCGTCCTTACACCCGTAATCCTGCCCCCAAACAACAACCAATCGTCCAGCTCACACCTCCCTTCCCCGAACTTATAGTCCTTGGCGGGAGTGTAGGATTTCTGATAGAGGTAGCCTGGGAACTCGTGGTTGGTGGTAAGCGGGTGGGAGTTGAAGTGAGTTATGTCGGCGTAGAATTGGGTAAAGCCTGTTAGGGTGCCTGGGTACGGTTTGTGGGGTTTGGGCTTGCGGGTATGTTTTGATGGGGATGGGGAAGAGGGGCCGCCGCGGTAGTAGGTGAAGGTGCGGATGGCTGGATTGAAGGTGGGTACGACGCTGGGGGCGACGAAGACGGGGAAGGGGATAATTTCGGAGGGGTCTTTTATGTGGTGGTGCGCGAAGTGTTTGTAGTGGGCTAGGAGATACTGCAGATGGGAAAGAAGACGTGTTGATGTTGGTGTACTCGAGGTTCTGAGGAGAGCAGCGAGAGGAGACTCACATGATAGTATAGGTTAACCCAGGAAGGAATCATGGTGCTCATCTGCCCAGACGCGGTCTGCGGTACCATCACAGGCTGCGAAAAGTCCGGCATAATGGCTTTGAGCTCAGCAGTGGATTGCGCAGATTGTGCCTTGTGTTTGCGGTCTTTGTCGTCACCACCGCCACCGACAGAGTTTGAGATGGACGGGAAAAAATGGTGGTCGACATTCATGTGGCCGTATAACTGGAATGGCTCGCATCTCAGTGACTGAATGGCGTTTGGAAACCAAGGCCCACATCGTGAATGGTAACGCACCTGGCCAACAACGTTATCATACGTGACCATCAACTGGGCAAACTTCTCATAGCAAGTATCATAGTAATTCAACGGGTTCGGCGGAACATGTCCAATGATGTAAACTCCCGCGCCGTCCTTCTTTGCCTTCTTCAGCACTTTCTCCAGCCACAGCAAAACATGGTCGCCAGCGGCTTTAGACTTCCAGAACTCTTCACTGGCTCGGCAATCCTTTACTGCACGGTTCGCGTCGCTCAGGTACATCGTGTTTAGCGAGACGACGAGGAGGTTAGGACGAATGGGTACGGCAAAAGAGCCGTGTCGTCGGAACTCTTCGATTTGATTATCTGGGATGAAATCTGACCATAGCTTAGCATAGAAATCCAGAGTGGGGTTGCTTTTATGGTTATGGTACGCAAGTTCGTTGTGTGGGTAGATATCGTTGTTGCCGATGTTGGGGACGATTGGAATGCGGCGTTTATGGGATCCTGTGTTCCCCAATGCTGCCGTGAGTTGCTCTACGGCGATGGTGTTCAAATTGTAGACTTCCTTCTGCGTGCGGACGATTTTGCCGTCGGAATCGTGCCTGACGTAGGGTAGGGAGTCAGAGTGCGCCATGCTGAGCACTGATGTACCCCATGTGCCACATCCTACGTTTCTGATCTTACCGAGCGGAGTCTCCAGTCCAAATGACGAAATCCAGACCTTCTTTCTCCTTCAGTAACACGTCCGAGATGAATCTCACCGTTTCGTTAATGAGCAATGGAGGCGAATCGCAGCCGCTGCCGGGTGCACCGTATTTGCCGGCTATTCCATCACCCATCTTTCGTCTAGGATGCAGTGGATCCAGCTTATCGTGGTCGTGGCAGCTGTTTTCTATGGGGGCGCCTTCTCGATAGTGCCTAAAAGGAGGAGGGAATGGTGTCAGCACCGTTGCCTAGCATGTGGCTCGTAAAGGACTGGAACTTACGGGTCCAGGTGCATATCGGTGATATGCAAGAATCGTCCATACTGCTCCGGCGCATTCACCTGGGGAATATCGATATCGTCACCCAGACTTGTCTTAAACTGATACTGCTGTTGGATTTGGGACGCTGCCACTGCTGCTGAGCTGAGTAGGATGGCTTGAGACGCGGCGATGGTCCAACATCTTGCGAGAAGGACCATTTTCCCAGCGCGCATGGAGTTCGGACGGAGTGGGTGGTGGGGCCGCGGTCGGAGTTTCGAAACTTGGAGGGTAGATTATCGACAAAGGAGGACTCAACGAGGCCTCACGGTGAACGACCTGGGTAATATGGAAGAGCTCAAGACTCCCACTGCGTTGTTCTCGGGAGGGAGTGTATTGGGGATGTGGGAGAAAAAAAAAGGAGCAGATTGTTGTGATTGATTCTTGGGCAGCTCATGCGTCAGTCAGAAAGCGCAGCCGCCGCCCGTCATGCTCGTGCTGTCGTATTATTTCGGAAAGCGCAGGCACGAGGGCCTCCCACGCCCTGTCATTGGGGGGCGTGCCAACTCGCCCATTTCGCGGGCTTCGGGACCTCATCCAGGTCTACCTCAACATTTCATCCGGGACTGGCTTTACTGTAGGCTGTCCACGAATGTCTTTCTCTAAGATCCTAAGGGCTGTGCGGCGAAGTTGGTTGGGCATCGAGGGGTGTTGCAGTGAAATTCCCTATGTACGTACAGTATGTATGCACCTTGCTCACATTGATAGGATGAGTACTCAAAATGGTATCTTCTCGGGCCAAATCGCACTCTTCCCAGAACCCGCAAAGAAACAATATCACTGAACGTATTCGTCTCAACAAGATGGAACCCATAACTTCAAGAGAGCTTCGGACGTTAGATTTGCGTTGACTGGATTGGACTGGTGGGAAGTCAGGTTCCGAATTTCACATCTTCCGCACCTCGCCAGTAACTGTCGCAATGGCTTCTCTCTCGCAACCACAACCAGAAGAGGTTCGGGTGCCTGTGGGGTGTGTCTGGGGCATGACTATGTATATGTATGTACTGTACAGTACCGAGGCTGGAGGCGGCAATTTCTGGGACGCGACAACTTGAAAGGCCTCGGTGGAAAACTGCCCCTCGCCGACGATTCGCTGCATAACGGCGACATTGGCTCTAGAGTTAAAGAGCCAATCCCCGCTTTACTTCAGAGTCGTATACTCCTTGTCGTTGGTGGCAAGGGGAGGAGTGAGTGGGACTGATCGCCTACCCGCCGCTGAGCTTACATATAGACCACCAATAGCCTTCCGCAAGATAATCCCTTACATACATAGAATGGGAAGCCTGCAAAAGCATATCGTACCTTGGCCAGACCCTTTAAGTCCTGAAGAACAGAGGTATAAGGACCGTGGCTTCGTCAAGACCGCCGGAACGGTCCCTATCGACCCACCAACGGACGACGAAATCTTTGCAGCGTTTTCGGAGAAGCATAGAGGGACGAATTTATCTGTCGGAGCTCGAGCGCTTTGTAAGCATTTTGAGCGGAAGACAGCCTACACGAGAGACGATAGCAACTCGAGCGAAATTCCGGCTGCTGCGGAAACCTTAGGCGCAAAGGACGATTCTCACCCATTCTGGAGCAAACCGACAGGCTCGGAACTTGCGAAAACCGCGCTGGCAGAAAAACACTTCCGGACGTTAATGGGCACTGCAACCTGGCGTAACATTCATAGTTTACATAAGGACACGCTTGTGTATGAGGTGCGCAACGCGGAGGGGTACGGGATGCGGTGGAGTTTAGCGGTGAAGGCCGAGGGCGGTGAACCCCGATGCGTGTTTCGAGGATATTTGGAACCGCAACTGGACTTTCCAGTTGTGAAAGAAAAGACGGCGGCGTCGGTTCCGAAAGCGGGCGATTGCGAGAGTAAGCAGCAGCCAGCGGCTGTATCGGCAAAGGCCCAGAAAAAGAATCTCCGGAAAGACAAGCGGTGGGCGTACAAGCGCGAGGCTCAGATCCTCGTCTACCTTCGTGCCGAACGAAACAGCGATTCTGATGTGACTCGCTCAGAACTGATATCAGATATTGAGGAAGGGGATCCACCGACACGCTACATCATCGTTCTGAACGCGGGGAGCACGGGGAACATCGGGAGCATATCGGCTGAAGCCCTGGAGTCAGTGTTTGCAACACATGCAGGGTTCGAGCGGGTGGAAATGTTACTGGGGAAAGCATACTCTTATATCGTTTTCGAAACACCAGAAAGCGCATTGAAAGCTTACCACTCGATACAAGATGAGGGTCGGGAGCTGCCCCTCCCGCAAGGAGGCTCCAAGCGCCTGCTCCTCACATTCGCCAAATCCATATCCCGTCAAGTAGCCCTCACCAACCCCGCTGAGGTTTCAAATACAGTCCCCGGTCTCGCGCTAGTGCACGACTTTGTGACCTCCGAAGAAGAAGCAAATCTCCTCGCCAGCGTCGACCACGAACGGGACTCCCCGCGCTGGATTGACATGCTCAAACGGCGGGTGCAGCACTACGGCTTCCGATTCGACTACGCCCTCAACGACGTGGACCTCGACAGCATCATCGAGCCTATGCCCGCGTGGGCAGAGCCGGTGCTGCAGAGGTACCGCGCGGCGTTTCCCGAGCATGAGTCGCCGGATCAGCTGACGGTGAATGAGTACTGGCCGGGAGCGGGGATTGGGCCGCATGCGGATCGGCATACGATTTTTGGGGATGTAGTGGTGGCGTTGAGTCTGGGGAGTGGGGTTGTGATGGAGTTTAGGAGGTTAGAGGAGGGTAATGGATTGGCTGATCCGCCAGCAGACGGAGAGAAAGACTCACAGGCAGCCCCGTTGGGTCAGTCAACGCCCATACCCGCATCATCACCATCACCACCACCACCAGCATCCTACCTCACCTACAACGTCCACCTCCCCTCGCGCTCCCTCCTCGTCATCTCCGGCGAAGCCCGCTACCGATGGGAACACTCCATCCGCGCACGCGGCATCGACATTGTGCACGGCCGCCCCGTCGAGCGGGGCACTAGGGTCAGCCTGACCTTCAGGAACGTGAAGCGGTCGGGGGAGAGGACCTGTGAGTGCGAGTGGACGAGTGTGTGTGATAGGTTTAGGGATAGTGCGGGGAGGGCGGTTGTTGCTAGACCCGAGGGGGAGTCGTGACATCCCCTTTCTTTCAATCTTGGGTTGTAGATAGGCATACTTTCATCAGCTACTGATGCTATGCTATACATATATAGACGAGATCACTCTCTCTTGCTTTCAAGACCAATAGATCACAGGACTTGGAAGTTTTCATCCCAACACTTTTGTACAATCATCTTTCTACAAGCCCCAACGAGAGACTGCTGCGTATATCGCGGTCCTACACCGGCATCTCAGGCATCGCTGCTTTTTGGTCCTTTGCCCTTTGCTTGTCGTTGTATGATGAACTTGTCTCGGAGGAGAGCGTTGTGCGTTGTGCTGAGTCACGCTCGAGAATTTTTTGGGGCAGGCACTCATACCGGCGCGTCCTGCTGTGACATTTGGGGGCGGGACGCGTTTTTGGGGCAACGGTCAACGCTGGCCGATGCCACAAATTCATGGGATGCCTGCCCATCGCCCGTTCGCTGAACTCGGGAATCGGAGGCTTGAAGGCGGGCTCTGCCGACGGCCGTTTATGGGGCTCTGTGCTACCCGTTCCGTGTTTTGGATTTCGTGTCAGATTGATGCAAAATGCTGCGCAAGCATCCATATGGCGAAAATATTTGCCCCCAACGCCCCACTCCTATGGCATTGACGTGACGTGAGCACTGAGCAGATGGAGTTCCCTACTACTGTATGAGTCCATACCAGATCGCCGAGTGCGAACCGCTCAGTGCGCTGCGGAGCGGCAATGCATTGGTATCTCAATATGGGACTCGGATCTAATCAAACACTTACCGAACATGGCAACGTCTCCTGCACTTTTCCTGAAATGACATTGGGGTTGTGAAGCACTTTATTGGGTGAGAACGGTTTTGGGGACGGGAACCAGGTCATCGTCCGTCTCCCACGCATGCATCCGCAAGGACCGCAACGGGGGAGCCCCAGTCTACCAGCGGGAAGGTCGAATCATGACTCGAATGTGGGGGACACTGGCAGCAACGACCGCTGTCATGTACACCTCCGTGCACAAGTGATGAATCCATCAACGATACGCGAAGCGATCTGCCCCAAAACCCGCTCCTCCCTTGGGGCTTGTGGGGAAAGTGTGTCGAGATCCCGCCGCCCCAACGGTCCTCCCTCCTTCCCCATCCACACTTTGAACTTGAACATGCATCCGCACAAACAACTGTGACTAACCACAGCGCCGTCGCAGGCCCACAAAGTGAAACACCTACCCCAACCGCCGGCTGGGGGACTGGGGTCCCGCAGCGTTCATTACATTTTCACAGGCGTTCGCCTTTCCGTCGTTTTCCCCAGCGTTCCCCAGCCTTCCGGCACCCCGAAACCCCAGCCGATGGCGGTCTTGCCCGCCATGCCTCGCACTCCCAGTGCGCGAGAGCTGTCCACTTTGCGTTACCGCTAGTTGATCTGGGGCCTCTGTTGTGGGGAGGAACACATGCCCGACGCTATGAATGCGGGAGAATAAATAGCCGGGGCCATAGGCAAACCCCCTGCGTCCGAACAATTCTGCAAACTGCATAAAACCTACCCTTCTTGGCCATACTCTTCCTTTCTTGGTATTCGAATTTGCATAGCATACCCATCCTAGTCACTCCCATATAAGAAGGTAAGCATCGTCGCGTCAGATCATCTTGCGGTTGCGGTGGGAATTCCGATCTCCACCCCACCCCCCCATTGTTGGCCCCCATTCCTACGCCCACCCCTTGATAGTGTGAAGCTAACGGATGCCTCTTCGTTCCTTCTTCTCCTCCTTCCGGTCCTCTCATACGCCTTCCGTCGTCGTGTCTCAATTCCATTCACTTCGCGCGTCCCGCAACCTTGTCCGCCCTCCCACCAACGTCATCAAAACACATCAATCAGTCGCCAACATGGTCGCACCCACAAACCTCGGATTCCCCCGCATGGGCGGCAACCGCGAGCTCAAGAAGCTCGTCGAGAACTACTGGAGCGGCAAGCTCGACCAGAAGGCTCTTCTCGCTGGCGCAAAGAACCTCCGTGCCGAACACTGGACCATCCAGAAGCAAGCTGGCGTGCAAGACGGTCACATCCCATCCAATGACTTCTCATTCTACGACCAAGTCCTTGACCACCTCCTGCTGTTCAATGTCATCCCACAAAAGTACCAGGGGCTTCAGTTCCCTCTGGAGGCGTACTTTGCCATGGGTCGTGGTCTCCAGAAGGAGGGAGTTGATGTCCCCGCTATGGAGATGAAGAAGTGGTTCGACACAAACTGTAAGCTGATCACATCTGGTTGTCAATGTCTCTGCGCGCACATCGTACAGCCGATGCTCATCGAAATTTTCCCTCGTTCTCAGACCACTTCATCGTTCCTGAGTTCACGGAGAACCAGCAATTCAAGCTCGCCACCCGCAAGCCCATCGAGGAGTTCCAAGAAGCGAAGGCTCTCGGCATCAAGACCCGCCCAGTCATCCTCGGTCCCATCACCTTCCTTCGCCTCGGCAAGGCCGCCAAGGGCCAGAACTTCGACCCTATCAGCCTCCTCGACCGTCTCCTCCCTGTCTACGAAGAACTCCTCCGTGAGCTCGCATCCGCTGGCGCCGAGTGGGTTCAGCTTGACGAGCCCGTGTTGACCTTCGATCTTCCCGCCGAATTTAAGGACCTGTACGCGAAGGCTTACAAGAAGCTCTCCGGCATTAACGGCATCAAGCTCCTGGTCGCCAACTACTTTGGTCGTCTCGGAGACAACCTCGAGATCGTCGCCGATCTCCCCATCAACGCTCTTCACGTCGACCTTGTCCGCGCTCCTGAGGAGCTCGACGCTGTTCTGAAGGTCGCCCAAGACAAGGACTTCATCCTTTCCCTTGGTCTCATCAACGGTCGTAACATCTGGAAGGCCGACCTGGACGCCGCCATCGCCACAGCCCACCGCGCCGTCGGCCTTCTGGGCTCCGACCGTGTCCTTGTCGCTCCCAGTTGCAGCATGCTCCACACCCCTCACTCCCTCGAGGCTGAGGTCAAGATGGACAAGCAGATCCTTGACTGGTTGTCCTTCTCCGTTGAGAAGCTCCACGAGCTCGTCGTCGTTGCCAAGGCCGTCGACAACGGAGAGGACTCCGTCAAGGCCGCCCTCGACGCTAACCGCAAGAGCATGAACGCTCGTCGTACTTCCCCTCTCATCCACGACAAGGTTGTCCAGGGTGAGATGAAGGCTGTAACCGAGGACATGTTCAAGCGTCAGTCTCCCTTCCCTACCCGTGCCGCCGCTCAGCAAGCGAAGCTGAACCTTCCCTCCTTCCCTACCACCACCGTCGGATCCTTCCCCCAGACCAAGGAGGTCCGCGTTGCCCGCCAAAAGCTGAAGAAGGGCGAGTGGACCGTCGAGGAGTACGACAAATTCATCAAGGAGGAGACCATCAAGTGCATCCGCTTCCAGGAGAGCGTTGGTCTCGATGTGCTCGTCCACGGCGAGTTCGAGCGTAACGACATGGTCGAGTACTTCGGCGAGAACCTCAAGGGTTACGTCTTCTCTCAAAACGGCTGGGTCCAGTCCTACGGATCCCGCTGCGTGAAGCCCCCAATCATCTACGGTGACGTCTCCCGCCCCAACCCCATGACCGTCTACTGGTCCACCTTCGCCCAGGAGCAGACCAAGAAGGCCATGAAGGGCATGTTGACCGGTCCCGTCACCATGCTGCAATGGTCGTTCGTCCGTGACGATCAGCCCCGTCGCGACACCGCCTTCCAGCTCGCCCTCGCCATTCGCAAGGAAGTCCAGGACCTCGAGAAGGCCGGTATCCCCGTCATCCAGATCGACGAGCCCGCCATCCGTGAAGGTCTCCCCCTCCGTCGCTCCGACTGGGCGGCGTATCTCCACTGGGCCGCCCGCGCGTTCCTCCTCTCCTCCACGGGAGTCAAGGACGACACCCAGATCCACACGCACATGTGTTACTCGGACTTCAACGACATCTTTTCCACTATCCAGGCCCTCGACGCCGACGCCATCACCATCGAGAACTCCAAGTCGGACCTCAAGCTCCTCACCGCTTTCGAGAAATTCGGCTACACCAACGGTATCGGACCTGGTCTCTACGACATTCACTCCCCTCGTGTCCCCTCTGAGGAGGAGATGCGCGAACGCCTCGCCGAAATGCTGAAGTACCTCCGCAAGGAGCTCGTCTGGGTCAACCCCGACTGTGGTCTCAAGACCCGTGGATGGCCCGAGACCGAGCGTGCCTTGTCCAACATGTGCCGTGTCGCCGAGTCGTTCCGCAAGGCCAAGTAGAACACTTCCGTCTTCTCAAAGGCCCAATATATACCCCTCCTATAAGGTGTTTCTTCACCTGTGCTATATCCCACCTTCCATAGCTTTCATGTGCTTTCCGCATTCACAACTGTAATTATTTTGTACCGTCCGATCTCGTTTTCATAAACAAAGCTTTTATTCAAGGCATTTACGGTTATGATTGAAGACTCCTTGTTCGCGCAACAAATGGAACTTAACAAATCGAGCTTCCTAAATGAGAAGTCATGCAAATCCAAAACGGGACTACTGGACTGAGGCTTCTATATCGCAAACGAAGCTGCTCTAACCACCACCGTTGGGTCCACCATTGTTCGCACCAGCTTTGCCAGCTTTGGCCTTCGCCAAGGTTGCCACAGCCATCTTCCTCAAGAGTGCCTCTCTGTTTATACCAGACAACGGCCCTAATGAGGTCGACGACGTCGAGACTACCGCAGCAGCCGCGGCAAGGGGCGCATCAGCGGCGGAGCCATTGAGAGCCTGGCGTTGCGTCTTCACCAGAGCTTTCTGCTCCAGCAGCGATTCCGTACCCGCGTTCTGCCTCCCAATTTTCTGCGTTCCGGCGTTCATCCGATCATTCGCTGCCAGCATCTTCGCCACTTCTAGGTCGTGCCGTTTCTGTGCTATCTTTTGTTTGCAGAGGGCCGCGTCGTAAGATATATGAGATAGTCGAGGTAAAAGAGGGCTCGGAACCGGCTCGCCACCAGTGACCGTGATGATTTCGTGAGACGATTGCGATTTGTTGCCCTTCGAGCGCGTCGTAGATGAGCCAAGCGAGGGAATCTTCACAAAGACGTCTCGAGAAGGAATCTCGAACACGTCAGCGAACTTTGAAAAGTGGACGTGTTTAGAAGTGTCACATTTCGGAATCCGCGAGTACGGTTTATTCTTCTGCAGATCCCAATGTTTCCTTGCTCTGGTCGGATTCTTTGGGAACACACTGGCATTGTATAGCTCCTGAGTTCCTTGATCCATTACCATATCGTCACTTCCTGCCTTAAGTTCTGTTGAAAAGCGGCTGTAGTTTCTGTGCTCCCGCTCTGGGCTTAGGTACGTTCCTCGGACTGTGTAGTGTGTGTCGTCCTTCTCGCGCCTGTGAGGCGTGCGAACTTCCCTTCTTTTCCCGGGTTGACCATGAGAGCTTGGGTGCCTTCCATGGCTCGCACGCTTCGCTCCATGTCTGCGATGACCCTTAGCTTCTGCCCTTGCGTCCTGCTCGCTAGAATGTCGTTGACGCTTATGAGATCTCGAGTATTTCAACCTCGACCCGTTGCGTTCCTCGTCTTCGGAGCTGGAGAAGTAATAGAGATCGTTTCGCCCTAGCTTTTCGCCAATATTTCGCTTAATGTCATTATGCTTATCGCTCACGCCGGAGACCGACTTCCGCGAGCGGTGTTGTTTACTACTGCTAGCCCGAGCGTCATCCTCGCTATCCGACAGCCGGCGGTCGCTCTCATCCCTCCGTTTATATTTGCTGTGTTTTATACGCACTCTGACTTCGTGGAGCGAGTCAGAATCCGTTGACGAGTGGTGACCTTTACGTTGAGACCGAGACGTCTTATGATGATGATGATCGGTTTTGACGGCCTCATGTTCACGATCGCTCCTGCCATGACTTCCGCTGCGAGCTTTGACAGCATCCGAGTTGGGAAGTGCACAGGCATCAACGTCATCGTCATTGTCGGCTTCCGAGTGACCCTCGTAGTTTTGAATCTCATCGTGTAGATGAGTCCGATCACGAGGCGACCGCGAAAACTCATCGTTTTCGTGCAGTAGCTGCGTCTGATTGGGTTCCGTCAAAGGTTCAGGGACGAACCGTCCGTCTCCGGGAGCGGGGTCATACTGCACTTGCGTATCGTACACGTCCATGTTGAAGGGACTCCGCGCGAAGCATTTGAGTTCATGTATGAAGTGTTCGGCTTTATCAGCGAGAAAATCGCTCAGATGGTTGATGCCCGTATCAGACTGCAAGTCTTCCCTGGTGTTCGCTTTCAGTGATCAGGACCGGTCTGCACTCAAATGTCCATTTTCGCGGAGGATGCTTACTTAGTAAGAAGATCCATGACCACGTGCTTAATGATTTCAACGTCCTCAACCAGCAATGCCGCCTTTAAGTCGCGCACTATCCAGGGCTCGAGCTTCCGCAAAAGCGCCGGAAAACGTCGGAATTCTGCGGCTTCGAATTGTTTGCATTTAGAATTGACACTCGACCCCACGTGCTTGGCCCGTAGCCCGTGCCGATAAATGAATCTTGTTGACCAATTTTTGAGAGAGGGGCTTGATTGAGCGGTCTGGCTATGATATCATACCTTCGCTTCTCTTCAGAGCGGATGATTCTGACAACATCGGGAGATGGCGCTCGCTGGCCCCAGAGGACGGCTCTACGGCTTTGACGATGCGGCCTTTCCGAAACTGACGGCAAAGTCGGAGGCCTATTAAGAGCTGTGAGAACCAGCGCATGGAACATGCGGGAGAGACTAGGACATGTGCAGACCTGAATGCGTAGGCGGCCTTCTCCGGTTGAGAGAGCTCAGGAAATTCATGCTTGAGGTTGCAGTGATGAGCTGGCCAAACAGAGAAGTAGTCAGGTTTCGCGGCAGAAATCTCACCAGTTCATGTTCATCATGCTCATCCTCTCCATGAATGACAGCAAAGATGAACTGATTAAAAACCGGTCCGATTAGGGCTGGGCGTATGCGCTATAGCTAACCAACCCGAGCATACCTTTTGACGACAATGCGGACAACTGCGACTGACTTCCGCCCATTGGGAGATGCAGACGAAACAGAACGAGTCTGGCAAAGAGAATAAGGAGCGCTCAGGTCGATTTGCTCCTTCACCGCGGACGAAGTCAAACCAACGACGACGTTGTACTCACGGTAGCACGGGGTGATAGACGTCCTATGCTTATATGGCTCGAGACAAACAGTACATCGATTGGCCCCCTCCTCGGCATTGTGCAGGGCAGCTCCCTCCTCTTCCTGCCGCTGTTCTTCTTCCATTGTTTCACTTTCCGTGTCTGTAGGGGACAGGGTCGATTCCAAAAGTAACATCTTCGTTCGTCTGTGCGTCTCCTCACGCAGGAACCCTAAGTAGAAGCTGTGCCGATAGTCTCATTCGCTTAGAAACTCGCTTCTGAGTTGGAGTCGCTCTCGGGGTATCGCAGCTCTCTCAGGCCGCTTATGCACTGTTTGCCGTATCCTCCGAAATGTGGCGCTTTATCTCCTGGCTCTCACCGGAATTGCTCGTAACGCCATTTCGGGGAACGGAACTTATGAAGGACGACGCGGAGGGCATTTTCCCAGGGGCTTTTTAAGCTTTTTATCGTCATCTGCATTGCATTCAATTTGAAGGGCAGCCGGTTCTAGACACCCTCAGAAAAACATTCAGGTGCTCTCAACAACACCAACATGGACCGTCCACTCCGTTCCGCTCTCCGGAAACCCACCTCAACATCACCTTCTGTTCCACCATCTTCAAGCCCCACCTCACAAATTCCATCAGACGCGACGACAAGCCACGATCTTGCGTCATCTTCACAGACAGGACCGGCCATCTCGTCTGCAGCTGACGATGTACCGAAGAAGCCTAGGAAACAAACCGGGACAGTGCCTTCCTCGCCACCAGTGATATGCATGACGGCGGGAGAGTCGTTGGCGGCGCAAGCGAAATGTGTGAAGCAAGGCTTGGTGGACGCGTTCGCTTTCCCGCCCGCTTTCATTACCATATACGGGTATGTGGTGGCGCTTCTGGAGCGGACGACCCAAGTTTGGAGAAGTTGCATTGAAATCCAGCTAATCATTTCCGCGGCGGACAGGTCAAAAACGATTCAACAAAACGTCTTGAAGTGTGTGCTTCTGAACGGGCTTATCTTCTTGGGTTCAGTCTTCTTGTTCGATGTGGCGATCCTGCCGATATCTCGACGGCTCCGGACGGGTGTTTTTACCGTCACAGGAGGAGCAGATATGAAGGACTCTGGGAGGTGGTTTGATACGCTGTTTGTGTTGACCTATTATGTAAGTCGGGATGTCATACGGAATCAAGAGACAGGGGTCCTCAGATTCTTATCGAAAGCCTTAATTGTGACCAGACATTTTGGGTGTACCCAATCTACATCGTCACATTCGTTCTGAATGCGATGTGGTATCAGAAGATAGCCGAAAGATCATTTCGCGTGCAGGTCGGAAAACCTGTGACAGTGGCTTTCAGCTACCAAAGGTAGATTGCACGTTGATGTCTGATTCTACGTGAATGCCGCGCCAGCACTAAACCATCATGCACTCTGCAGACTCATCACTCTCCTTACAAGCGAATCCTATCGTGCCCTTCTCCTCCTGAACTTCCTGATCCAGTCCGCCCTGGTCTACTTCATTCCGATCTTTGGGCCCCCGCTCAGCTTCGTATGTTTCTGCTGGTCGGCATCGTTTTACGCGTTCGAGTATCGATGGGGGCAGAAAGGGTGGACGCTGGAACAGCAGATTGAGCATTTTGAGAGGCATTGGGCGTACTACTTTGGGTTTGGTATGTGTGGTCATGCTCCGGATCAAGCTTCGGACTATATCTGTTGCTCATCTTCTCCGCGTAGGATTCCCATGCACGTTGCTTACATTCTTCTTTCCACAAATCGTAAGTCAAGGGTTATTCGCGCTGATATTCCCTCTGGTATGTTCCAGACGCAGAAGCGGCTGTCAACGATTCCACCCCTGTTCCGACGCCATGAAACTAACAAGCTCAACGTAGTACATTATCCTCTGCAACCGCGCGTCACCACTCCCGAAACCGAACTGGCAGATCCATCATAGGTTCCTGCCAGAACGATTACCGATATTTAGGCTGGCAGTGATCACAAATGGGATTTGCTTGCGGCGTTTGGGGCAGAAACGTCGCGTGCGTGCGGGCTGAGCGCACTCCGGCTGTCAGACGACGTGAGGGGCAAGCATTATGCCCGGGAGATGTTCAGGGGAGACGGCGTATGGGGGAAACGCATTAAGCAGGCGTTTGGATGACCGAAGAGTTTTTGGGCAAAACGCGGACGAGTTTGGGCAACGATTGGCATCTGGAACGCCCGTCCCTGGGTGCTTTCCTTGTCGCCTCTTCCACATGTAGATCAGTTTTGTTGTCAGCTCTGGCACGTTGTTTTGGTACCTGACTGAATCAAAGTGTCAAAGTGAAAGGTAGTTGATGTATCAAGTGATTAGTTAGATGAGCATGCTAATGGTATGATGTGAACTCGTCTTCGGAGCGGATAACCCAGGTTTGCGAGAACCACTGTATGTATGGCGAATGTTGCGGTTACAAGATTTGAGGTGAGTAATCCGCCCTATGCTAGTTTCTTCTCCTTCGCCGACGTTGGTGCGGACGGCCGCACACCGTAAATCTCTAGAATACGGACTTCTACGTTCTTCAACCCATTGTCCCACTGCGCCAACTCTAAAAGCTCCTTCTCGTTCTTGAACATGTTGAGAACTTCAGAAGCTTGCTGCATGGGTTGGGATGCGCCCATACCGGGCATCATCCCACCCATTGCTTGCATTGAGTTCATGTCGGCGCCGGCAGCTTTTGGGGGAAGGAGGGAGATCAGACACTGTGTCAAGGAGAAGCCAACATCTGTACCCATAGATCTTTACCGTTCTCTTCGCCAAGAATCAACCTGAAGATACTGTTCAAACCGAACAAGTTCAGGAAGTACCATGAGAGACTAGACACCCAAGTCACATCCATGTCAGCGGTCTCGATGCCACGCTGCAGCATAGCCTTGAATCGTAGGGTCAATGGGAACGGCAGCTTGACTAAACGATAGATGGATGTCAGTACCGAACATCTCCTTTGGCGCTGACCCATCGAATCACTTACTCAAAATAAATCCAGAGAAGAAGAACGTAATCCAGCTCATAATCAACGTTTGCGGTACAATCATAACCATGTTCTTTTTCAACATCTCCATCATCGACTCCATTCCAGCGGGGTCAGACAATGGATTCGGGGCTTGACCCGTTGCCGCATTCGGGTTTTTCAGATAGAGTCCCTTTTCGAATGCCGCCGCGAGGTATTTCACGCGCGACTGGAAAGCAGGGTATGGCAACACAGACCCGGATGGTGATCGCAGCATCCTCGCTCTCATTAACGCCGCGCTGAATGGGTAACGTAGTGTGAGACGAAGGCAATCGGAAACATGGTCAGTCGTATCCAGTCGCACGGACCTCTCTCGCACTTGTTTTATGTTCCCCTTTGGTACAGAAGTCATGAGCTGCGTTGCATAATGCCTCAACACCCCGACCAGGACCATGACCAGCATAATAGGGATCAACACCCAGTTCCGGATAGCCGGGTCGAGGAAAATCTGTTGCCTATAGGAGTTGGTTTACGCAGTTAAGATATCATTTTTGACCTCACAATAAGCGGTGACAAGTTCGAGCTTACTCTTGCTTCATGTTGAAGTTGTTTGCCGCTAAAGAATGGTATTGTAGGGGAGTAAGTTCTGGGTCTATGCCGAAGCCGCTTTGAGGGTGGTAACGGGTTTCTAGTGCAATGGAGTCTGCGCACTGTTTGTACAAGATCGCGATGCCGGCCTCAGAGCAGCTCAGAGCTGGGAATTGAAAGAGACTGGGTTGAGACGACGAAGCCGTTTGTTGGCGACTTCCGCCGTCTGCAGCGCACACCACGCGTGAACGGCGATGCTCGCAATTTCAAACTCAGAACCCCCTGGGGCAAGCCATCTGGCCATAGAAAGACCGAGCTGTGCCGGGAGAAAAGGCCTTGGGCTGCTCAATAAGCTCGGCACGTCTCTGCCGGCTTTCCACCCCCCCGGGTCCGTTGAATCCCGGTGATAGCGACGAGATGGTTCAAATGTTATTGACAAGTCGCATTATTGCGGCCGTAGATCACCTCCTGCAACACGACGACGGCATATCAAAAGGCGTTGCGGATAAGTTGCGAACATACAGCTCCTCCCAGGATCAGGAGAACCGCCCAACCACCATTCCGCATGGACTCCTCCAGCAAATATCCCAGGACCTTCTGAAAACGGAGAAGGATGGTATGCAGGCGAAACCTGGCAAAAGATACCTTTGACGCACGTCTTGACGAGCCGTTCTTACAGGAAAGTATCAGTTACATAGGCTGATGGAAGGCAGTAAGATTGCTCTGCAAGGGCCGCCAGAACGTGTGAAGGTAGGCGAGCCTTTCAGGTGACTTCGCGACGGGCAGAACAGTGAACTAAGCACGCCCCTTCGACTCCCTTTATGATGTTCTCATGATTCGCATCCATCAGAGCCCACAGTTACTTGCAACGCTGGACCGCATCCGCATCCAACTCGAGAATGCCGAATACGCGGAGATGACCAAAAACGTCCGATTGGACTTCCGTGAGGAACAGAATGGCCCTTTAAGAATAGGAGCAGAGCTTCGCGGCGCCTTCAGCCAAATGTCTGCTGTTTTCAACGTCCTGTTCTCGATCGCGGCGGTCTTTCTGGCCACGTTTTGGATCAGTGGGACTGTAACAAGAGAAATTGGATACGTAAGTTGGGATATGGTCTCGCGTTTGCTATTTTGAAACGCGATTGAACATGCATCTTTGCAGAAAACGTTGGTGAGCCTGGCGGCTGCGATGATTGTAGCGATCGCGGAGGGGTGGTTTTTCACTAGGGATCTGATCCAGGAGGACAAGAACGCGGAAGCGGGGAAAGAGAAAGCGCCGTAGAGTGTTTGAGGGGTATCAACCTATTGCGCACGTTCTTCGACACCGGCTCTCCATCGGCCATTCGTAACCGTCGAGCAAAGGGTGTAAAATTGCACCTCATGTCGCTTGCGGAATGTGATCAAAGTCTAGCGGCCGTAGGCCAGACTGTTTCCTCCGCTCGATACGCACCACCAGAAGAGAGGCCATCAAAGGGAGAGACGATTGCACTCCTGAAGTCACCATAGGACCGGCAACGTGCTCTAAGGGAAAGCAGCGAGTTTCCTGCGCCTTCCGTCGCTCTTCAGTCTGGTGCACCGCAGTATTTTTGGAGAGACCACTTTGTATTGCACCCCAGTTACTCAATTAATGACAGCTGTTTCCCGCAAGCCATCTTTGTCGTGGAAGATGTAGAGAAGGCCGTGGCAACATAGGGGATGTACATATGCATAGTCATACCGAAAAATCTCATGAAATCCAACACCTATGTCCCATGGCTATGTACGTTGTGCATGTTTATGTACTCCTGTGTGGCGTCTCATCTCCCTGCGGACCCACTCGCCACGCTCGACCGCCTTGATGCACTTCCATTTGAGCCGACGCTGCTAGCAGACCCTGGACGCGCCGGATGGCGCACTCGACCAGCGCCGGTTATGGGCGCCCGAGTGGAGGAAGACGTGCCCTGTCGAGTCGGCGTGGCGGTTCCTGTTGATCGCCCTGATCCTGCGCCGCTTACAGCGCCGCTTCCGATGTCTACTGTGGGAAGAACTACTGCTGCTATAAAAACGAAAAAGAGCTGTTATATCGAAAATCTCGTAGAAAACGGCAGAAGAAAGTGAGGTACCATTGATATTGGTGGTTGACAGCACCCGTCCGCTCGGCGAGATGGCTCCGCCTGACGGTGTCGCGACAGCGCCCGGCGGTGGGGATCGTATTGTCATGCTCGAGCGCGGGGACTGGTGTTGTTGGCGAGATCTGTCGAGTGCAAAGCTGCTCCCTGTTCGACGCCCAGACGCCGATGTGCTTGAATGCTCACTTCCGGCGTCAGAGTAAACGGATGCGCGAGATTCGGCCCGGGAGGGTACGCGGGAGACGATGCGAGAGGCCGGTTGGATGCCGTTCTGTACAGGCTGTTAGCAAGAATCTCTCAAATGCTTCAGGCATAGGTTGTCCATACATACCGCCTGCAGCAATTGCGTAAGCCTCTGCTCCAACGCCGGATCCCTCTCTCCCACCTTCGCCAACGCCTCCAACGCCAAATTCCCCGTCTCCTTCAACTCCCGTATCCTAAAATCCAGCTCCTCATCCGTCACGGTCGTCGGCGCCACACCCAGCATCTTCCTGAACTCCTTCGCGCTCCGCTGCACGCTCTTCCGCGCGCGGTCGCGTTTCGCTTCCTGGTCGGTGATGTCCTTTGTTAGTGCTGCGAGTTTGTTTTCGAGGGATTGCACGTTTTGGTGCTCTTGGGATTCGATGTTGGTGCGCGCGAGGAGATCGCGCTCGAGGGCTTGCAGGTCTTGTTGGAGGTCTTGGATTTCGCTGCGTTTAGAGCGGTAGCGTTCCATGGCGTGGCGGTATTGCTGGAACGGGAAGCACGTTAGCAAGATGCTTAGATCGCAGATCGCTCCGAGGTATCCCGATGGAAATACCTGTTCTAGCATCTCTCTATGCTGTACGTCCTTGCTGCTGAGTTCGGCTTTATACAGACTATAGGACGTTGCATCAGCCGCCACGCCAACCATTATCCCCAAAGTTCAGATGAACGGCTCCACTTACTTCTGTCGATACTCATCATTCCGATCATTCATCATCTTCAGCGTATTCTCCAAAGCCTTAATCTCCTTCTCCGCCTTCCGAATCTGCGCATCCAACTTATCCCCCTCCCTCTGCAACTCCTCCCTCTGCTGAGCCGCCCTGATCACATAATACGCCTGGGAATGCGGTTCCTCGCCATTCGCCCCAGCACCGCCGCCCTCGTCGCCGTCACCAGCGAAATGGGACATGACGATCTCGTAGCGCCGTTTGAGCTTTTCGACTTTGGAGACCCGGTCGCGGAGCTCGGCTGCGGCGCTGTACCGCTCCTCTTCGGCGGTTTTGAGGTGGAGGCGGAGCATGTCTTTGTGGATCTCAATTTCTTTGGTGCGCTCTTCGAGGGCTAGTTGGAGGTTTACTTGGCGGTTTTCGAGGCTGAATACCTGGCAATGTGGGCGAGGTTCATGATCTGGGCTGGACCAGTGAAAGTCAGATATCGGCAATGGGTGCTGTATACCTCATCGGCTCGCGAGTTGAGGAACCCACGCAACTTCCGCAACTCGAGCCTGAGCACATTCTCTTCTACCATCAGATCCTCCTTTTCGCGGATCTTCTGCGCCAGTTGCTTCGACTACATCAAAAAGCCCACAGGTATCATATGAGTGAGATGCCAAATCTTCAACGGAGAGCAGTGAATGTACCGTACAGCGCTGTCATTATGGAGCGTAAGCTCATCAATACTGTTCTTGACGCTCCCTTTCTCCTTCTCGAGCGTTTCCAGTTTGCGCTGTAGATTCCTGCATCGCAAAAGTCAATCCATCTTCTCCCCGAACGTCGGGCGCTCTCAGACACCACATACACAATATCACTCTGCGACTTCTTCAACTGAGCATTCAGCAGATTCCATTTCAGTGTGGTTGCCTCAAGCTGCTGATTCAGTTCCTCAATCCGTTTCATCAGCATCTCCTTCTCTTCGTCGGTTCGTTCTCCCTGGGCGCGGCGGAGTTTGCGCTCGAGCTGTTGAATCTGGAACTCTTGCGAATAGAGCATTGCTTGTTGTTTCAGGGCTTCTTGGTCGAGACTAGCGACATGAAAGGAGAACAGGCATTAGTTTGCGCTCTTCCTTTGCGGACCGCCGCTGGCGAGAGCAAGTACCTGTGTACTTTGCTCTTCAAGTTTCTTAGCGCCGCCTCCGCCCCGGCGATCTCCGCGCCCATGTTCTTCTCATCCTGCTTCAGCCGGAACACCTCCTGATTGCGTTTGAACTCTAAATCAAGCCCGTGAGCGATATGTGTGCGACATATGACATCAAGACGACGTACGTACGAGATTCCCGCAGGACTTTGAGTTCCTTGTCGAGTTCTTTGCTTTTTGTCTCTTCTTTCTTCAAGATTTCTTGGAGCTTTATGATGTGAGGGTGTCAGCATGCCGTCTCTGCCACCTTGAATGATGGATTTCATAGCGCACCTCTTGAGCTTTTTGCTCCATCGTCATGGTCTTATCCGTTATCATCGCCAGCTTGGCCTTCATGTCCTCGCCATGCTGATGCTCGCGTTCGAGCTTGTCTTGTTTATCCTGCAGCTCGTCCTTCAAGTTTCCCACTTCACCTCGCCTGTTTGCCAGGTCAGTTGCAGCTGTGGTTCGACAAAAAAGCCTCAGTTCCTTTACTCCATAACCAAACAGACAAGGACGAGCTTACTTTTGTTCAACGTGTTCCTCAAGACCTCCATCTCGTCTTGGAACTGTATCAGACTCGCATTGGTCTCATTCAGCTCGAACCTTCGTAAGTTTCAACTTCAGCCCGGGTACTACAACCACACATCGAGTCATGCACATCGTTCAAACCTGAACTTGCTGACGGTCCTTTCCGTCAAGCCAATCTTCTTCTCGGTCTCGGCATTGCTGTCATTCTGCTGGTCCAAGAACCGCTGCTTGTCGTCCAAGACCTTTTGCATCTCTTTGATCTCTTCCTGAGCACCCGGCCTGTCACGTTAGACCTCCCGCCAACATCGTCATAGATTTGATGTGCAATCACACCTTTGTCTGGTCGTAGGCAGCTTGCACGGAGACGATGTCCTGATCCTTCTTTCTCATCCCTTCTATTGCACTCTCCCATTGCTGAATCAAGTCCTGTCGTTCTTGATGCAGCTGCTTGAACGCTATGGTGGCCTTTTCGAGCTCGATCTGTGCGACCTGGGTTTCTGTCACCTACAACAAACAGGACGCCATGCCCTTTAAGTCGACCCAATCTCATCTAGTCAACCCAATTTCACGGTTCTTCCGGAAGAGGGACGGTACCTCAGCGCTCAATGTAGCCTTCTTCCGGTTGACCTCCTGCATCAGCTTCTCGATTCCCAGACTAAGCTCTTTAATCTTTGCCTCATCCTCTTTCGTATACTTGAGCAATGCGATGTTGTCCTCCTCCTTCTCTGTCTGGACCCGAAGCCATTCGTCCAGATCCTGCTTTTCGAGATTCAAGTCTCCCCTGATGAGGTCTATCCGTTCGTTTCCTCTGTAGATGTTGTTTTGAATGGTCTTCAGCTATAACCCGGGATGACCATGGTAAGCTCCGATACATCGCTTCATTGTCCAAGAGCAGGCTTAGCCATACATTATCAGTAGCCTGCGCGATCTCTTTATCGATCCGCCGTATCTCCACTGCAAGTCGTCCAGCCTCCCTCTCCGCTAGTTGTTTGAAGTGGTCCTCGGTATCGATCTGCCGCCCTTTCGCGTCCGCTAATGCCTGGTGATCATAGTTGTGTTAGGCCTCACTGATATTCAGCATAAGTGTCGCCACTCTTCCGACAAAAAGGGCACCTGCGTATGCGTAAGTTCCTGCTGCACATTTTTTATGTGAGCGGACATAGTCCCAGTTCTAGCCACATTGTCCTCGAATGTTGCCAGCAGCGAGCTAATCTTGTTTTCTAGGACTTGTATCTATCCAAAAATTGATGCATCGGTCAACTGGCGGGGCACTTTCGACGTTATGAAGCCCGACATGGAGGTCATACCTCTGTACTCAGAGCTTTATTTTGGGCATTCGCAAAGGGCGGCAGCGAATGCGCCGAAAAGTTATCATCGATACTCAGCATTTTGGGATAATATCTTTAATATACAGAGGCTATCTGATGGAATCTGCGAAATCATGAGGGTTTCGGAGTTATTGCTTAACACATTAGCGAGATGCAAGCCTCGTCTGTCCTTCTGCGAGCGAGCGTTACGCGGCCAAGGACGCGTTGTCCCGTAAGCCGAGGCTCACTTGAGAACACGGCGCGGTGACTCATGTGTCCGAGAAACGGGAAATGTGCGTCTCCACTGCTCTCCCGCTTCTGCTCCCAAAAGTTCGCAGAAAACAACCTCAAAATTGCTGGTGATCTTAGCGCTGAGGGTGGGAATATTCGAGCGCATTCAACTGACAACGAACGCCCTCACAGCGCAGCCTCCTTTGCTCAGCTCAGCTCTATTGAAATTTGAGCATCTCTTTCACTTGAACTCAACCCCTCACTGGGAGCCACAAACATCGCCCCGAGTGCTATGTAAGAAGCTCGTCATATGTTACCTGCCAATGCCAGATAGCTAACGTTGTCTCAGCACGTATTTACCGACTTTAGAAAACCCCACATATTGCATTAGTGTGGACGAGTTCGCCGGGAATGGAGGCAAATGTGGAGCAGGCGGTCGCAATCGCCCTGGATCCCTCTGCAGACCCAAACCTCAGAGCCCAGGCAACTGCGTTTTGCGAGCAGCTGAGAGCCTCATCGGATGGATGGCAGGTCTGCCTCAAACTCTTTGTCAAGGCACCTCGCAGGTAAGGGCCCAACACCGTTTTCAGATAAATTTGACCGAAGTTTCGTAACCTTGTGTGCTTTTGCTAGTTCGGACCACACCAGGTTCTTCTCTCTCCAGATTTTGGAGGACCTTCTCCAGAACAGATTCGGCAACCTTTCCTCAACACAAAGAGCGACGTTACGGCAGCAGCTATGGGGCCATTTGAAGGAGGGGATGGACCGAAACGAACCTGCATTCATTCGGAACAAATTTGTCCAAGTTCTTGTCCTGCTCTTTGCAAACGAATATCCAGAGGAGTGGCCGACGTTCTTTGATGATCTTCTGTCGCTGGTGGACGCATCCAAAGGCGGGCCACGTGGATCCATTATCATTGACGTTTTCTTACGGGTGTCACTGGCGATTGATGATGAGATTGCGAATCAATTGATCGCTCGGCATGCAAGTCGGGTCGCCCGCAATACCTTGCTGAAAGACGTGATGCGAGAAGGAGCGGTTGCCAAGCTTGTGGCAGCCTGGGGAGATATCCTCATGAGCAGTTATCAAAACAACCCAGACGTCGCAAATGCTTGTCTCCAGCTGTTTGGGCGTTACGTTTCATGGATTGATATCAATCTGGTGGCCAATGCCAGCTTCATGTCCGCACTCTACCAGTTCATTGGGGAAGAAAACCTGCGTCAATCCGCTTGCGAATGCTTGACCGAAATCATAGCGAAGGGCATGGCGCCCCTGGACAAACTCAACTTGATCCAAGGGCTGAACGTGGCATCAGTGTTGGGCGGGTTTGACACCTCCGACTCGGACTTTGTGGAAGTCGCAGCACGCCTCGTCAATGTACTGGGACTGGAACTATGTCGATGCTGGGAGGAAACGGGCTCGGTGCCAGAAGCACAGGAAGCAGCGTTCTCGTTGCTGCAGCAGGTGTTCCCGTACCTTGTTCAATACCTAGCGTTCGAATACGATGAGGTCACGCAAGGGCTATTGCACTTCCTCGGGTCATATCTGAACGTTCTGAAGAAGCTTGGGCGGGATCAACAAACCGGCGGAATATCGGACAATCTGCTTGCACTCCTACGCACGATCATTCTGAAGATGAAGTATGACGAGGAAGAGGATCATCAGTTTGGTGGGGATGCTGGCAGCATCGATGCCGAGTTCATCAAGCTGCGGGAGGTGGGCATGGAGTCGGACATTGTGGATAGTGAGCACCAAATACTTCTCTGTCACTGACATCCCGTCTGTCATTCAGAACTTAAAACCGCATTTCGACGCCATCGGAGCGATCGACAAATCTCTCTTCATTTCGAACGTTACCTCAGCCGTGGTCGGAATATTCGACCGGTATGCAGAGAACTCGGGTGGCATGAGTTGGTCGGAGGCCGAACTCGCCCTCCATCTGGTGTATATAGTTGGTGAATCTACACAAGGTGCGTACACAAACTCAGAAATGGGTAACCGCGTGGGCAGGATTGGCTCACGAATCGTTACTTTACAGGCACTGGACAATTTCTGAGTGAAGGACCTTCGCCACAACCTGCGCCATTGGCGGAGATGCTGACGAAGATGATCACGAGTGGTAAGTCGGATGGTGGGATCACGAAATGTAGGGAGTGCCCAGGTGATAACGGAACGACTCCTTGTCCTTACCCAGGCATATCCTTATACCCCCACCTGTCGATCTCATCCCTCTTCTGCGAGAATCTTGCGCGGTACCCCCAGTTCTTCGACCACTTCCCCCAATATTTACCCAACGCCCTTGAAGCTTTCGTGGACCAGAGGTAGGCCGTTTCCCGCGTGTCCTCGGACGGATTGCGATTGTGCTGACGCTGATTCTCATAAGGGGCCTACATCACGACAAGATTGCGATTCGCAGTCGAGTGTATTACCTCTTCTCACAGTTCGTGCGGGCGACGAAGGCCAAACTCGCCCCGTTTGTAGAAACTGTCCTGAACAGTATCCAGGATCTGCTCGTGGTGCAGTTGCCAGCACCACGAGTGCCGCCAGCGGATGGCGAGGACGAGGCCACGAGCGTGACATTTGACAGCCAGCTTTATGTTTTCGAAGCGGCAGGAATGATGATATCGCTGGACGCCATCAGTCCGGAAAAGCAGGCAGATCTACTTACGGTAAGCCAAGCCGATGTTTATACGTGGATGAAAAGCTATCGCTAAAACATTACCTCCGCACAGGCCGTTCTCACACCGTTAATGATGCAAATGGAGGAAATCATGAAGAACGAGCTTTACCTCCGCGACTCGCCACCAGACAACGTCGTGTTCACTCTTCAGCTCAACCACATCATCTGCGCAATCGGGAGTACGAGCAAAGGCTTCCCTGATGTCGTATCTGGCAAAGCCACGCGGACGGTTCCACCATGGGCTTTGGTCTTCCAGCAGGCCCTGGACGTGATTGCTGCTGTGCTGGAACGGTTGCATAATAGCGAATTGATTCGTGATGCTGTAGGTTCACTGGTATATGGCGTGGAGGGTGTGCTGTTCCTGATACGTGAGAGGCTCATCCCGGTTTCGGTTTTCAAGGCTCGATTTGCATTCCAGCGGATGGTGCACAGTATGGGAACAAACATCATGAACCACGTCGGGCCGTTAATCACCGCCGGTCTATGGAACAACAGCACTCCGAAGGAGCTCCTGGACTTCTTACCGTTCCTTGGGCTCATCACACATAAATTCAAGGTAATGGGTTTGCAATACCATTGAAAGGCATTCAACATTGGACACCTGTACTCATCAACTATCATTTAAAACATAGCCCGGTGTGTTCCCGCTGTTGAACGAACTGGTCGGGCCATTGCTGACGAGTATCTTCGCAAGCCTCAATCAACCTGTTGAGGGCACCGACGATGCTTTCTCACGGCTGGAGCTCCGTAAGGCATATCTGAACTTTTTGGCGCAAGTTTTCAATTCCGACATGGAGGGGATCTTGCTGACAGAACGTGAGTCGGGATGAAGCTGAACATGATAAATGGCCACGATCGCTCATATCCTTTTTCTTTGCAGGAAACATGCCACAACTGAACATGGTCCTGCAATCCGTCCTCCACTTCTTCAAAGAGCCCGCCGACTCGGCCTCCCAAAAGCTCGCCTGCTCCGTCCTCGTCAAATGCGTCATCTCCTGGGGCACAGCAGAAGGCAACACCATCAAAATCACGAAAACAGGCAAAGCGCTCAAACCCGACAAGTCGAAAACCACCTCCCCCGCTTTACCCCGCCAACAATCCAACCCTTCAACCCTCGGCACCGCCGACTCAGACCCGTCCCTTCACCAACAACAACCGCAATCCCTCCCCGGCTTCGAACAGTTCATGTACGAGAACATCGTCCCGATCCTGTTTGAAGTCCCATTGAACCCGCAGTTCGACCCGAACGATGGACAGAATTGGCTGGTGATGTCGGAGATCTCGGCGCTGCATTGCGCGCTGTTTATGGCGCAGGGTGCGAAATACGTGGACTTCTTGAGGGCGCGGTACCTGCCGACGCTTGGGTTTGACCCGGCGGCGTCGGAGGCGTTTTTGAGGGAGTTGCAGGTGAAGGATAGTCGGGGGTTGAAGCCGATACTTACTGGTAGGGACATCGTCTTCTTTGAAGAGATTGTGTCTCGGCCCAAACAGTCTAACGTCTTTCTCGTGCACCGTTCATTCAGAATTCATCAAACTCTACAAGAAACAACGGCGATGACTTCCCTAACCAGACGCAACCACACGCATTCAAAACTCTCTTTGCTCTCCTCCCGCACCCTCTGCATCAACATGCCTGCTCGCAACTCATGACATCCATCAGTCTCCGCGCATTCGCCGCAAGCTTCCAGTCGCTTCTCCAAAACATGAACCCTACCTCAGTTTGTGGGACCAACCACCCCAAAACCCTCCTCTTAGATCGCCTATTCCCCTACCAACGTGCCACTCAACCCCATCCCCTAACCCCGCCGCTGCTGCCACTTTGGTCCGTCTCTCGCTTCCGTGATTCCAGAAGGGGGGCTCCCCAACCCATTTGCATATATTTCTTATTTAGATATTTTTTGTGTGGGAGAATATATTTGGGCGTATGGCATTCGTAACGTGATGTGGAGTTCGGTTTTGAGGGTCAGATGTTGAACAGAAATGCATGGGGTAAGAAGCATAGTCCGCCGCATATGCCGCATTCTATTGCTCTGTTGTCTACGTCGCTTGTGGTTGCGGATGCTACGCTCTGTTTGCTAAATGCTATGTCCTGTGGATGGCTAGTTTACTGACGGAAGTCCTTGTTGAATTCGCGACCTGAGAAAGGTAGGTTCGATATCAGGGCACGGGCGATACGGAAAACCTCAGGGTGAGTGGTTCGTATTCAAAATAGGAACAGGACCCTCTTACCGATAAGCATTCGTCGGATCTCGCTAGTCCCAGCGCCAATCTCGTAGAGCTTTGCGTCACGGAGGAAGCGGCCGGCTGGGTCTACAGGAACATACAAGCCGGGAGTGGTCAGCACTACAACCACAACACCATTTCCCACGCACCCCCTAATCCAGTCGCAACTCACAATCATTGATAAACCCGTTCCCACCCAAACACTGAATAGCATCCAGCGCGCACTCGGTCGCGCGCTCGGCAGAGTACAGGATGGCTCCCGCACAGTCTTTGTTGCTGATCTGCCCGGCGTCGCAGGCGCGGCCGACGGCGTAGACGTAGGCTCGCGAGGCGCTGAGTTTGGTGTACATGTCGGCTAGCTTGGCTTGTATTAACTGCGAACACACACGATTAGCCCATAGCCATGAGATTCCCCGGACATGTGGAGAGCGTCGCGGCGTCGCAAGTAGCAACGAACCTGGAACTGCCCAATCTGTTGCCCAAACTGCTTCCTATCATGCACATACGGCACCGTCACGTCCAACGCAGCCTGCATCAGCCCCAACGGCCCACCGGACAAGACCAATCGCTCCAGGTCGAGCCCGCTCATCAGCACGTAGACGCCTTTGCCGACCTCGCCGAGCACGTTCTCGGCGGGAACTTCGCAGTCTTCGAAGACGAGCTCGCAGGTGTTGGAGCCGCGCATGCCAAGTTTGTCGAGTTTGGGGGACTGGGAGAAGCCTTTGAAGCCCTGGATTTGAGATGTGAGGTTAGTGATTCACAAAGAAGATAGCGAATAACGCAGCAAAGTCTCGTTAGTCACGGACCTTCTCCACAATGAACGCAGTGATACCCTTAGGACCCGCGTTGATATCTGTCTTGGCGTAAACCACCAGCGTGTTGGCGTCCGGTCCGTTCGTGATCCAGAACTTGGTCCCGTTGAGGATGTACCGGTCACCCTTCTTGTCCGCTCGGATCTTCATGGACACGACATCCGACCCGGATCCAGCTTCACTCATCGCCAGAGCACCGACGTGTTCTCCGCTGATAAGCTAAAGATCGTTCAATGCCCAGTCAATAACGATCGATAACGTCGGTCTCTTCCTCGTCGCACATCCATTCCGCCCACGCTCCCTTCATACCTTGGGCAGATACTTCTCCTTCTGCGCCTCGTTACCATTCCGCACGATCTGGTTCACGCACAGGTTCGAGTGCGCACCGTAGCTAAGCGCCACAGACCCCGACGCGCGACTGATCTCCTCCATCACGACCGTGTGCGCCAGATAGCCCATCGCTTGACCGCCGTACTTCTCGGGTGCGGTGATACCCAGCAGACCCATGTCGCCGAACTTTTTCCACATGTCCTGTTATTCGAGAAGTTCTTTTTAGATATTCCGAACGCCTTCTGCCGCGTGGTCCAGTTGCGTGCGTGCAGCGAAACATTTACCATGGGGAAAGCGTTGGTCTTGTCGATCTCGTGGGCACGAGGCGCCAGCTCCTTCTGCGCGAACGCATGCACACTTTGACGAAGCTACATCATAACATAGATAGATCGTCAGCCTTCTCGCTCCTCCATCTATCATATACTCGCTCTCTCTTTCACAAACGAACCTCCTCAAGATCCTCGGACAGTCCAGCAACTGGCACGTTGTAGGAATCATAGGACAGACACCGGCTCTGTGGCGCCGCCATCCGGGTGGCCAGACGGCTGAAGGCGGGAGCCCTGCGGGCGGCAGCGCGTGTAAGGGATAGTAATGCCATCTTGGAGGAGTGATAGAGTGGTGGCCGCGGACGATGCAGGTTGTTGGAATGTCAAAATAGCCCAAATATCCGCCGTGCGAAAACAAGCCGATCGGGAAGCGAGAGCGTGTGACCCTTCCCGTGGTCGATTGACAGCACCGCGCCTCTCGTAAGCAGCAATTAACACTCCCGCAATCCGCCTGTCAGTTCCTGACCTCTGGATTGCATTTCGTTCTTTCTTGCTACCAAACATCCCCACCATCCTCACAAAACGGCATCGCACAACTATCAGACAGTTGTTTGACCCTCTTCAAAGCCACTTGACCAGAGATCGAACCAACCGGCGCTACACAAAGGACTTCCGCACACCCCCTCGAACGCAAAACCCACTCCAAACCCCTCACACCACAAAAAAAAAATGGAAGCCGATTACCTCCGCCGCACCATCTCCCCCCACCTCACAACCGCCCTCACCCACCTGCTCACCCACATCCAGTCCACGTCCCCCTTCACCTACCCGCTCACAACGCCCAGCACCACGCCCGACCCCATCTCCTTCCTCGCGGACTACCTCCTCCACATCGACGCCTCCAGCCACACCATCGCAGCCGACCACGCCCGCCGCGCCGAACTAGATGCCATAGCGAATGAAGTGAATACCGCGCAGGCTGCTGAACGGAAACAGAGGGAGTTGTTGGAGGAGGAGTTGAGGGTTAGGGCAAAGGAGGTTAGGGATAAGGAGTTGGAGGAGGAGAGGGTTCAGAGGGAGGAGGTGGAGAAGCGGGAGAGGGAGGTCGCGAGGGTGGAGGAGGAGAAGAGAGTGGAGGAGGAGAAGAGAAGAGCGAGAGAGAGGGAGGAGGAGATCAGGCTGGCTGCTGCTGATACGATTGTGGAGGAGGAGGAGGAGGAGGGTGATGCAGGTGAGGAGGGTGGTAATGAGAAGATTTAGGAAGAGATAGATAGATAGCGTTCGTCGGGTATCTAGTCAGTTTGCGGCACTCATAATGGTAGTGGGTGAATTGTGATAGCTGGGAGATATCGTAGACACTTCAGCCTAGGTAATCATAGCACTAGGAGATATCAGAAGGGAATAACCGAGGGAATATAATCCCACCTGTATTTTCAGGAACATTTTCGCAGACCGGAAGCAATCTCGTAGATGGTCAAAAGTTGGGATTTCTCTTACGCAGTTCGGAAAGTGGTAGTACTCCCACTGTTACGCAGTTCTCCCACTGAAAGCACCGAGAGGTGAGGGAGATCTCAAATTCTGCTAGGAATTTACGAAAGACCATGGCTCGGGGAGAAGAACTTTGCAAAATCATTCAATTTCCAAATTCAGAAATGTACAAGGGGTTGAAGAAATGCCCCGCCTCCCGCATCCCCCGCTCGCTGCCTACGTATCCCGGAGGAATCAGACAACCCACGTTGGTCGCAAGAGATCTCCCCAAACGCACCCGAAAGGACTCACGACGGCTTTCTTGATGGCGACCCACTTTCGCCGCCCCTCACAGAGGATTCAATCATCCCCAACCTCACCCATATTTTCGTTCACCGATTCTCCAGTATGACTACGAGTAGGAATGCGGGTGGTGGGGCGTCGCTACCGGTGCTTGCTTGGGGGCGGGTGATGCCGTTGGTAGTGGGCTTGATAGGGAGGGGTCCGTTGGTTTGGTTGCTGCTGTTGTTGTTGTTGTTGTTGTTGCTGTTGTTCCAGCACCTGTTGCTGATAGTGGTGGTGGTGATGGTGCCGGCGATCGTGTTGCCGCCGGTGTTGGTGCTGCTCTTGCCTTGCTTGTCGTTGTTTTTGTCGTAGTCGTCATTCTCATCGTGGCCGTCGGTGCGGCCGCTGCCGTTATTGTTGTTGTTGTTGTTGTTGTTGTTGTTGTTGTTGTTGTTGTTGTTGTTGTTGTTGTTGTTGTTGTTGTTGTTGTGATTGTTGTTGTTGTTATTGTTGTTGTTGTTACTGTTATTGTATTTATTGTTGTTGCCGCCGTCTCCATACTCGGAGCCGCCATCCACCACTTTCGTCAGGCGACGAATTTCTCCTCTCATCTCCCTCCCGCGCACTTCACGCGTCCAAACAGTCTCCATCAGCTTCTCAATGGCGGGCACGCCGCGGATGGGTGTCAGCCACAGGTCGGCGGCCGTTTCTGATCCTGGGAGGAGGACGTGGTCATGCAGAATCCGTTGGGTGGTGGTTTTTAATGATCCAACCGCAGGTGGGCTGACGCTTGACGGTGGTGTACCGACGGGTATGTCCTTGTTGGTGGTCAGGAGGGTTGACGCGTTTTGAAAGGATGTTGTCGATGGCTTGGATGTGGTGGTGGGGATGACGATGGCTGCTGCTACCTGGAATGAAGACGACGAAAGAAATGCTCTAGATAAGGATCCCATCGCCAAAAGCACTATCAAAAGAAGATAGAAGTAACTACTTTACCCCATGTCCTTTGCAACCACACGCTCTTTCCAACAGAGGACACTCGCAAGAAAGTCGTCGGCCTCCGCTTCCCAAAAAGGTGGCGACCTCGCTCAGCTCTGTCCATCCACTGTGTTCGAGCAGCGATGGTGGCGTGGTAAAACTCCTCTCGAATGTAAAGTGGGCTTGTTGCGGTTGCGATGCTTGGCATCCGTTTTCTTGTATCCCGCCGCTTTGTTTGGTCTCTTTCTTGTTTTCGTCATCATCGTCATCTTCGTCTTCGTCTTCGTCCCACTTACCCACATGTTTGGTGCGATGATGGTGTCGGCCTTCGCGAAGACACTCCAAAATTAGCCGCATGTTCCCCAGAAGGTGTAAGCACCGCCCTCCCTCGAGGTGATGTGGTCGTTCGTCCGGTGAGAAGTCCACCGTAAGGTTCTCGAGCATGATTGGGAGGTATTTCATAATCTCCAACTCCATTCGAACTTCGATGTCGTCATTGTGGAGTGGCCGTTGACCTTGATGTCCCGTGATGCGTTTCCAAGGGTTCCAGACTTCAAGAATGAAGGTCTTGCTGAAGAGACGCTTGCTGTGTCCTTGGTGGTCAAGCCATTGGTTACTGGTGAGCCGGGAGGCATCTCGTTTGGGGAGATACCTTTTTCGGGTTGGTGGGTTGGTGGCATGGAAGCTGCTGCGTTGGTCTTGAATGGTTTTGGCAGGAGGTCCGCGTCTAGGTGTTAGACGAAGGAAACGATGTGCTTCAGCGAAAGGACCATTGGAACGGTCAGAAGGGAGGTCTCACGCTTACCATCAAACCCAGCATCTTCGTCCGTCTCCATATCCACGCTCTCCTCATCTTCCGAGTTCTCAGCCGGTTTCGTTGGGACATCCAGCTCAGGCTCTTCACTTCCATCAGCAGGCTCGTCTTCCAATTCGCCCAATGGAATGCCTTCCATGAGAGCTTCGTCGATCGCTTCGAACGGATCCATTTCTTCCAGATCTTCGGTAGCGGCGTACATGCTTGGAGTTTCCGAAGCTGCGAAAGGGTAGAAGTCAGCATGAGCTGCATCACGAATGTCAGAGGGATTGAGATGACCTACCAGCGGTCGATTGAGTATCAGTCTGTTGGCCTTCATGTGCCGGCGCATTGATAGTGCTGCCGGAGACGGATACATAAACCACATCATCTCCAGAATCGTCAGACTCATCAGACTCGTCAGACGAAGAATAATCGAAATCGATAGCAACGTGCGATGCTTGAGACAGCTGCTTCAAGATGCCCTCCATAGATGAAACGCTTTTAAGATCCATAGGATCCAAAGTTGAGACCTCCATGTCGTCGACGGAGCTTGGCACTGCGGGTGCGGTGCTGGGGCTGATGGTATCATCTTTCAGGGGGTCGCTTGAATCGCTTTGGGCGGTGATGGTTTCAGTCTTGTGAGTTTCTTTACCGCTATCGGTCGCACTGGCTGCGTCTTTCGCGTTCTTCGCTTCCTTGTCTTGAAGTTTTTGATAATTGTCGTCGATGTCGGATAGCGACGTGATGGACTCGTCGCGCTCGAGGAAAGGCAGGTCGGACAGATAATCGTGGTTCTCGTCCCTGAGGATATCTTTCGTGAAAAGTGTGTACTCGAAGCCCGACCGCTGGATGGAGTCTGGCAGGGGCTGCGATGATCCCTTCCGAAAAGGAAGATCACTGTAATCCCCATCCTGACCCCATCCTGGGAGTCCGACGTCAGACAAGATGGCACCGAGCTCGGCTAGAGCGACTTCATGTTGCGGGAGGGAGTATGGGACTTCGGGGATCAGGTCAGCTTTGAAGAGAAGACCCTTCTGAAGTTGCGCACTCTGGCTGTAGCTGTCGAGCTCTGCTCGACTGCGGCGGCCTCGCTTCCGGCCTTGTTCGTGGCTTCGTGTGCGGGAGAAGAATGAGCTGGTTGAGGAGGCTTCCCTTTCGCTTTCCGAGCCTTCGATGTAGACTTCGCTGCCGGGTCGTATGGCGAGCATCGGAGATTGACCTGAGCAGAATGACAAAAAGAAAGAGGGAGAATGAGTCTCAGACCGATGTGAAACAAACGATACTAGTCCGAAGCCTGAAGGTTTCACAACGATAAGAGATGACAACGTACCATCAGAAGCCGAATTGATCGTGCCGTTCTCAAGAGGGCTCGAAACAAGCCTCGACGTCGTGCCGTTGGCGTTGGCCGTCGCTGTGTTGATTTGCTGGAGAGTAGCGTTTTTCGAAGCCGACGCGGTTTCAGTCAGCCTGGCGCGAAAGGCCTCCAGTTCCCCGAAATCGGAGACTGCGACGGCAGGCCTTCCGACCCGTGGGAATGTGAACAGGGTCGTTCGTTTGGGACCTTCGACGGTCATATTGCGTGTTTGAGGGGTTCACCGAGAGTAAAGGTTTAGGCACGCAGGACCTTGACGGGGGCCGTACTTTTCGTGAATGTAGCTGGGGTGGTCGGTTTCAGGCAGGTGATAACCTTCCTGATAGTCTGGTAATTGTGTGTGGAGAGCGGAGTTGTGAATACCGAAGCTGCTGGCGTAGTGATATGTTGTAGGGCGGCGGATGAAGCACGACTTGGGCCCGAAACAGGAGGAGCACGAGCGTCCCAAGCAACTGAGCGGAAAGCTGTGGGTTGTGGGGGGATGGCTGTAATAGTATATATATGGTCTTTTGATGGCTGAGCTTTCCTATTCGATTGACAGCTCGCCAGAACAGGGGGGCAAAAAGAAGACCCGTTTTGACAGCTGCTGGGGGTCTCCAAGGGATGTATATAAGAGTGAGTCACGTGTGGGGGTTTGGGACAGGGGGAAATCCGAAAAGGGGTCTGGGCCGCAAAACTTTCGACAGGCACAGGAAGAACACACGCTGTCGAATTTCGCGTTTATGGCCTCCCGCTTATTGAAGATTTCCGACCATTTTGTTTGAGGTTGACCATCAATGACGACGAGTCACACACTTGTTCGCGAGCCCGATGGCCTGACCGACGCTTTCTACAACAGGACGCCAGCTTAGAGCGCCCTGTGCAATGCACGTGTAGTACGGATTTCGGGCTTTATTTCCGACGGTGTTCCGTAATTCGAGTTTCCCCAAGCCGCTTACTTATCTGAGGTTATCTCTTACGACACCACCCAGCCATGGGAAGCACAACACCTTAAACACGAAGAAGGTATGCAGTGGATCCTGGCCGTCCATTTTCCTTTTCAAATCGTCATGCTAGGGTCCAGAATTTAGAGTTATGCGGGAACAAAAAAAATGGGTGCCCATGAATTTAGAGCGAACAGCGACGTACAGCAAGCTTTTGCGCCACCCAGGCCAGCGAGAATCTGCATATTGGCCGTTGTTTTTCGTGGGCTCTTTTCGATCCGCTATGCAGCTTTCGCGTAACATAAGTGTGTTGCAATATACTCGTCATATTCTCGGGTGCTCATAGGTGCGACTCGTGCGAGACCGTGCGAAAATTTCCCTGCGGAAGCGGCAATGCGGTCCGGTTGGCCCCGAGAAGAACATGCGCATGCGGTACCGCGCACGAGTCACAGGGCAATCATATGGCGGGCGTGATTTGGTGTGACCCTGGCGCATTGTTTGGCATTGTTGGTTTGACTCTGAGTTCATTATGGAATTCAAGAAGTACCAAGGGTGTGAACTTGAAGGGATGTTGTGCCCAGGTGTGCACATTCCGTTGATTAAATCAAATAATTAACTGATGTCTCCGCGGACTCGTTTAAGCCGCGCGTTATAAGTAAGGTGAAGCGTGAGTACCGTGGCAATCGCCTCCGATTGGTGACAATGGAGCCGGAGAGAGCGACACAATGGGGGGGTGGCGTTTCCCGTGCATGAGCCAAGCCCTGTTCCCTTGCTCCCGGATCGCCTGACTGATGAAGATGAACAACCGAAACAGAGACATTGCCCCCATTGTTCAACCGCATTCCCACCACCCATGTCGTCTAAATCCAAAGAGGCCTCAAACAAGGGAAGAAAAGCATGCTCAATTATCCATGTCGCCCAAATTTCTCGGCCAAAAAGGGAGCCTCTTCCAAGGTTCTTCCTATTGTACTTGCGATACATGAAACAATCGGTCGCTCTAGGTACAAAACGGTTCATCCCGCGGTGGGGCGGATATGTCCTGGGGTACGTAGTGTGGCCTCTCTTCTGTTTCCCATGTCGACGCCTCCAACAAGCGCTCGATGGATGATGGCGATAGAACCCCAAACGGGTCTTTTTCCGAATCTCCCAGATCTCATCAATCCACCCCCCCCCCCCCATGTGTGTTTATATTTTTTTTGTCGTGGGTGAGGCGGGCGGTTCGGTTGTAGCCGTCCAGCAACGCGTCGCAATGCGCAGTTGACCGTGGAAGTTTGCAATTCTTACACCCCCCCCCCCCCCCTCTCTGAGAGAAAGCGCTCTCGCCACTCTCGCGGTTTGAGAGCGTGCTGCAACACCCAACCTTGCGAGACGTTCGAAGGAGTCAAGCGAGACCTCCGTCACAGCACGCTTTGCCAAAGGTGAAGCAACAAATGTGACTGGCTGATGGCGGGGTCGTACTACGCTCCCACGGCAATATTTCTGCAACTTGAACGACCCCCCCATCCCCAGGGCCCTCCACACCAAACACATAAACAAAAAGCACAAAGAAACCACGAGTTTGAATCTTGATCCCCGGCATATATATATTTCCTGTGAACGTGCAGAGTCCGCAGCATCACGTTACATGCATCCTCCCCGTCCAGGATGCCCCAAGAGCCCCCACGGGTCGGTCATCGAACTTGAAGCCCTTGGATTCTCCTCAAGAAAATAGACCTTATTGTTCTTCTACCCTCCTTCACGGTCTCGGGGTTACAAGCCGTCGACGTACGCAACTCCGCCGGAACTTCCGCCTCACAGCTCACGATTTGTGCTATAGGAGATCCACGTAGTTAATCCAAGCCTCGAATTTGCAACGGGTCTGTTGGGATTGAGAGGGACTTCAGCGAAAAACGAAGTTACCGGTTTGATATACGCGGCACATTATCGTCGAACATGTCGAACATTGAGCGCATCTTGCAAGGCGGGCGTGGTGGACCCTCGACGTCCCCGACAGCTTCGTCGACGACTTCCGATCATGTTCGACCGTCGCCTTCTTCTACATCGCCGGCCGTGTCTGGTGTCGCTGCACCGCCGCCGTCGCCACCATCACCTCCATCGCCCCCGACTCCTGTGCTGCCCCCGCCGGTGAAGCAACAAACACCACCATCGCTGCAGCAGTCAACAAGCCATTCGCAACAACCTCAGGTAGAATCTCCGAGGCATGCGAGCAGCCCTCGACAGATCGGGCAGGCACCGCAACAACCACAATCCGCAAGGCATGTCGGAAGTCCGCGACAAATCGGTCAGCAGCCGCAACTTCACTCCCCGCGACAACTCGGCCAGCAGCCGCAGCTACATTCACCACCACGGCATGCAGGCAACAGTCCTCCCCAACTTCGTCAGCAGCAACATCACCACCTCCAACTTCAACCGCATCCGCAACACCACCTCCACCAACCGGACCCAAATCCGCTCTCACAGCCGTACCGATTCGCCGATCTCGACGAGCTCCAGCTCCTCAAACCACCCCAGCTCAACAACGTCCAAGGCATCAGCGACACAGCCTGGGTCTCCGCCTTTGACCGCAACGCGTACGTCGCCATCCGGCTCAAAACAAAAGGCACCCTCTCCCGCGCGCTGTTCTACGACCTCTCCCAAAACAAGCAGAACGCGGTCATGGGCGCGCTACGGACCAAGCTGGCGGAGTATGAGCGGGATCCCGCGCAGCATCCGGAGATTGATGCGGGTGAACATGCGAGGTTGTTGGAGGTTCTGAGGCATATGGAGAAGTATCAGAGGAATACGCATTCGTTTCCGGAGGCGACTATTAGTCGGAAAAGGAAGCAGCAGGAGGAGGGTGGTGAGGTAATTACGCGTCTCCTTATATGCTGTTCGCTTGTTGTCGCGGCAAGTGAACGTCTCCGCTAACCCTCATCTTGATCATAGTCTACACCAAAATATGCCCGCCGCACAAAAGACCAACCAGGCTTCAGCCTCGACCAATCCCCAATCCCACACGTCGCCCGCATGGTCCCCGTCCCCTTACACGCCCAAAGCCCCGGTCCCCTCCCTCCGCCGATGGGCGGCGCTCACCGTCTGCACGACGGCAGCCCAGCCCACGGACCTACCTACTACCAAGCCGCGCCCTCAGGTATCGGCCTACCCCCCATCCGGCAAGACCTTGCGCCACGAACCCGTTCAGGCGGGAAGCAACGCGGGACGTCTCAGCAACAATCACAAGTGTATGCGGGTGCTAGTGAAACCGCGCGTCATCGCCGCTCACCCCAGCAACAGTTCCACCGCCAACACTCCCACCCCGCCCTCCCGTCAGCGATCATCCCCGCCCACGCCGCCGTCGCACACCCACAACGCTACTCCCACTCCCCCGCCCTACGCGCCATCGCCGACCACCCCCAAGCAGGCCCAGACCGCATCATCCGCGCCCCACCCCCATCATCACCAGCAGATTTCGAAGCCCTCTCGGCCCTCGTCCGCGAACTGCAGTACCGGTGCGGCGCAATGGGAAAGGATAACGAGATATTGCAGGCGGAGATTGCTACCCTGCGCAGAGACGCATTTACCGTGAACGCTGAGAATGAAGGGTTGAAGAGTAAATTGGAGCGCTCGATGGATGAGGTGTATCAGTTGAAGAGGTTGCATTATCAACAGCAGCAGAGAGGCCAACAGCAGCAGCAGCCGCAGGCATCCCCGCGTGCCGGGACCGCTTCGGCGGCGGAGGATCAGAAAGTACCCCTCGGGACACGGTCGCCGACATCTGCCACCACGTCCGACCGCTTACGAACGGCGGTTGAGCATGTTATCTCGCAGCGGATGGGGACGGCGGTGGACGCTTTTGCGGATGTGATGCGCGGGGCGTTGTATGATTTGGGGAGCGAGTTGACGCATCCATCTGAGGCCGACCGGCCTTGAACACGACGACATCCCCGACTTTCTTTAACATAGCATAGTTGCCAACATCGATAGAAAACGGGCGTAAACATCAGACATCCGCATCATCCGGGGGCGTATCTATCTCTAGTTATCTATCCCAACAAAACCTCGTTTTTGGCCCCCTGCATTCCATTTGAGAAACGAAAATGTACATTGTCCCCATCGAGGTTGACGTCCCCCCATCCCCACCTGTATATATGATGTCTGATCTTTTGCGGGGCATCAGGGAACACTTAAATTAAAGAAGCATTGTATTTATCATGGCCTTCTGTTGGTTGCCTTCGTGGGTCTCCATCCACTTTGTCACGAAAACTGTCAGAGTGTCGGATAAAATCCGGTGCACGTGACCCACTCATCCCATCGGAAATTTCCGCGTGTTTGTCCATAAAGGCTGCTCCACGTTGGGCTATGGAAAGTCGTGGAGCCAAAGACGCTGCTAAATTGGGGCACTTTCCTAATCGCGCGGCTAATCAAAACGGGGCCTTGTTGAAGCGAGTCGCTTGATCAATTGCTCGCTGCGAATTAGTAACTGGGCGGGTCTCATAGGAATCGATATAAGACCTCCCCCGCTTGAAGCACGACGTCTCCCGCAAAACGATCTTTCGTCGCTCGCAAACCAACCTCACATCAATCACCCCACTACGCTCACTTCAACCCACACACCCCTAGAAATGGCTCGCTCAGGTCGTTCCGGCGGCGGTCGCTCCGCCCCCTCCCGCCCCGCCCCCGCCCAGCACACCCAGACCCGCCAGGCATCCACAACCGCCCACCCGCCAGCGCACGCCCCGCCACCAGCGCCGCCCGCACATGCTCCTATGGCCGCACCCCAGCAGCCGGGCATGTTTGCGCAGATGGCGTCGACTGCCGCTGGAGTTGCTGTTGGTAGCACGGTATGTAGAATGTGTACCCACCCGTCGAATTCCCAATGTCGATCGCTCAAGAATCACGCACTAACCCCATTTCTCCCCCCCCCCCCCCCCCCCCCCCTATAAAACAGATCGGACACACGCTTGGCGCCGGAATCACCGGCATGTTCGGCGGCGGCGGGTCCAGCGCCCCTGCCCCGGCTCCCGTCGACCAGAACCAGCCCCAGCAGTACGCACAGCAGCCGTACGCTCAGCAACAGCAACAGCAGGGAGCGATGGCGGCGTGTGAGCCGGATCAGAAGGCGTTCTTGAGGTGTTTGGATCAGAATAGTAATGATATTACTTCTTGGTAGGTGTTTTGGAATTGTGGTGGTGGTGTTGGCCCGGGGAATCTTGATCTGACTGTTTTCCTTTTCTCGGATTTCTAGCCAATTTTACCTCGACATGCTGAAGCAATGCCAAGCCGCTTCCCGCACCACCCTCCAGTGAAACTGTCGAAATCGAACAATTCATTATAGCTTCTGCAACGTTGTGCCCCTTAGAGCATTATATCTGTTTACCCCTCTCTCAAAATATCGACGTAGTTGCTTGAAACGAGAATATTGAAAAAGATGTTCGTTAGAAGAATGGAAGAATGAGAATTCGAGATGGATAGAGATGGATAGAACACTTTGGCGTCCATCTTACAGAGGGTTTCGAGTGGACATGTGGGATTAACCTCAGGTGTCGAGGTCTTCGGGTGTGGGATGCACACTCACAGGGAAGTGCAAACAGCATGGGAACAATTGAGCATCGTGTGGCCAGGCTCCGCGTCAAATTGCGTGTGATATCCTAAGCGTTCTACTGTACCTCACTTTCTACCTCTCAATGAACTGTACATACGGAAGCAAACACTATGCTACGTCCCTAAAACCGACGCTTCTTCCTTCCACAAGAGACTGCTTCAAGTCTCTCAAAGATTCTTAAACTTCTCCGCAGCGCCAACAAGCAAAGACCGAATCCCATCCTCCTTCGCCGAATGGCCCGCATCAGGAACCTACAAATCAACAGGCCAATGAGTCATAAATAAAGGGTGACTTTGATGACAACCACTTACGATGTGAAGCTCAGCCTCCGGCCACCGCTTCTTGAGGTCGTAGGCGGATCGCGCGGGGCAGACGACGTCGTACCGGCCTTGGGCGATGAAGCCTGGGGAATAGGGATGGGACAGTGAGCGAGGTGTGGGAGGAAACTGACGATGGGGGGGGGGGGGGGGGGGGGAGGTACGTACATGGGATATGCTGAATCTTGGGAATGTTGTGAAGAATCCAATCATCGCGGTCGAAGAATCCTTTCTGTTAAACACGCCGTCTGAATCAGAACCCACCCGTCCGCCCAAAACACCGCCACCCACCCCCCACCCCCTCAAAACATTACGTTGACGAAATAATGACACTCGATCCTCGCAAACGCCAGCGCAAAGTTGTCCTTCTCCGCCTTCTCCACATTCACTTTGTCCACATACAGCCGGCTGGTCGCGCATTCCCACTTGCTCCACGCTTTTGCGCACGCCAGTTTCTCGTGCTCGTCGGAGCCGGTCAGGCGACGGTGGTAGGCGGCCATGAGGTCGGAATGCTCGGAGGGGGGGATAGGGGCCAGGTAGCCGTCCCAGTAGTCGCTGTCGGGGGGTGTGGGGTGTGAGTGGGTGGAGGGGTTTTGAGATGTGGGGAGGGAGGGAGGGGGACTTACGGAAAGAGGTGGCTTGCGCCGTCCTGGTAGAAGAACTTGAGCTCGGATTGGCGTAGCATGAAGATGCCACGCAGGATGAGCGCCTTGACCTTATCCGGGTGGGTGATGCTGCATACAATAGATAGTCAGGAGCCGTCCGACCCTTCTCCAGGCTCGATACATCACTCTAACCCAACCTGTAGGATAAGGCAAGCGTGCTTCCCCATGATCCGCCAAAAACAACCCAATTGTCGATTTTCTGCAGAGCCCGCTCATCTTAGTCCCATTGCGCCAACAGTCATCGAACACACGTCAAACCACTCCTCCATTACCAAATGATTCCTGATCGTCTCAATATCATCTATCAGCGTCCAAGTAGTGTTCTCCTCGAGACAAGCGAGACTGTACCACCCAAGAAGTCAGCGGTCGTGTTGGCCCTTCTCAACAAGAATACAGACATACGGAGTAGACTTCCCAGCTCCACGTTGGTCAAAGACGACGATTTTGTAGGTCGCGGGGTCAAAGTATCTCCTAAATACGAGGAGCACTGTAAGAACTTGGGCTTCTGGGAGAGCTTTTTGGAGATCATAGTCTCACCTGTCACTAGGAGATGTACCGCCTCCAGGCCCGCCATGCAAGTAGACTACCGCCTTCCCATTGGGGTTGCCGCTGACCTACGGGTAGAAGTCAGCAACTCAACAAAGTAAACTGGCCTCCATACTTAATGACTTTACCTCCCAGTAGATGGTGTGCACGTCCGACACCTTTAGGAAGCCGGAGTCGTAGGGCTCAATGGGAGGGAACAGTTCCCGTAAGGGTTCGGCGGACGCAGCTTGCTGGAGGGCAACGTCGGTCGGGGACGATAGGTTCGTTGCCATTGTGGTGGTTGTGTTGGTGATGGGAAGTAGCGGCTGAACTCCGTTGGAGCCATTGGGGCTGACCGCACGCTTCCCGCGAGGACAGAGGAGTCTGCGAGGCCCATGTCCGGTTTGTCCGGATTCAACTTCCACTTCCACTGCAACTTCAATCTCGCTGCCCACAGCTTCTGTCTTGCACTAACTACCCAGCAGGAGCTTGGCAATCCACGGCCTCCTACACATACAATCCTGCTGCAGCGTCCCGACCCCTGAAACCGCCTGGGTCAGCCAGGGGACTCCATCACGACATTGGAGGAACACGCGTCCATTCTTGAAAAGGCGGGGCCCTCCACAATTCAACGCGCCGTACGAGAAAGGATTAGCTTTGAAGAGCAGTAGCAGGGTCAAGAGTGAAGGGGAAGGGGTTTGAAAGACGTCTACTCAGAAGGGAAGTGAAGATTTCGCGTGGGAACGCTCGTCTACCGGACCTTAAAAGCTCTTCCCGGCACTCCACCACAATGCTCTCAGCGTCCAAACTCCTTCGCCATGAGGCGGTTCCAGGACTCTTGGTTTCTCGAGGGCTCGACTCTCAATCTGCTCTGCCCGGGGCGCTGTCGCTGCGTAGCCCCCGTCTTCATTTCAACGCTCCTGCCTGCATAAGGATGAAGACGACCTCCACCCGCAAGGTAACGAAAGTGCTGAGCGTGGAGGCAAAGTCGGGCGTGACGAATCGTAAGCCTGGTCGGCCCGCGAGAGTAGATTCGGGCGACCGGCTGCTCGAATCACTGGCAGGAGCAGTGCTCAAGACCAAACGAAAGATAAAGACTGATGCCAGTCTCCAGAGTCCAAGCGAGGCAGCAGTGATACCGACGGTGGAAAAGAAAAAGAGAACTCGGAAAGTAAAGGCTAAACCTAGCTCATCGCAGTCCGATGCAGGCTCAGTTCAGCTTCGCAAGCAGAGACGCAAGCTCTTGTCGGGCGGTGTGAAGAACCTCGAAATTAGCGTCTTACCGCAATTGAAGCCCTTGAAGCCCTTCGGCATCCAGATGGATGCCAGCACGGACGCCACGGATGGCGTTGGTGGCAGTGGAATGACGGACGGGGGAAGCGGTGGACACAGGCTGGTTCCGAGCACCGCGCTTATGCAGGAGGTCGTCAAATTGCAGGAGGAGAACCCGGACCATATCTTGCTGGTCCAAGTTGGCGGATTCTATGAGATCTATGATCAGGGAAACTACCTGGACGAGATGGCGTCGCTGCTGCACTTGAAGATCATGCGGCCCGGTGAGCATAATCGGGCCGTGGGATTCCCGCTAGCCAAAATCAAGGGTTACCTGGAGAGCCTGATACGCCACGGGAAAACAGTAGCCGTAGCGGAGCAAACAGACAAAGACTACGTCAACAAGACCAAGCATCATGTTCGGACTGTTACCAGAATCTTCACCCCTGGCACTGTCATCGAGGACGAGTTCATCGAGAGCAAGGACAACAACTTCTTGCTCTGCGTGTCTGCGCCTCCGCCAAGCCTCGCCGCGGACGACGGGAAGGGCCCACTCGGCCTGGCATGGCTCGACGTCTCCACCGGCGAATTCGTGGTAGGTTCAGCGACAGAAGAGTCCTTCGAAGAGCATCTCGCGCGGATCCAGCCAAAAGAAATCCTCCTCGACAAGGCAATGCAAACCACGCACGCCACTCTAGTCGCCTCACTCAAGAAACGTAGCACGGGGCTCCACCTCACCTTCCGGGACCCCGACCACCACGCCGAAAGCCGCTTCAACAGCCTGGTCTCCCAAACCGACGCGGCGTTCTTCCAAAAAACCCTGGCGCGGTATGACGTGCTGCAGAAACAGGCAGCGGGCAACCTGCTCGCGTACGCGAACAACAGTATCAGGTCCGGAACCTCGCTTTTTGCCATCCCGGCAGCGTTTAGCCCGGAGAGCGTGATGGGGATTGATGCGGTCACCCAAACGGCGTTGGAGATTTCGCAAACATTCCGGGACAGAGCGCGCAAGGGGACTCTGTTGAATGAGGTGGATGAGACCAAGACTGCGGCGGGGAGTCGCCTGTTGGCTAGCAGGCTCAAGGCACCGTCTACGTCGATCACTGAGATAAACCGTCGCCTTGATCTCGTCAACATTTTCTACGAGGATACACACCTCCTCGCGGATGTGCGAGCGACTCTCACGCGCGTCAAGGATCTGGAGCGGGCTATACAGAAGATCCACATTGGGAAGGGAACGCCGGGGGATTATATGAGCATCATCGCAACGTTGCGCGCCGCGGTGGAGATCGCGGCGAGGGTCGAGAGCAAAATCGAGATGATGGAGAGGACGAAGTTGGGAATAAGCGCGTTGAAGGATCTGCATCATCGGCTGGAAGCGTCCGCTAGCCTCCTAGAGGCCTGCGATGCGATCTTCAACGAAGGCATGCAGGATTTGCAAGGGATATCGGAGGTGGATGCCATCCGGGAGGGCGTCTCGAACGATATTGATTCGCAGCGAAAACGTTTCCGGCAGTTGATGGAGCGGCAACGCGTGCTGGAAGCGGAGTGTACGAAGAAGTACTCGATTCCGGAGAAACCGGTGGTGGGCGTGATGGACCCGAAAGTAGGGCATTACCTTGCCATATACGACGCAAAGAAGGACGTGCGGGACCCGATGAAAGCCAAGATTGGGAAAGATGGTCATTGTGAGCTGTTTGACCGGGCGTCTGTTACTACCACTGTGCAGTTTACGCATCGGAAGTGGACAGCGTTGTCGGCTGAGATTGCACATGCGACTGAGGAGCTCGTGAAAGCGCAGACCCGCGTCTTCACCGAAGCCTGCCACATTGTGAAGAAGCATGCGTTGCAGATCGTCCACACCGCCAAAGCCATCGCGGAAACGGACGTCGCGGCCGGATCCGCCACCTACGCCCTCCAACACGGCTGCGTCCGCCCCATCGTGACCGAATCACTCACCCACGACATCAAGGGCGCGCGACACCCCGTCGTCGAGACATCCCAAGCCAACCGGGACGCCCAATACGTACATAACGATTATACGATCGGAGAAAACACCTCGCGCGTGTATTTGGTCACCGGACCGAACATGGGCGGCAAATCCACCTTCCTCCGCATGTCGGCCCTCATGTCCGTCATCGCCCAAACCGGGCTGTACGTCCCCGCGCAATCAGCAACCATCGGAATCGTCGATAAGCTTTTCGCGCGTGTCGGGGCCTCCGATGACCTCGCGGCGCATAAATCAACCTTCATGGTCGAGATGCAGGAAACGGCCGCGATCCTCAACAACGCGACGCGGCGATCGTTCGTGATCATGGACGAGATCGGCCGGGGCACCTCGTCCAACGACGGGCTTGCGATCGCGTATGCCACATTGAAACATATCCACGACACGATCGGATGCCGCACGGTCTTTGCGACGCATTACCATGAGCTCGCGCACCGGATCACGGCCGACGGCTCGCTCCCCGCCACCACCTGCGTGCAGACCGCGGTCATCAAAACACCACCCGCGGAGGAACTCATCTACACCTACCGCATCGAACCGGGCATCGTCGACTGCAGCCATGGGATCCCCTGTGCGGTGGGTGCGGGCATGCCACCGGCGGTCATTGAGGATGCGAAGGGGTTCTATAGACGGCTGGAAGTGGAGAATGGGATCAAGCAGAGGTTGTGGGAGACGTATCTAGCGACGCTGGAGCCTGAGCTCCCCGGCATGAGGGCGGCGGCGGCGAAGGGCGTGGAGATTGAACTCCCTGGGATGAGGGCGGCGGCGCGGGAGGTGATTGTGGGCGGTAGCTTTGGGTAGGAGGGCATTTTGGTTCTTCCATGTGTGCCCATTTCTCCCAGGTTTAGTGATAGATGTTTCTAGCGTATTGGGGCCTCTTTGTTCCTTTTCGTCCCTTTTTTCGGTAGTGTTTTCCGGGGTGAACTGCGGCGTTGTACATAGCATACGTACATATAGTTTTGCTTTTGCCTTGGTCCTCCACCGACGCCCTTTCAAGGGCCATTAACACCATAAAATCAAAGCGACCCTCAGATACCCCGCGCCAGCTGTAGCCTGGTACGGGGTAGGTTCTACTCGCCCCATCTACTTTGAAATGGAAAGTCCTCGGCATACCCGAGGCATGTCCTATATACGTAAACGTACTCGTAGTGATATACCCGCATGAGTCAACTTGAGGGTCCCATGCGCAGGCCGGCACCCTCGCATGGGACCAAGTGTCCTGTACTCACTTTGGCTGCGGATAGACCAGCCAAAGTGGAGTACAAACTGTCAGGTGCATCGTGACTAACCTGCGCAAAACTCCAAGCGTGCGATAGGGAGAGCCATATTGCGTGCACGGTCCAGTCTTGAGAGTGCTGCGAAGCTTCCAAAAGTGCTGTCGAGGTCGGGCTACTCGAAAAGCACAGCGATTGCTCGGCAACAGCGAGATAGGAGCCTTGTTCTGCTAAAAAGAGCAAGCCAGAGTCCTCGCACACTGCATACGGTACTAAATGAGTTTTGACAAAAAGCAAAACGACGCGAGCGTCGCGTAACGCGCGACCATTTGATGAAAGATTCTGTGTACTAAAGCATCGGGTTGGCATCGTCAAATGCAAGCTACATACATGGGAAACCTTATCGCACCTTTTTGTACTAAGTGAGTCCTACCCTTCCTGCGGACGGTTCGGAGGTGGATCTGGCGTCAGCACCGCTGCAGTCCGTTGCGGCATTGGTGCGAGTGGGCCAGGCTGTGATGTCGTGGGTCAGGCAGGACGTCCCAAGACCATCACCGGGTTCCAAACACACTCTGCGCCAGTTCTTAAACAGATTGAGTAAAGCACGTGTTCCCGCGGCCCTTCTATTCAGCTATCTCCACCCCCGACGCCTTTCCATTCCCTTCACCTAGGGTTGCCTTGTTGTTGAGGAAGACTTGTGAGAAGAGGCAGTCGTGTGTCCAAGTGCATTGGGGCGGATCTGTACGCTTCGTGATTCTGAACAGCGACATTCTAACCCGCTGAGCATGAATATGAAATTTACATAGGTCATTCGCCAAGGTAGATTTCGCCTGTCATTGTCCGCCATACTGATGAGCTGAAGGACGTGGGAATCGAATCTGGTTACCACGCCCCAGACATTACTCCGAGCATAGCCACCGGCGCGAGTCAGGAATCAACTCGCCAGCCACCCGCCAACATGCCAACCCTGTCAGTCGTCCATAAACCACCCCCCCCCCCCCCCCCCTCCATCCCACTCGATTCCATAACCAACAGCCCAACCCCCACCCAAAACCTGAGAAAAAATGACCGACTTCTCAATCACCACCCTCCCGACCCTAACAGCCCTCGTCCACCGCACCCCGCTTAACACCGACCCGACAACCAACCGTCCCGATTTCCGCACCGCACATCACGTCGGGACCGCTGCGCTGAAGCAGTTTGTTGCCGAGAAGGGGTTGAAAGATGCGTTGGATAGGAAATGTATGTATATTGGGAAAGAGAGACGGGGGTGTGTGGGATATCTCTCGTCTAGGGAGGACTGCAAACTCATGCGTGAAATCGAACCGGAAACACAGACACATCCATCTCCATCATCCCGACCGACCCAACCCCGGTCTTCGAACCCGGCCACCTCCTCCAAGCGGGCGGAATCGCCACCGTGCGATCCCTCCTGCCCTCCACCGCCCCCGTCACAGGCCTGATGCTACGCACGATCGAAGCGGGCGAATGGGCGCGCCAGGTGCATAGGGGCCCGCTGGAGGGGTTGGCGGCAAGTTGGGAGAAGGGTTGTGGGACAGTGAAGGAGGAGGGATGGGTGGTTGATGCGGGACGGGTGAAGTGGGAGGGGTATGTTGAGGGTGGGCAGGTGGTGGAGATCTTCTTGCCTGTTAGGAGGGGTTAGATTTGGCTACGTGTATAGGACGTTGACTTTCTGTATGCCAGTGGTATTTGTTTGCATATTCTTTTCCCATTCTTTCTCCCTTGTTTTTCGTAAGTTTGTTGCAGAGTGGTCCGTACGCTCATTGCGCTCTCTCTCTCTCTCCCTCTGTGGATGTGCCAGTGGGCAGTCTGACATATCAGGGCACTTCCACCGTTGCGACGGGCGGAAATCCGGGCAAAATTGTTTGCCCTCGTGTTTAGCCCAAGAATTTAGCCTCAGGGCCAAGCATGTCCACCGTGTCCAACTGGCAACGCGCTCAACCCCATCGCCGCGTACAAAAACGTGGTCATAGTGTAGACATAAAAGGCCCCTCCACATCCATAAAAAAGGTACCCTGGGGGATTTCCCCCCAGGGCTTTCTCCACATTTCTCCACAAGTCTCATTTCTCCACAAGTCTTTCGATCAGTTCGCAATGGAGGTGGGTTTCCCCTCTGCCAACACACGGGAACAAGAGGACGACGCTGTGGCCGAGCTTTTTTTTAAGTCATACTTGACGAGGAAGGCTGCGAAGGTTATTGGTGATGGCCGGCTAGGTTCATTGCCAGGGAAGAGGGGGAACCGCACCCGGGGGTGGCTCCGCGGCCACCTGCAGTTCATCGCTGACTACTTTGGGCCGGACGAGCTGTCACTTGGTGGAGAAGCTGAATTCACTCGGACGTATGGCGTCACTTTCGAGATGTTTGACACCCTGTGCAATGATATTGCGGCCTATGATGCGTACTTCCGTCAGACGCGGGATGCCTTTGGGAAACTGGGCATCTCCACACAATTGAAGATCTGTATTGGACTTGAGTACCTCCGCACTGCGAGAGCATACAAGTCCAACTCGCAGTATCTTCGAGTTTCAGGGGAAACCGCCTGCCTCACGGTCGTACGCTTTCTCCACGCTATGGTCTAGCTTTACACCCCAGTGTACCTCACCCCGCCGTCAGTCTCCCAAACCCAGGACATACTGAAACTCAATGAGGATGCGGGGTGGCCAGGCATGCTGGGAAGCATTGATTGCATGCACGTCGTGTGGAAAAACTGTCCTTCCGCTCACCAGGGGCAGTACCTTGACAAGGACGGGAATTTCTCCACCATCCTCGAGGGTGGGTGGGCGTCCTCCCCAGCGGTACTTTCCCCTGGGTCCCTTCCTCTCCTCACTTGCTTACTCCTTTTTTTCTCAGCGGTGGCCCAGCACGACCTTATATCACGCATGCGTTCTTTGGAATGACTGGGACAAACAACAACAAGACCGTGTGGGAACATTCTCCCCTGCGGCATCGCATTTTGCGGGGTGCCGCGCCCCAAGTGTCATTCGAAGTCAATGGACAAACTTATCATGAAGGGTATTACCTTGCCGATGGCATATACCCTGATGAGACGTGCTTCGTCAAGTCATTGACCCAACCAATGTCGGATGTGGAGAAGCTTTTCACCCAGAGGCAGGAGTCCCAGCGGAAAGACGTGGAGAGGCCTTCGGCGTTTTGCGACAGCGTTGGGAGTTCCTCCGCCAGCCCGTCAAGCTGCACAAAGAATCACTCATCAAGCGGGGTGTATTGACATGCATCATTCTCCACAACTGGCGTATCATCGAGCGGAGAGGGAGGGATGGCTGGCATATGCCCGACGAAGGGTCGGCGACTGTCACAGATGGGCAGGGTGATACTTGTGGGGGGTCTGGGGACGCTACCCGGGGGGGGAAATCGATGCGGGGCGTGCCCGCAAATTGAAGGATCCTCTCACGCACCTGCATTTGAGGAGCAATACAGCCCAGCATCTGTGGAGAGCCAATGGGTGTAAGTACGTGGAGGATCCAGCACGTCAAGCAATGGGGCGGCGTGACTTCGGGTATGTGGAGACGGACAAGGACAGTAGCGAGGACGGCTTGACGCTGGGGGAGGGGCTCTCGGGGGAAAGTCTATAAAAGGCGGGGTGGGTCTCTCAGTTCCTCTTCTCCTCATCCGATCCTGTAAATACATTCGGTACACCGTCGTAATGCAATTAACATGAGCAACAACGTCAGGCACACCAACGACGCCGACGCCAAGGCTGCCGCCCTGCAAGCAGAATTAGAGCAGGTTAACCGACGCATGGCGGAGCTGCGGGAGCAGGCCGCCCGCAAGCAGACGGAGGCGGAGGAGAGACGCCGGGCTAGGGCGGCAGCCAACCGCGCTCTAAAGGAGCGCCTTGACCAGGAGCGTCGGCAGATGGAAGAGCTGCAGAGGTAAATGTCCTGGGAAGCGACGCGCCGGGGTAGATTTCCAGGGAAGCAAATAACTCACTCTCCCCACAGAACGTTGGCCTCACCGCCTCCGACCGCAGTGCTGTCGGCGGCCGCCAGTCCGGAGCGCAGCGCCGCTGCGATCCTCGCCGGGATCCCCACCGCACCCACCGCACCCACCGCTCCCACCGCTCCCACCGCTCCCACCGCACCCACCGCTCCCACCGAGCCAATTCTTGTCCGGGAGCAAACCCCCACTATCGAGTCCCGCCCCCCTCGCCATGTGTCGTTTCTGGCGACCCCGGAGAGGTCCACCCGCGGGGCCATTACCCAGGCCGGGGCCCTGGTTCCCGCCTCTGCCGGCCTAACCACTCCAACATCGGCCGTTCTCAGCGCTCTCAGCGCGGTCAGGACCCCTCCCAGCACCTCTGCCGTCCCGATAACGCCCTCGCGAGCGGAATACGAAGAGACCTCCGCGATCGCAGCGGCGGAGCGCCACAAAAAGGACATCATCGAACAGGCGCACCTCATGGGGCGGTGGCGGATGTTGAGGGACAAAGTTGTCATTGAGATTGGAAGGTCCTACAATTGGGATGTAAGTTCAACCCCAGGGTATCATCCCCCAGGAACCGCGGATACTGACCTCACACAGTTGGCCAGAATGACACCAGAGGTGGATGCGTTGGAGGCGAAGCTGTTCACCGTGGCGCGAAAGTCACTATGGAAACAATCTGGTGTCCGGTAAGTGGGATGCAGGAGATTAACCCCGTTTCACTTGCAGCAAGAAGCGCGGATTGACAGCGGCAGAGTGCGAGGCGTCGGGGTTGGCGGCGCGCTATCGCTGAGACCAGGGGGCGCTGGCGACCATTGGGGCTGCAGCGGCGGCGCGGAATGCTGCTGATTTCTTCCAGCAGCAGTTGGAGCAAGAAGAAGAGGAGGAAGACATCGAGGAAGAGGAGGAATACCCGAGGGGAAGGGGGAAGAAGCCCTGCCGACACCAGTAGCAAACCTCCCCCTGCTTATCCATGCTGTATCCGAGTTGTAAATCCAATGTATTTTTTTTAATGAAAGCAAGTTTCCCAAACATCTATAAGAAGGAATTCCCCCAGGGTGCAAACCCCTTGGGTGTGCAAACTACATCGTCCTATCCTCAGCCCATGACGAACCTCACAAGGGGAGGGGGCCAGCGAGATCTTCGATTGAGTCATAGACAATGTCTGAGCAGAGGGGGGTTTGAAGAGACCAATGTTATGATCTCGACGAACTGAGGCGGAAGCGAAGTAGAGAAGACAAGTCGAGAGCGATGGGCGACAGGAGATTGTATTGGCGAAACAAGAGACAAGGACTAGAACAAGAGATGAGAAGAACTGGTGTTGATCTGCTGGGGAGAAAGGGAATGGACGAAGAGGGGGCGGCTATTTATAGATAAACAACCCAGCAGACCAAAGACAACAACAAGAGGGGACTGAGTGAGCGCCGGCTCTGCTCCCTAGCCTAGAGCGAGCGTAGCAGGCGTAGAGAGCAAGCTACAGCTGCTGGCTGTGGAGAAGTACTGGGGGGGTTGACAAATGGCCGGAGATTGGCTCACAGATGAGCGGGGTAGAGGAGGAGCGGCGAATGGGGGATTGGCGAAATGAGAGGGGAGAGGAGGAGTGGCAATATTGCGGGAGGATTGGCAAAATGAGAGGAGAGAGGAGGAGTGGCGATATTGCAAGAGGATTGGCGAAATGAGAGGAGAGAGGGGGAGTGGCATTGACATTGACATTGACACTGACATTGACACTGACATTGACATTGATGTTCCACGGGCTCCCAGGTGTTCTCGGAGTCAGGCCAGCCCTGCCATTTGACCAAGTACTGAAGGCGACGAGAATGGATGCGAGAGTCAAGGATGGCTTCGAAAACCCACTCTTCTTGACCCTCAACGGTCTCTGGGGGCGCGGGTTCGGGTTCGTGTCGTTCGGGGATGGTGAAGCGGGGTTTGAGGAGCGAGACATGGAAGACATCGTGGATTTTGTACGTAGGCGGGAGCTTGAGCCGGTAGGCGACGGGATTGATTTTTTCAACGATGGGGAATGGCCCAATCTTGCGATGGTCGAGTTTCTGAGAGGGCCGGGTTGTCTGGAGGTTTTTGCGGAGGAGCCAGACGTGGTCACCAGGCTTGAAGTCCGGTCCAGGAATTCGTTTAGCGTCGGCGTAGCGCTTCATTTGATCTTGGGCTTCCTTGAGCTCGAGGGCGAGCTGTTCATGGACTTCCCTGATTTGTTTAGCACGGGCTTCAGCGGCGGGGTTGATGGATTCGGAGGTAGCAGAGGCCGCGAAACTGAAGCGGGGGTGGAGACCCTTGTTGGCGTAGAAGGGGGTGGTCTGGGAGGCGGACTGGTGGGTGTTGTTGTAGGCGAACTTGGCGGACGACAGAAGCTGTTTCCAGTTGTCCTGTTGGTGGTTGCAAAAGCATCGGAGATACTGCTCCAGGATCTGGTTGGTGCGTTCCGTCTGGCCATCGCTCTGGGGGTGGAAGGCCAAGGAGAGGTTGGCTTTGCCCCAAGGAGTTCGAGAAGTCGACGCCAGAACCGGGACTTAACTGGGGTCCTCGGTCAGAGATGACGTCGTCGGGGAGGCCGTGGAGACGGATGATGTTGTGGAAGACTAGGTTGGCGGTGGATTCGGCGGATTCTGACTTGCTGCAGGCGATGAAGTGGGCCATCTTGGTGAGGCGACAGTTGACGTTCAGGATGGAGTCGTACCCGTCCACGGGAGGCAGACCGGTGATAAAGTCCAGGGACCAAGATCCCCAAGGGCGGGTAGGGATACTCTTGGGCTGGAGTAGGCCATATGGTTTGTGTCGACTGGATTTTGCTTGGCTACAGGTATCGCAGGACTTGACGTAGGCCTTGACGAAGCGCCACTGGCTGGGCCACCAGTAGTTGCGGGAGGCAAGTTCGAGCGTCTTGGACATCCCAAAGTGGCCGGCTAGGGGTGTATCGTGCATGTCGTGGCAGACTTCAGCTCGGAGCTCGTTGGTGGGGACATAGACCAGGTTATCGTGCAGCAGGATCCCATCTTCATCTGAGAATCGCTTGATACGATCTTGGGTTTCCTCGGTTCGTTGGGCGAGGGGTATCTTGAGCTTTTCGCGAATGGTCTTAGCGAAGGGGATCAGAGGCCTGGGCGGCCTTAATCTTGTCTAGCAGCGTGGTATCCATGGGTGTGAGGTAGGCCGCGGCGAGTCGAAGGCGTTCGGGAGTCAAAATTGTGGTTGCCTGGGAGCGGAACGCTTCTTCCCCCGTTTTTAGCTCATGTTCGGAGCGTCGGGAGAGGGCATCGGCTTGGATGCTGCTGGGAACCGGGGCGATAGGTAACTGACAAAGTCAAAATCCGAGAAGAATATCGACCAGCGGGCTTGGCGGCGGTTCAGGGTGCGGGTGGTCATGAAGTACTGAAGGTTTTTATGGTCGGAGTAAACGGTGATCTTGTGACGGGCGCCAATGAGATGGTGTCGCCACTGGGCAAAGGAGTCTTGGATGGCCAGAAGTTCCTTGTTGTAGATCTCGTAGTTGATCTCTTTGGCCGTGAATTTGCGAGAGTGGAAGGCCACGGGGTGGAGCTGATTGTCCTGGTCAGGTTGGAGGAGAACTGCGCCAAGAGCGAAGTCGGAGGCGTCCGTTTCGACGACAAAGGGCTTCTCTGGGTCAGGGTGAGCAAGGATGGGGACGGTGGTGAATGCTTTCTTCAGGTTCTCGAAGGCGGTGTTTGCGGCGGGTGTCCAGGCGTACGGGATGTCTTTCCGGGTCAGGGCTGCGAGCGGGGTAGCGATCTTGGAATAACCTTGGATGAATCGGCGATAGAAGTTGGCAAAGCCGAGGAACCGCTGGACGCCTTTGACAGTCTTGGGAGGTTCCCAATCCGTGATGGCAGCGATCTTCTTGGGATCCATCTGGATGCCTTTCTCGGAGATGATGAAGCCTAGGAACTCAACGGATTCGCGGTTGAATTCGCACTTCTCTGGTTTGGCGTACAACCCATGCTGTCGGAGGCGGGACAAGGACTTCGCGGACATGTTTGGGGTGATCTTCGGGGTTCTTGGAGAATATCAGGATATCGTCGAGGTAGACGACAACAAACACATCGAGAATGTCGCAGAAGATGTCGTTCATCAGGTACTGGAAGACGCCAGGAGCATTGCTGAGTCCAAAGGGCATGACATTGTATTCGAATAGGACCGTAGCGGCAGCGGAAGGCGGTCTTCCATTCATCGCCCGGGCGCATGCGTAAGAGGTTATAAGCGCCGCGGAGGTCGATCTTGGTGAGGACGGCGGGCGCCGCGCAAACGATCCATGATACCGTTGATCAGGGGCAGGGGGTAGCGAGTTCTTCACCGTGATGCTGTTCAGGCCTCGATAATCGACGCAGAGGCGGAGAGAACCGTCCTTTTTCTTCACGAATAAGACTGGCGCACCGGCAGGGGACTTTGAGGGTTTGATGAATCCTTTGGCGAGGTTTTCTTCGAGGTATTCGCAGAGTGCCTTCATTTCTGGTTCGCTGAGGCTGTAGATCGGGCCGAAAGGTGGCTGCTTGCCTTCTTCCAGATCGATTGGACAGTCGTAGGGCCGGTGCTCGGGGAGAGTGTCAGCATTTCTCTTTTCGAAAACGTCGGCGAAGTCTTGATACTCGGGGGGCAGGAAGTCTTTGATGTCTTTCTCGGGTGTCGGGGGGTTACTGGGGCTAGGCGAGGCCGGGAGATCGGGTTTCGCAGGGTTGACGTAGGTGACAAAGACCTGGTCATGCCTTGCTGCGACCTGGAAGGCTGGGGCGGAGATGAACGAGACTCGGAGCGGCGTGGGAGCCGGTTCTGGGGTGCTGGAGCAAGATACCTTGGGTACTGGAATCGACCATGTTTTGGCGACGGGGACTTCATCCTGGGGGATGCGGATCAAGGGCTCGGGGGTTCTGGCGGGTGCTGGGCTCGGGGGTGCTGGAGAGTTGTCCCAATTTGCGAATTCATGGTACTGACAGTCGCAACGGAAACCGACCGAAAGGTTCTTGAAGTCAACGTTAATGTCGTGGAGGCGGAGCCAGGGGAGACCAAGGAGGATTGGAGCATGGGGTGATTTGGTGACATGGGAAGACGAGTTCTTCGAAGTGGTTGTCGACCCACATGCCTACTGGTTGGGTGTGATGGGTGATTGGCCCAGCAGAGCTGGGTTGACCGTCAACGAGTTCAATTGTCAGTGGACGCTGATGCGGGACTAGGGGCGATGCGGTGTTTGCGGGCTAAAGTCTCTGTCGATGAAGCAGGACAGGGCACCGTTGTCGATCATGGCTGAGGTAGGTATTGGGGCGCAGCTGGATGATACCATGATGGTAACGGGGTAGTTGAAGGGTTCGACGGGACCCAGCGCAAGCATGGCGCGGGGGTTAATTTCGGAGTTTTCGACTGTTATGATCTCGACGACGGAGGCGGAAGCGAAGTAGAGAAGACAGGGCGAGAGTGATAGGCGACAAGAGATTGTATTGGCGAAACAAGAAACAAGGACTAGAACAAGAGATGAGAAGAACTGGTGTTGATCTGCTTGGGAGGAAGGGAACGGACGAAGAGAGGCCGGCTATTTATAGATAGGCAACCCAGCAGATCAGAGAACAACAACAACAAGAGGGGACTGGGGGGGCGCCAGCTATGCTCCTAGAGCGTGCGTGGTGAGCGTAGAGAGCATTGCTACAGCTGCTGGCTATGGGGAAGTAGTGGGGGGGTGTGGAGAAGCCGAGTGGGGATTGGCGAAATGAGAGGAGAGAGGAGGAGTGGCAATATTGCAAGGGGATTGGCGAAATGAGAGGAGAGAGGGGGAGTGGCATTGACATTGACATTGACACTGACATTGACACTGACATTGACATTGACATTGGCGTTTGACATTTGGCGGTTGACATTGGCGGCTGTCAGTAGGTAAGCTTATGGTATGGGCGCGTCGTCCATAACATCGACATGGGCAGCGGCTAGGAGGGTTGTGTCGGCTATAAGGGAGTCGGGAACCAGGGGGGTGGCCTCTCCCGTTGCAGGAGCTGCGAGGTTAGGAGGCCCGGGGCGGTGTGTGTTGTCCAGTCGCTGGGGCTTTACTGCGGCTGGACTTTGGGAAAACCCTGTTCGGTGGAGGGTTCTTTGATGTCGACGTTGGCGGCACGGGTGGTGGTCTTGTTCTTGACGGGGCAGACTTTTGCAATGTGCCCCGCGCCACCGCAGTAAAGGCAGAGGTTGTTGGAAATGCGGCGTTGGCGTTCCTGAGGGCTCAGAGGGCCGCGGGGACGAGCGGCGTCAATCTGCATAGGCTCGCTGTGGTCGACAGTGTTGGTAGTAGTAAACGAGGTGTGGGGAACCGGGAAGGTCTGGCGGCTTCTGTTTCGCTCCAGGCGGCGCTCAAACAGCCGGTTATCGCACTGGATAGCCTGCTCCATCACCACATCAATGGTGGCCGCAGGGGGCATTGTGAGCATCAGGTCTTTGACGTCTTCTTTGAGGCCACGGCGGAAGGTAGCAATCAGGGCCTGGTCGTTCCAGGAGACATCGCATTGTAGCTGGCGGAACTCAGCGACGTACTCGGTTGCTGCACGGGTTTGGCGAAGGTTCTGGAGCTTGTTTTCAGAGGTGCGGACCCTGTCGCTGTCTCCGAAGACCGATTGCATCTGACTGATAAAACTATCAAAGTCCTGAAGGCTGTGATCTTGGCGTTTGACTAGGGGCGCCATCCAGGCTTGCGCAGTGCTGGTGAGGTAGGTGTCAATAGTTTGGATCTTGATGATGTCGCTGGGGTAGCGGTCGGGCTGGAGAGCAAACATCAACCGGATGTTGTTCAACCACCCACGGAATTTGCTGCGGGTACCATCAAACTTCTCGGGCGAGCTGATTCTTGGCTCCAGAGCAGGGTTGGCGACTTGGGGACGGGTGTACGTATCGGCTTGAACCTGGGCGGCGATGCTCTGGGCAGCTTGTGCGTCGGCTTGGGCTTGCGCTAGGTTGGTCTGCAAGTTGGCGTTTTGGCTTTGCAAGGCGGCGATGGCTTGGCACATATCGTTCCATTGCTTGGCGGTGAAAGGTACGGATTCGGGTTGGGACATGGCGAAAAAAAGGTTTGTCGGATGCAGGGCTGGACATGTTCCGAACTTCGCAGTGTTGGAGCAGATCAAACTGTTATGATCTCGACGACGGGGCGGAAGCGAAGTAGAGAAGACAGGGCGAGTGTGATCGGCGACAAGAGATTGTATTGGCGAAACAAGAAACAAGGACTAGAACAGGAGATGAGAAGAACTGGTGTTGATCTGCTGGGGAGGAAGGGAATGGACGAAGAGAGGCCGGCTATTTATAGATAGGCAACCCAGCAGATCAGAGAACAACAACAACAAGAGGGGACTGGGGGGGCGCCAGCTATGCTCCTAGAGTGTGCGTGGCGAGCGTAGAGAGCATTGCTACAGCTGCTGGCTATGGGGAAGTAGTGGGGGGTGTGGAGAAGCCGAGGGGGGATTGGCAAAATGAGAGGAGAGAGGAGGAGTGGCGATATTGCAAGAGGATTGGCAAAATGAGAGGAGAGAGGGGGAGTGGCATTGACATGGTCATTGACACTGACATTGACACTGACATTGACATTGACATTGGCGTTTGACATTTGGCGGTTGACATTGGCGGCTGTCAGTAGGTAAGCTTATGGTATGGGCGCGTCGTCCATAACATTCAACCTCTCTCGTATGCTATCAAGCTTTACCAATTTTCGTCGCTGTTGGCGCTCATCTCAAATTGCGATGGAAGCTTTTGATTGTGATCGTCTGGACTTTGCCATGGTAGTTCACTTGAGGTGAAAAGTGGATACTCGAGTTAGCTGTGTTCTGGGGCGATAGTGAGTTGTGGGGATTCGGATGTGATTGCCGTCGTCATGGTGGGAGTGCTTCCCAGGGTGCACGAGTGGACGTTCGCGAGGCCGTCCCAAAACTATCAGCCTCAAGCGATGCCTTTTCCATATCGCGAGGCCGTCCCAAAACAATCAGCCCTATCAGCCTCAAGCGATCGGCTTTGTGTGCGGCTTCTAATTCTCGGCTTCTAATTCTCACCTATAGTGGTGCGGACCGTTCCTTCCATGTAGATGCACGGTGTGAAGGTACTGGCCTCACATCGCCGTCGCCCAAAGCAGCCACACCTATGGGTTCTGAGTGCATGCGTCGGGTCGCCTTGACGGGAACATCGTCGCCGGGCACATCCTTTTTTAATTCCCCATTTTTATCCTCACCCTGACTCTGGCGTCTGCTCACCTGAACAAGCCGGCTCATTTTGTGTGGCGTAATCGCAATGTCTGTAAGCGGCCAATATAAGTAAACATAGGAGTCGCTTATCAAGGTATCGACATCGACGACAGGAGCTGCCGACTTATTATACACTTCGAACAGTGGCACCAGCCTGAGAATCTATATTCCTGGAGACTAGGCAGACAGTCCGACTTGCTTTCTTGTTCTCCGACAAATCAAGCGCAAGCCACGACTCAGGGCGCTTCTCACCATGTTCGCCCGCTGTCCACGAGCAGCCTCAACAGCCTCTGCGGGACGGTCATCCCGTCGCTCTTCTGGCAAGTGTCCCAACGTAACTAGCCATGCCACCCGCTCAGCTCAACGAATGCCGCAAAAGGCAACGGCCAAACAAGGTCAGCAGGGAATAGCGTGCCACTAAACAGAACCGCGGATGGGAAATCAGCTGAGGGGAAATCAGCTGGCAAGAGGAGGTCTCAATTCTCAGCATCTGCAACCTCGCCAGGCCGGTTTTTTGGAGTGACGGTAAGATGCCCTACCATTTGTCATAAACTGGCGGGAGCAGGTCTCGTAGGACAACGGTTTCTGACCTTTCCTGTTCCATTAACCAGAACACAAAAAGACTTAGCAGTAGTCGGCAGAGGAAGCAGATGACTGAGCGAACTCTATGTAGTTTGCAATGCTGTACTGTGAAGTATGTATTGTCTTGTGTAGAAAAGTCTAAAGTGTAAAGAGGACGCGAGGTCCGAAGGGGAAGAAAAGAGTGAAGTCCCGTACGCGGAAGCGTGGCGTAAGCGGGAGGGGAGTCACGTGAGGAAATAAACTACGGGAACCCTAACCGGGGACTCGGGAGGATGGAAACACTCCCAAGGGTATCGCGGAAAGTCTCCACATGCAGTCGGCTTCGATAATGCTAACGAGAATGGTGAGATGCGTGGATCTGGACGATCTATGATGGAGTCCACCATTGGTCCCCTCATATCGCCACCGTTTGTGACACCGGAGGGTCTTTGGCATCAGGAGCATACCATAAAAGCATAAAAGCGAAGCGCTGTCGTACTGGCGCCATTGTTTCTAGGCAGAAAGTGTTATGATCTCGACGATGGAGGCGGAAGCGAAGAAGAGATGACAGAGCGAGAGCGATAGGCGACAAGAGATTGTATTGGCGAAACAAGGAATGAGAACTAGAACAGGATGTGAGAAGAACTGGTGTTGATCTGCTGGGGAGGAAGGGAATGGCCGAAGAGGGGGCGCCTATTTTTAGATGAACAACCCAGCAGAGCGAAGAACAACAACCAGAGGGGGCTGGGTAAGCGCCAGCTATGCTACCTAGCCTAGAGCGGGCGTGGCGAGCGTAGAGAGCATTGCTACAGCTGCTGGCTGTGGAGAAGTATTGGGGGTTGACAAATGGCCAGAGATTGGCTCACAGATGAGTGGGGTAGAGGAGGAGCGGCGATATTGCGGGGGGATTGGCAAACGAGAGGAGAGCGGAGGAGTGGTGTTTGACATTGACATTGACACCAACATGGACATTGACATTGACATTGACATTGACATTGGCATCGACATTGGCGGCTGTCAGTGTGCTGTCGTGAGGTATGCTTATGGTATGGGCGTGTCGTCCATAACAGGGCTGGTGGCGAGGTTGCCCGAGGATTTGTATGATATGCTGGTGAGGCATCCGTTCAATGTGGGCATTTATGATGTTGTTATGGGGGAGAGGGGGGAGGACAGGGGGGAGGTGGGTGAGGGAGGAATGGAGTGGGCGGAGGCATGATGGATGGGGTGTACAATAGGAGTTGATGGATTCCAGTGGCAGATGAGCGGTTGTCGTGTACATTCTATGTTCATAGTAGATATCTTCGAATGCGAACTAAATTTTGACATATGTACCATTTCGAATGTACGTTAACAACTGTGCGATTATCGCTTGATGCCTACATATATGCTACGAACTTCTTTCTCCCAAAGGCCGTTCTCAGTCACTTCACCTGCGCAATCCGATTTACGTACTGTACGTAGTGGTCGAGTAAAACGCGATGAGAAATGGTAGAGCTCCTAGTCGCGACGGGTTAGGGTTGTGACTGGTTAGAGTGGAAAAGACCAGCGACGGCGCCCATATTACTTTGGACAAGCAACCATAGCATCCAGACCTGGTCGTCGGTCTTACCACCATTGGTTTATTATCGCACGGTGATTCGATACTGGCCATCGTTCTCCCAACAATGGTATCGTTCTCCTGCTTCTACCCTCCTCGGGATTCGCGGATAATGTCCGTCTAACCCCGCAGATTCGTTTAGATCATCAGGGTCCACAGCAAGGAGGGACGTTCCAGGGTCGATGTCGAGCCCAGCGAAGATATCGTTTCGCTGCGGAATAAGGTATGGCCTGCGAGCAGCTTGGACATAGTTATGAAGTGGACACGTTTTGTCCTGATTGTCGTCCGATATGCAGATAGCGGCGGCGTTGAAAGTGGACGACAAGTCGCTGTTGATCTCGACAGACTCGAAGGGTGCACAGGTTGTCTCTGTACCGGCGGGTCAGCCGGTTGGTGGGCTTGGATTGAAGTAAGGACCGCTGATGTGCATGTTTTGCTTGATAGTGCAAGGTGGAGAATGGCTGACAACGTGATCCTAACACAGACATGGCGACATTCTTTATGTGGATTTCAAACGTACCGCTGCGGAACCCGCCGCGTCGGCATCGGCGGTGACGTCGACTGGGGCACAGGAGCCTCGTCCGGTAGTTAAGCAGGATGCCATCGATGATGGTCTGGAAAAGCAGCCGGGGACTATCAAACGAGGAAGAGACGCGAGATTGTACGTGGAGAAGCGAGGATGCAGCCATTGTTTGTCTTTTGTACTAACACGCATTGCTACAGCTGCAAACATGGCGCTTCCGGAATGTGTGAATACTGTATGCCGTTACAGGTGTGTGCGCGAATCATGAAGCTGGGCTTCGCGTTAACATGTCACTAACTCAATCTGCACTCTCGTAGCCATGGGACGCGAAATACCTTGAAGACAACAAGATAAAGCACATGTCATTCCATGCATACCTACGGAGACTGACGGATCAGAACAAAACCGCACCCCCGACGAGTTCCCAGTTCCTGTCTCCATTGGAGGAAGCTGAGATGAAGGTGAAAATACCTTGCCCGAGTCGAACGCACGAGTCGTGGCCGAAGGGGATTTGCACGAAATGTCAGCCCAGTGCGGTGACACTGCAAAGCCAGGTAAATTTCTCTCTATCCAATGTGCAGCATGGTGATCGTGGGCTGAGCTGTTCATTTGCGCACCAGAATTTCCGCATGGTGGATCACATTGAGTTTGAAACGGCAGGAATGATCGACAATTTCCTCAAGTACTGGCGTGCAACAGGGTATCAACGGTTCGGTTACCTCTACGGCCGCTTCGAGCCGTACGCGGAAGTACCGCTGGGTGTGAAAGCGGTCGTCTCTGCCATTTACGAACCACCACAAGAAGGCGCATACGACGGACTGCAGCTAACCCTGCCAAACACGGAAATGGCCGCCGTCGAAGAGATAGCTGCGCGACTCGGGCTCGTTAAAGTGGGCATGATCTACACGGATCTGACGGACGACGGGAGGGGGAAGGGGACGGTTATCTGTAAACGCCATGCGGACTCGTACTTTCTGTCCTCGGCGGAATGTATCTTGTCAGCGGAGATGCAGTTGAAGAACCCGACTGTGAGCAAGTGGTCGGCTTCGGGGAAGTTTGGGAGTCGGTTCGTTACTTGTGTTATGACTGGTATGGACTTCGTGCTGTAGCGCGTTCATGTGTTGCGAATGACTGATTGACATCCTGGATTCTGCAGGAAACGAGGACGGCGGCATCGACATCTCGACCTTTCAGGTCTCCAACACAGCGATGGCGATGGTCCGGGACGACATCATCGAAGCCTCCGTCGAACCATCCCTCGTGCGTGTTAAGCAGCTTACAGACGAACACTACGTTCCCGAAGTGTTCTACAAGTACAAAAACAAGTACGGAATCATGGTGCAAGACGCTGCCCGGCCCACATTTCCTGTCGAGTACCTCTTGGTGACGGTAAGTACAATCAAGCTATCCGTTGGTGGAGAAACCCCCAGCCACTAATGTGGTTTTGTCAATCTTTCAGGTAACACACGGATTCCCGCAAACCCCATCCCCACTCTTCACCTCCCCCCTCAACTTCCCAATCGAGAACCGACCCGGTGTCGAGACGCAGGATATGGGCGCACTGCAGCGACACCTTAAACATGGCTCGTTGACGGATATGTTGTCTGATTTCCATTTGCTGCATTATTTGCGGGGTGTTGGGGTTGTTGAGCAGGTATGACTCGCATATCATTTTCGTCTCACCATTGTGACCAGTTGCTTGTTACTGATTTGGTTTTCTGTGATAGTCTGACATGCAACTCGCAATAGACATCGCCAAAGCCCACTTGGAACCCTCGCCACCCAGTTGGTCCAGCGGCCTTCCTGGCAGACTCTGGAGATGATCATGAAGGAAACGGTTGGCGCGGGACCCGTTTCCTCCGGCCCATCCACGTCCAGCTCAGGCGCGGCAGGACCATCTTCTGCTGCTGCGGCGAAAGCGCCGTGGGCATGTAGGCATTGCACCTTTAGAAATCCGGGCGGGGGTGGCGAGTTGTGAGATGTGTGGGTTGCCGAATGAGTAGGGATGGGGCGGGATGGGATGAAATGTGTCTTGGGGGTCTTGGGGATCTGTACGTTCTTTTCCTCTGATCATGTTTTTTGTTTATGATGCTGACGCTCTGGCCCGCTTTTGAGAGGTTGCTCTTGAGGTCTGCAGGAGGACATGATTTAGTACCCATCCTGTCTGAATCGTCATATCTATACGTACTTTGGGGCCGGCGCGCCGACCCTTTGCCACTACTGTTATCTTGGTGATGATTATGATGAGGATGTACCGATGGCCAACCCAAGATTGGCAGCGAACGTCGACTTTACAACTGTGGTATCTGCAACAACTGTAGGAACCCTGGTTCTCCCATCACCCTTGGTCGTGACATTCAAGCCGGGGCCCTCTTTCGTTTCTTGATCCACCAATACTCTCGCTATGATCACCGACCGGCATCGAATTGCGCTCCTGAGGGTTGATAGCAGCTGGGCAGATGTAGTAGTAGACTCCGACCAACCTACAGTAGGCTGCCAGATATCTGGTTACGACGGGTTGTTGAGCCTCCCTGTGCAACCCCAGAAGTCACCGGCGAGCTGTCAGTCCTGCCCTGGGCTAGCGGTCGTGCTGAAAGGATTTGCATGGGGGTCGGCAACTTGAGCCGGTGACTATGCTCGGAATGATGTGTCCTTGGGGGCGTCGTAACCTGATATCTGGCAGCCTACTGTACTGTACATCAGGAGGACGAGCGTGATTGGAATCTGGAAGCAGTGACTTGGTGATGACCGTCGGGATGAAGCCGTCGGTGCGCCATACATATGTCCCATGTGCATGCGCAGAGGACACCGTTCAGAGGAGCACCGTCTACATGCCACATCCATCATGCATCTCTCCTCAACCCCCAAAAACAACTGCTCGTAACCAAACATGACACAAAAAATCATATTTTCCAAAAAGAGATCAGGGGTTGAAAAAAAAGTGGGGGGACACAACCATGTACAAGTAATTTTGCCTCCACAACTGCCTGGCAGAGCTGAAATGGGGACAACAAATAAATGCAAGGAAAGAAATGCGGTTAAGATACGCGCGATACAGTATAAGGTATGGGTATAAGGGGGTACGCAGAGTGCAAGTTTTTCTCATGCCAGGTAGTTGTACATTTTCCTATCGGGAGTAAGAGTGTTAGCAAGACGGGTCCGAGAGTAATGGATGTTCAGTGTGGGCAACACCTACCGATCAGATTTATCCCTCTCCAAATACTCCCTCTCAATCAACCCCTCGATCCTCCGCTTCACAATCGCGGGCTCCGGCACAAACCGGCTCGTCGTCTGCTTGATCACCTCGGCGACGAGATTATTATGGTCCAGCTTCTTGCGCGCCTTCATGATGCGCACGATACACGCCTCTATCTGGTGTTTGCGCGCCTCTTCGATCTTTTCCATCGTTTCGGTGCGTTCTGCGTCGGTTTCCATTGAATTGCCAGAAATGGCAGCACCGTGGGAGGATTTCGTGGACCCGGCGACTTGCTGGATTTTGAATTTGTACATGGGGGATGTAAACTCCGTGTTGACTTTAAAGGTGTCGGTGGGGTTGACTGCGGGTCCTTTCGTGCTCTTGAGGAGAATCTTGTGTTTGCCCAGAGCGAGGCTTTGGAGTGTGCGCTTGAGATCTTGTTCGGGTATCCCGCTCTTGTCGCTGATGGTCTGGTACGACACTGCCTCGCCGTCCGCCACGTCGTTGAAGACGCCGACAAGGACAAGCATGCCGTACGTCGAAACGTTGAACTCCTTATTCCCTTTTTTGAACGATGCCTTGATATCCGCCGTGCCCAATTGGCTCGACCACGTGAGCCGGCGGCCCGAGTGGCGGGAGTGGTAATATTTGTCGAAATGTTGTTGGCAGGCGGCGACTTCGGGGGGAAAGTGGCAGACTTGATCGGCGCCGATGCCGGTCATCGGCCAGTAGCTGGATGTGAGGATGCTGATATTGAGGTTGACCATGTCTTTCGGGGCTGTGACGGCGGTTGCGAGGTGGTTGTGGAAGTCGACCATCATGTCCGTGGACGTCCGCATGTCGTTGAACATGCCTTCCCATTTTTGTGTGAATTGGTAGCCGCATTCGGTCTGAGAATTGGTACAGGTTAGCGCCGCGGCCAATTACCAGAAAGAGCACCAACGCACAAACATACCTTCAACTTGGATATCATATTCTTCTCCACATCCTCGCTAATACTCTTCCCAAACAATAACCGCTTCGCCAAGTGCTGCTTGTAGTACCGTTCAAAGATGTCTTTCTCCTGCACGAAGCGGAAGATGGTAACAGTCCGATCCAGCAATGCGTCCACTTCCTCCTCCGATTTCTAGTAAGAACCGGATACGAGTCAAATCACCTGCACGACATGAGCAAAACGAACCGAAGTGGTTGCACAACTCACCCCCTTCAACCCCTTCTTCAAATTCTCATCAATAAACAAGCTGACAAACTCCGGCGCCTTTCTATTCCTATTCAGCGACCGCTCCAGCGCATTATTCATCTCCGTCTCAAAATTCGAATCGTTCGCAAACGAATGCTCAAAATACGCGTCCACTTTCTCTTTCAACGCCAACACCTGCTCCACCCATTTCAGCGGGTCCGCTTTCTGCGCGCCCGCCTTTTCCGTATCGGCGGCGGCGGCGGCGGCGGAGGGGATACTCGACGCGCTGGCCGATTTGCTCATTCGGCTCGGTTGGGATGCGTCGATTCCGCCGACGGTTTGGTTGATTTCGGCAACGTGATCTTCCATAAACTGAGAGAGTGTTTGGCGCATCTGGATGTGCCCATTAGGGACCCGCCCGAGGAGCTTGTACATGCGCCGTAAGTCGTCTAGTTTGTCGTCTTCCATCATCGAGACCATTCCCGAGTTCTCCATCTGTATGCCGATGGAAAGGTTATGAGCGCTCACTACCGTTTGGCTTTGACCTTCATACCTCGATGATTGTCTTGACATGATTCTCCAGCAGCTGCTTCTCCACCACCCGCCGTATCTTCGGCTCCGTTGCCGGGGTGAGGTAATTATCGATCCTTTGCTCTTCCTCGATCAATCGTCGCTCGGCCTTTCGTTCAAACGAGCTTTGTCAACATCCCACTGTTCCCCCCATTCTGGAACCGTCGGCTGGCTGGCCGAAACCCACCCTTTTGAGATACTCCGTCGCATTGCACTCGTGCAACGACATTCCACTCTCCAGACTGTAAAAGTCATTGCTGGTTTGCAGGAACTGGACCTCGAAATCCGTTTCGTAGACTGTGGGCTCGTGGCCAGTTCGTGTGACGTCTGTGATATAGCAACATGCCCAGTCAGGATCCCGCCCCCGGGTAATGGAATGAGAGGCAGTACTCCCGAGGCTGGAAACCCACCTTTCGCCGACGTCAAACTAACCAACATATCCGTCACGCTCTTCACAACCAGCCTATCCACAACCTCCCCATCCCGTTCCAGCCGGATATGGTACAACAACGAATTGATCAAATGCGTCTGTATCGGATGCTTCCCCGACCGTGTAATGACGTCCCGGAACAGGTCGATGCCCGAATCGTACACCGTCAACAGATTCAGCTGCTTCACATAGACCGTATCCTAGAAACCGGCCATTCCCCATTACTCTCATGTCCATTTCAAAACCTAGAACGGGGCGTCCTGTCGTCTTACCATATACCGCAGGATATCCCTAATCATCTTCAAACACGTCGTATGGTCGTCCCACACGTTGCGGATCTCCTTCAAGAACTCCGTAGCCCCCGTCATCCCGCCACCTGGCGCCGACTGCGGGAACGAGGGCACGACCTGATCTACGGCGACTTGCTCCAAATGATCGGTGATGACCCCGCGCACGCCCTTATAGAGCTTGTCGCCTTTTTTGTGAAGGACCATGTTATATGCATTTCTAGTGGGTTGAATAGGTCCCCTTGGTGAGGGCTTCCGGAGGCAGTGCGGTAGGGGACGGAGAACACACACATACCTGTACAGTTCCTCGAAACTCAAATTCCCCGCATTGCGCTTGTATATTTCTACAATGGCCGTGGACAGCTTTTCCCAGGCTTCCTCGAACTGGGCTTCGCTGTTCTGAAAACCAAACGAGAGGTTCAGCAACCCGGTCGTTTCTGCCGTTTCTTGTGACACCGTTTATGCAAACCTGCTTCTTCGCCGGCGGTCTTATGGTTGTGGGCTTCTTTGGCTTTCTCGCCGACATCATTGTGGGTGGTGCAGGCGGGAACTGCCGAAACGAAGGGGGAAAGTGAGACAAGTCAAAGGCAGAAACAGTTCTAGTCCACAGCACACAGGGGGGAGTATGGTGTTGGTTGGTGTTGGTGGGTGTTGTGTTTCTCAAGTCTGTCCTCCTCCACAGGGAGTTCACAACCGCGCGCCTGGGCAACCATTGCCTTTTTGCGTCCAGGTCCCAAAGGACAGATGAATACAGTATATGAACAATGCATGATATGGACACCCAACGAATGAACAACCCCTTCTCTCACACAATGTTCGACCCAGAGAGTAGAGACCATAGACCGCCAATGAGAGAATGAAATACGACGCCTGGCAGAAGCGTACAACGCAGACCTCCCCCAATTTTTACAACCCGCCCACACATCATCGCGGTATCAGCACCAACAGCAGAACCCTCTCCTCAACCCCCTCCACAACCCCCTGCACCACCCTCGCCCGCTCTTCCTCCGCACCCTCCAACCTCGCCTTCAAGAACTTGCGCGTCGTATCACACACCGGAATCACATTCGCCGCGGTGGCGTCCAGCATCGCCATCCCCGCCGAGCCCCTATCCCTGAAATACTGCTCCATAAACACAAAATGCTCCGCTTCCGCCGCCGCCGCTTTCGCCTGCCTCTGCCGTTTCTCCTCCACCGTTTCGGGTTGTGATAACTTTGCGGTGTCGGTGTACTCGTGCACGCACACGGCAACGAGCCAGTTCCCGCCGGGTACAAGTTTCGCTTCGAGATCGGAGATGGCTTGGTCGGTGATCTTGTACCGCTGCGAGATCTTGAGCGCGAGCGTGTCGACGGAGAGGGTGGAGAGGAGGTCCGGGTTGCCGGAGAGCATGTGGACGCGGATGGTGGTTTCTTTGTTTTTCATGCCTGTTTTCGCGAGCTTTGAGAATGGGTCTTGTGGCTCGGTGACATCCGTCATGAGATCGACGTCCATGGCTGCTTGCGGTGCTTCGGTGACTTCTTCCACTTGAACAGGCACAGGCGTGACGCTCTTCTGGTACTCGTTCGCACTCGCCGCAAAATCCGGTTTCAGATGCTTCAACAGCTCGCCATACGCCGCCTGCTGCTCTTCCGTCAACGTCGTCGCGTGATGCCCTCCATTCGGGTAAACCGCGGGGTTCGTCGCCTCCGGTGTAGCTGGCGACTCGAGCTCCATATCCTGTGCGCCAACATCATCCACTTCGAGGACCTGATAGCCGCTGATGATGTTAATCGTAGGCCGTTGATGATCCAGATTTGGCTTAACAGAAACAACCACATGCTCCTCCAAAACCTCCTCCTCCTCGTCATCCTCGTTCTCCTCATCCGCCTCAATCTCCATATCCTCCTCCCCATCCCGATTCAACTCCGCAATCCGCATCTCAATACTGGGGATGTAAAACTGCACCTCCAACTCATGTCTGAAACCGCCGATAATCTCGCCATCCATGCCTCCGACGGCCCGTTGCGCTCCCACGGTGTTTTCGTACGTTATGAGAGCGCTCGAGGCCTCGTCGGGCGTGTGAGCCTGCCGCACGATCTTACCGTAGCGGCTGAACACGCGGGTGAGTTCCTCATGCGGGATCTGTTCCTCGTAGCGGATCCGGACGGTGCTGGATGTCGCTTCGGCCAACTTGACGGTGATGCCCGATGTTGAGAAGGTGGCGCCGAAGAGGGGGGTGGTACCGTCTAATTCGTCGACGGCCCGACGCGCGTGGAGTTTGTTGACGTAGACGACGTGGCCGCTGCTCGGGTTGTCGGTATCAAGCACGGCGTATAGGACCGGTCCAATGAGTCTGAACGCGTCAACGACGTCCTCTTTCCCAATAGCAGCGGGCAGTTTCTCAACCCTGACAACCGCATACCCCGTCTTCCCAAACGCCCGCTCATCCACAACCCTATACACAACCTTCTCCGCACCGGCACCCTCAACCAACTCCCTCAACTCAAGCTTCTCAAACACCGGCCGCAGGTCTTTATCCTCCCTACTCTCCGCCTCGGCCGCCGTACAAGCGCTAACCTCCAACGGACTCCCAAAGAACTCCCTCCCGTTGAAATCCCTGACAACCGCATCCGCCTCCCACCTGCTCAGGCCCGTAACCGCCGCAAAGCAGTTCTCGAGGGAGGTGAGGTTGTACAGCGCGATGCGGCGCTGTTTGTTGTTGTGGGAGACGTTTTTGGAAGCGAGGAGTTTGGCGAGGTTGTCTTCGATCTCGCGCCCACTGAGGCGTTGGCTGAAGTTTTTGAAGATGACCGCCGGGGATTTCGGGTCGGGTTTGTCGGCTGTGGACTGCTGTGGGGCGGAGCGAGCGGGGGAGACGGTCACGCTGCTTGTTCTTCCCTGGCCGAGCACAAGTGTCCGGTTGGTGTATGGCGCAGGCCCGTTCTGGGACTGGGTGGAGGAAGTCGAAGGAGGAGGCATATCCCGCGTATTATCTCGCTGTCGTCGGTCCCTACTACCACTCTGCGCATACTCAACGCGCACAGGTTCGCTTGATCCAAACATGATGGTCCCATTAAATTGCTGCTGGGCGCGACGGGCGGGCTCGATGTCGCGGAAGTTGACGAACGCCATGGAATGTTGGGTGTATTTGCCTGGAATGATGCGGACGGATTCGAGCTCGCCGAAGGGGCGGAAGACTTGTTCCAGCTCGGATTCTTGGAGGTGGGCGGGGACCATCGGCAAATACAGGGAGGAACTTTCGACATGACCGCGGCGGTTGCCTTGTCTGGAAGAATCCGAGTTACCAGGCCGGGAAGAGGGTAGACTAGGAAGCCCGCCTTGGTCTGAAGATCTTTCAATGATTTGGATAGTAGTTTGTCGGTTTGAAGTAGAGTTGTTGTCTCTTTTCAATTCAATCGTGGCTCTTGGACCCCACATATCTTGAACCTATCATAAGCAGGACCTTTAACATCGCCAAAGCCTCTCTTCCCCGTTGCCCAGCAAGATGCGCTCTCGGATAGCAAGTAATCGTCCGCCCACTTCCGCTGTCTCTTTACTTACCCGCACATGATTATAAGCCTTCTGAGCCTCAGCCGCCTTCTCCATCTCAACAAGGGCCGAATCAGCATCCGCTTTCTTCCTCACGTCAATCACACGGCCGAATTTCTGGAATTCGAGCATCACGTCTTCTCGTGAGACGCCGGGGCGGAGCCCGCCGAGGGAGATTACGCCGCGTGGCGAGTTTAGATCGCGTGGACCTGTGGGATGGGGATCGGATCATTGATATTGGAGGCACAATGGTTGAGGTCGAAATCAGAGGGCAAAGGTTGGAAATTCGCAGATGTTGAAGGTGTAGGAATTGGCGCGTTTGTGAGTTCTTTGTAACCAAGTGGGGTCTTCTAGATTTGAAACTGAGACACAAACCTTGAGGAACTTCAGGCTCATCCGGATCCGGTAAATCCTTAAACCTTGCATTCGTCCTCACGACCGCAATAGCCCCACGGATATGATTTTCCGAGTTAAAGCATTTCGTCGCACTCGCCTTGGTGCAATACGCCAAGAACGCCGAGCCGCGGTCACGTTTCACGGGCAGCAGCTTGATCTCAGAGATAGCGCCGTGTCGTCCAAAGACTTGCGAGATATCATTCTCCGTCGTGTCGGGGGCGAGCTCGCCTAGCCACAAGTGACGGGTGTGCAGGAGACCTCCCGGGCCTCTTGGGTCAGGGTGTCCGCCATGGCGCCTGGGAGGAGAATCATGGCGCGGGTTTCTGTCACGGCTTGAACGACGGCCTCCTCCGCGTCTGTTATCATAAGGGGAGTCTTCGGAATCGCTGTATTGGCGGTAGTCTCGTCTGCGGTCGGTGTTGTGTCGGCGACCTCTATCGGGGCTACGGCTTCTGTCTCGTCTACCACCACCTCTGCGATCGCGGTCATCACCATAGTCACGGTCTCGTTTTCGGTCATAGTAGGAGTCTCCGGCTCTGGAGCCGCCATTGCCACCTCTTGGTTCATTCTCATTCGTGGACTTGTAGGAACCATTACCATATTGCGTCTGCTGCATGGGAATCTGAGCGGACGCAAGGCCGCCGATGCCACTCAGTAAAGCAGCGGCATTTTGACTTGTGTTGAGCGCGGATCCCACTCCCAGTTGCGGGTTTTGAGCACCCATACCATTGTTGGGCATCAAAGACGCCAATAAGCGGGTCAATTGTTGTTGTTGTTGAAGCTGCTGTAACTGTTGCTGCAGCTGCGCTGCTTGCAATGGAGTCAAACCTTGCAAGTTATTGAGATTCAGTTGCCCTGGAGGACCTTGGACACCCGGTAAGTTGAGGCCCGCTGCGCCCACAGCTGGCTGCTGGCCTTGTCCTGGTAATTGAGCGGGAAACTGGCCAAAAGGTAGTTGACCAGTTAAACCAGGGAGGCCAGGAAATCCCATGCCCAGTTGTTGAGCAGCCAACGCCAGAGGATTCTGTTGGGCAAACGGTGCCGCCGCCGCCTGTGGTACAGAAGAAGGAGCTCCCGGGATTGATTGTTGAGGGCTTTGTGTATTTGAGGCCTGACTTTGACTTTGCTGCAGCTGTTGGACCAGCGCTTGGAGTGGGTTTAGACCCGTATTCAGCGCACTAGCGCCTTGGACGTTATTCCCTTGCGGTAAGGCATTGGATTGGTTCTGGTTCGCGAGGAATGGGAACTGTACTGGATTCGATTGTTGCCCAGCATTCTGTTGTTGAGTGTTCTGTCGTTGTTGGCCTTGCTGCCATTGTTGGTTGGACATATCGGCTGCGTTTAAATCCCGACGAGATACTGTCTACTATGCTTTCCGCCACCAATACGAGGGACAGTATTCTTCAGGACCAGACGTTCTCTACGGTTATAGGGCTCGGAAGACAGACTACAAGTGCGGGATAGGTTGCGATATGACTCTTCTATTCCGGGTATATGCTGGCCCGAAATGCGACAGATCTCTCTGTCTTTCTTTCGAAAAATGCGCTCAGCGGGGCTCAGCGGGGGGGCGGAATTATCGCCACGGATCGCATTTATGTCTCTTCACGTGAACTGTCACATGATCTCCTCGTGCGAAGGCCCCTTTTCCGCCTTTCGTCCCCCCGCTGGTTTCTGGCTTGTTTGACAAAGTGGGAAGAACTCAGTTGACTGTGCGTGGAGTCGGGACATTGGCATCAACAAAACCTCGTTTTAAAAGCAAGAAAGGTCTCTGACGATATCTTATCAGCACAGCCCTTCGCTCAGCTCATTCCCAAATAGGTAAGGGTTCTCGACTGCTCGTACCGGTGAACCGTGGTGATCTAGCCTTCTCAACCGCTCTCTCCGGTAATAGAAGTTTACACTGGTGCCAACAGCTGGTACTGTTTCCATACACTTCGAATCGAACGAACAACACGCACACAAGGTATGTTTTGCCTATGCTGCCTCCGTTTGCGATTCTCTTACTACGTTCGGAATGGCTAAGTGTAGAAATCGTCTCGAATTTCCCACCACCCACAGATGAGCCAGTATCCTCCAAACATGAAGGCCGGAGACTGGATGTGCACCCAGTGCAATTGCCACAACTTTCAATCGCGAGCAGTTTGCTTCCGTTGCCAGGCCCCCAAGGAAGGCGGCGGCGCTATGGGGCCGTCCTCCGGCGGCTACGGCGGCATGCCCCACGGACCTCCCGGCGGACCCATCATGCGACCTGGCGACTGGATTTGCGAGAAGCCCGGCTGCGGATTCCAAAATTTCGCCTCGCGACAGGAATGCTTCCGTTGTAAAGAGTACAGACCTCAACCTGGCCCCCCAGGCACACACAGCGGAAACGGCGGCTACGGCAGCGGAAACGGCGGATATGGCGGTGGAAGCGGCGGGTATGGGAGCGGCAACGGCGGCGGCTATGGAAGCGCTCCTCCGATGAAACCCGGTGCGGAACACCGTCCCGGCGACTGGGACTGCGAGAGCTGCCACTTCCACAACTTCCAAAGCAGATCCGAATGCTACAAATGCGGTCACGGGCGGAACGGTGCGGGTGGTGGTGGTGGTGGTGGTTACAACGGCGCAGGTGGCATGGCGCGACCCTACAGCAGCCTGAAACCTGGCGACTGGCTCTGTCCCAGCTGCCAAGCGCACAACTTCCGCAGCCGAGTAGAATGTTTCCGCTGTCGTGCTCAGATGCCCGCTGGTGGAGGCGACGCACACGCTCAGCCGCCTGCTCCTCCTGGTGCATACCCTTACGCTCAGAGTGGTCAATCGTTGTTCTCGCAAGGGCCTGAGTTTGGTGTGGGGTCGACTTACCCACCTGGTGTGGATTACAGCAATGGGGAGTGGCGAGCGTAAACTCGGGGGACGATAACACACACCCGCTCATCAGCAACGAATGTGCTTTCCCCCCCGTTTATGAAGTCGGTCAAATCAAGTCAAGTAGATTTTTTTATAGTACTATGTGTTGCATATCATGTTCTTTCATTTATGGGAAGTGGGAGGGTGTGGGAGGGGTGGATTGGGGGCGTGGGCGGCAAGGGGCGTATATTAGCGATACATAGTGAATTGCGCCCTCTAGCAGCAATTACCGCTTGGAGACCTACGTAGTAACTTTTCGTTCGCACAATGATATTCTTATGCTTCTTCACATATGCGCTTGAGGGACATGACGGCTTGATGTGCATGTTTGGCAGGACCCTGACAAGCATCGAGTGCGTACTTTATATGCAGAAAACGGCGATCCCCCACACAAAAACAACCCCTCTGGTAGAGCGATGGTAATCATGACATGCCGTGGTAACCGTGGGCTCCCTCCCACATACCGCTTCTCAAGGATCTCAACCGGGTCAAGCTAGAAGGTCAACGGGGGGAGTTGGGCTTTCCCACGGCACCCCACGGCACGCCACCCGGTCTCTGAGGTGTCTCCGTCGTGCGATTTGAAATGCGCGTAGCGATCCAATGAGGGCGCCAACGCGTTTTGCCTTTGGAAATTGGAATTCATCACGTTGTGTCGCAACGGTGTCTGTTTTTTTCTCGGGAGGGGTTTTCCCCCCCCCCCCCCCCTTTTCGCTCCCCACGAAAAATGGGGATGGCGGTGGACAAGCTTTTTGGACATTGGTTTTTTAGGTGTCGGGACAGCACTGCAGCAGGCTGTTGCGGCTGTTCTGGCTGTAGCGTAGAGAGGTAGACTGAACGCATTCCAACACCCAGTTCCGGTAACTGTAGTCGAACGAACAGAGGGACACTCACGCCCAACACCCATCAATCCCCCCCCTCCCCCCCCCCCCCCCCCCCCCAGAAAAAAAATGGTCTCAGAAACAGCCTCAGCGCTCCTCAGCGCCGTCTTCGGCGCCCTCGCCTCCATCCTCGTCTCGCTCGCCATCGAACGCCTCGGCGGGCTCCTCGGCGGCTGTCTGGCCTCCACGCCCTCGACCATCATTCCCGCGACCTGGGGGATCTGGTGGTCCCTCGTCGACGGCGCGGCGCCCAGCACGCGGCATCACGGTTTGGTGAAGTTCCAGCGGGCGACGTTGGTGATCCCGAGCGGGTTGGTGTGCACGGCGGTGTTTCTGACGGGGTGGCGGTATTTCCCGGTGTGGCTGCAGCGGTGGCGGCCGACGATGCGGGTCGGGGTGATGCTGGCGGTGGTCGCGACGGCGACGATGGGGGTTTGGCTGATCGGGGCCATCGCCATCGTGTTTGTGTTGCGCGCGGTGGTCAAGGACGATGAGGTGGTCCCCGGGGACGATTTCGGCGACATCATGGACGTGCCGCTGATCCCCCTGCTGGTCGGAACCATCTCCCTCGTCGTCGTACTGGCAACCGGCCTCGTCCTCAGCTGGCCCTCCGGCGCCGCGCCCAAGGGGAAGAACCCGGTCGCGGTCACCACCCTCCTGCTCCGCGGGTTGCTGGCCGGGGTATCTATCGGGGTAACGATCGTCATCGCCAACGTCAACGAGTTCGCCGGCGGGATCGCCAGCATGCTCCCCATCATGTTCTTCACCTCCATGGTCTCCGTGTGGCTCGCGCAGGGCGCCGCCGTCACCACCGGCGCGATCGGGCCGCTGGTTGCTGGGGTCAGTAGTGTGGCGGCGTATGCGATTGCCGCGACGTTCTTGTATGCGAAGGTGGGGCCGTATTGGGGCGCCGTGGCGAGTTGGGCCGTGAGTGTCGGGGGGGTGACGGTGCCGGTTTACGGGTATATGGTGTGGAGGAGGCGGGTGTGGGAGAGGAGGGTGAAGATGGGGGCTGGCGGGCTTAGTGAGGAGACTTTGGGTGCGGAGGTGGAGGTCGCGGCGGTGAGGGAGCTGGCGCAGGACGGTGTTGTGGTGGATGTGGAGGACCTTAAGGTCGGGAACGACCCATCTATCTCGAAATAACAAAAGGCCTCAGAACGTGTTGGATGCCCTGTACTGTACCATATATACAGTAATATCGCCTGCCTCGGCTCTTTGATGAGATATCATCCAATTCCGAGAAACATCGAGCATGTTCTCAGAGGTAGTACCGTTTCGGAATGTAGTCGCTCGCTGAGTGTCACCTACCCGCATCGCCCGTGTTGAGTGCGTGCTCGGAGAACGAAATGTCCGTGCTTTGTTATAGGAGGAACCACCCGACGTGCTGTATCCTCGTGCTCACGAACGAGGAGACTGGCTCCGGGGCTAGGAGCCGCCGCCATCATGGAGGACGACAAAGTCGGTAATCGCTCCTGTCTGTTCGTCATACCACATGGGTGCTCGCAGCTCGCAGTAACATTCATATCTCCAAATAGTCCAGATTCACTCCTATCTTCCGATTATATATCATCTCCGTTTGGAGAAGCATCGAGCATGTCGCGGATTCCGGCGACCGCGATCGTTTACAAACCCGCCTGTTGCCCCTCGGCACTTTGGTGAGCGTCTCCGATGTCGCCGTCTAGCGCAGTGAGGCCCTCCCCGGTTATCCCAGCCTCAGGTGCGTCGGCCTCGCACCAGTCGACGCACGCTGAATCGGCACTCCGGAAGGTGCTTGCTGTGTAATCAAACGGCAGTAATATATGTAAGCTGCAGGTGCGTGGGAGGGAGTCGGGAGCGTGCGCGGACTGAGATGTGGTGATGCACCTCCCCTGCCAGTGAACGCGCTCTCGGACTTCGGCGTTTGCTGACAACTTTGCGGACGACACAGGGGGCCATCGTGCAACGTCAGAATCCCCATAAAAGGGCGGACGCACCACTCTCACTCCTCCTCTTCACTCACAACACGGTTCCCTTTGGAGATATCGATAGAGGGAGCAGCAAATGCCTTGGTCTGTCTTCCGCAGACCCACAGTATCAGCCACCATCACCACAACCTGTCTCGTCGCGCTCGTCGCTGCCGGTGTATCACACTACGCTTTTCGCTCCACAACGAGCGCTATCACGGCCACTAGCGCAGTACGCACGTTCTCGTCTCCAGCGACCGGTATGGCAAAGTTCCGGGTGAGGAAGAGTGACGAGAGGGGACATGCCGACCATGGATGGCTTGACAGTTACCACGTAAGTGTTGGTTCGAATCCCTTTGACGGGCGGAGACAGGACTGAACAGTCGTTTATATTTACCATCCCAGACCTTCTCGTTTGCAAACTACTACGACCCCAAACACGTCGAGTTCGGCCCGTTGCGTGTGTTGAACGAGGACCGAGTCACGCCGCGGAACGGGTTCGGGTCCCACCCGCATAAGGAGTTTGAGATCTTCTCGTACATCGTCTCCGGCGCTCTCGAGCACAAGGACTCGCTTGGTGCGTCCCCTGCGATCCCCCTCCTCACATCTCTCAATTCCGGCTCTAACATCTTGTTTTGTTTTTTTGCACACAGGCAACATCGAAACCCTCCCCCGCGGCACCATCCAGCACACCTCGGCGGGCACGGGCCTCTCGCACTCCGAATACAACGCGCCCGGCTCCACGGCCGTGTGCCATTTTCTCCAACTGTGGCTCAAACCGCACACGTCAGGGTTGTCCCCCTCATACGTGACGAAGGAGTTCAGCGATGCGCAGAAGGAGGGGAGGTTGCTGCCCGTGCTCTACCCGCACCCGTCGGTCGGCAAGGCGAGCGGGTTGATCAGGAATGTTGGGGACGTGGACACGGACTCGTTGATCCCCACGCATGCCGACGCCTTCATGTTTGCGAGCATCCTTAGACCCGGCGACGCGGCCGTGGAGCACAGGCCCGTCGGAGCGGGACGCCGGTTTTATGTGCATGTGATTATGAGGAGGACGGGGGGCAGTTTGGTGGTGAATGGCGGGGACGTGGTGTTGGGCGAGGGGGATGGGGTGTTTGTGACGGATGTGCATGAGAAGGAACCGGTAAGGTTTGAGAGTAGGGGTGGGGTGGTGGAGTTTGTGTTGCTGGATTTGGCTTAGGGTGTTAGAGTAGAGCGTAGAAAGTTTTTGTTTTGTCTTGCTTTCGGCATTGGATGTACCGTAACCTTACGTTTCGTTCCGTCCTATGTTTTTGATACGAAAAGATTTTGAACAAATACAGATGGTTCCCGAAGTGTCAGGAGTGTATCGGGAGTGCATCTCCGATGCATACCGCCTATCACTAACTCTGTCTACACTATGTACACCCATCGTCTACGCCAACCTCGACCCCCTACATCCTCGCCTTCGTCCCCGTCGCCGTCCCAGTCTGCATCCCACCCCCGACCTTCCCCTTTTCCTTCTCCTCCCCACCCGCCTTCCAAACAATCCTCCCCATACTCCTCTCCATATACCCGCGCTCCCTCAACCGGCCAACCCACTCGTCCACAAACCGCGTCGCCTCGCCCTGCGCCCCATTCTCATCAAAGGCCAGGAACCCGGCGTGGAAGCGGTAGACGGAAAGCAATCGCCAAGCGGAGGGAGCTTGAGCGGGGGCGGAGATCTCGAATTCAGCGAGCGGGTCGTAGTCGACGTCGTAGGTGGAGATGGTGTAGTGGGCGAGGGAGACGATGGGGCCGTCGCGCGCGATGATGAGGGGGAGGTAGAATCCTGTTGAGCCTTCTACGGAATCGACGGGCAATGAATGAGTTGATTGCTTTTTGACCAGTTGATGAGATTAGGGGCGAGAAGAACACCCCTTCGGCGGGGGGGGTCATGAGGAGCTGAACCAACCTGCGGGCTGCACCTCGACGCTCCAGAAGTCTCTGGCTTCGTGGAAGCTGTCGAGGAGGTTATGGGCGGCCAAGATGGCGTGTATGACAGACTCCATGCCGCGGGTTGGGGCTGCGGTGGAGCGCTAAACGAGAACGAGACGGGTGTGGGTGTGGGTATGCTGAGTGCAGGGAGGAGGATGAAAGGAGTCCCCTGTCCGAAGTGCTGTATGTATGCGGCAGAACTGCTGAGCTCGTCGTTGAGAGCGAGAGAGAGCGAGCGAGTCTGGCAGTGAGTGCAATTGGGCGACGCGTGACTTGCCCTCTTTGGAGTCTTTGCGGGATGCCCATCAGATCCTCCCTCATACAGGGCACACAGGAAGCGCCCGATGAGATGGATGCGCACGATGGACTCACCCAGTGTACATAGATATACCACATTTCCATCAAGCGATGTTGTCCAGAGGGTGTCTGTCGTCGTTGAACGAGAAAGCGCCCTTGAAAGAATCCATGTTGCTGTCCCGCCATCTGATGAAAGTGCGGGCACACATGTTCGCCCCCTGGATTTATATCGCGACGCTCACTGACAAAAGAAGTACTCACCTATAACCCCCCCCCCCCCCCCCCCCCATAACCTTCCCCCGTAGATCACACAAACACAGACCGCCCCTCATCTTCCCTGTTGCAAACTCACTCGCCTATCCTCAACGTACTGTACGGCCCAGCGAGAGCCCCTCCCTGCGCGGAAGCTCCCCCCCCCAAAAAAAAAGAGCGTGGGAAAATCCTAAACTCCCCGCAGCACGATGCCCTCGCAATCACGCGCTCAGCGAAAACAAGGCTCACGCCGCAACACCGCTGACGCTAAAGCCACCAAGGACGCTCCGGCTCCCCAGCTGGCAGACGAGGATGGCGGCGGGAAAGGCGGCGGTGGTCTTGCGGGATCGTCTTCCACCTCCACGAAATCAAAGCAAGCCACACGTTACCCGCCGCTCCTGGACGACGACACCGGCAGTCACGTCGACGCGCAACAATCACCACCCGCCACGGCTGCCAAACGAGCAAAGAAGGCGAAAGCCGCGAAAGCAGTTGAGAATGCGCTCCTGCTCCTGACGGAGGCCTTTGACGGCGCTGGTGGGCAGCAACAGCCGCTGCTTGGGCGTAGCAAACCCGCTAAACCGAGTCAAACGGCCGGTGCCGCCGAAACGCCCTCGCCTCCGAACGATTGGGAAGAGGGTGCCTCGAAACCCGCTTCCAAGGGCGGTTCGAGAGGGTCCCCGCGCAGCGTGAGGAATCGGAAGAAGCCGTTTGACCTTGAATATTTAGGAAAGAAATTAAAGTCTCATGAAAACTCGAAAGACGCCAAGACCGCAGATGGTGCTGCAAGCAGCAAACGGATCACGGAACTAGGCACCGGCACGGGCACCAACTCCCGACACAGCTCAGGCCGATCAAGCCGCTCAAGCCGCTCGCGAAACCCTTCCGACAAACCTTATAAACTAAACGACAAGAGCTTGAAAGAAGCGCTGATTGCCGGCGAGCGCCCGCCGTCGATTCAAGAGGACGACGACACTCAGGGCTGGTCGAGCGTAAGGAGGAAGAGTCGGTCTAGTGCAAAGGCGAAAGTTAAAGCCTACAATGACCAGAACGCGGTCAGCTGGGGTCAAGAGGTGTCGGGCGTGCAGCCGGTTGCAGGTGACTGGGGCCAGGAATCTTCGCCAGCGGTCAAGGCGGACGTCGCAGGCGATTGGGGCGCTACTACCACAGAACCGGCCGCGGGAGATTGGGGTCGGGGCTCGCCACATAAGGAACCTGCAGGTGATTGGGGTCGGGGATCTCCGTTCAAAGAACCGACCGCAGGCGACTGGGGCCGTAGGTCGCCGCAGAAGGCACCTGCGGGCGACTGGGGCCGCGGATCTCCCGTGAAAGCTGTCGCGGGTGACTGGGGCCGTGAATCACCTACGAAAGAGCCAGCAGGAAACTGGGGCCGTGAGTCACCGACAAAGGAAACTGCAGCCAACTGGGGCCGCGCAACAACACAGAAGGACCTCGCAGGCGATTGGGGCCGCGAATCACCACCTCTCAAAGAACCACCCGCAGGCAACTGGGGCCGCGAGTCACCCGCCGGCGAAAAAGCCGTTGCAGGCGACTGGGGCCGCGCGTCTCCACCTCCCAAAAGCGGAGCGCAGACCGCAGGCGATTGGGGCCAAGACACCACGAAAAATCAAAGGAAGAACGAAGAGACCGCTGACCGAACCCACTCACAGACGAATTGGAACGGAAGCTTGAAAGAACAGGCGGGTGATTGGGGTCGTGAGTCGCCGCCGCCTGCTGAGAAACCGGTCATTCAGTCCTCGATTGTGGATGATACCGCTGATAAAACGTTTGCGACGCAGAGCAATTGGGGGGCTGTGGCGCCGTGGACTTCGTGGGGGGAGGAGGCGGATGAATGGACGAAGCAGGAGGAGAAGAAAACTTCTAGTCAAGGACAATCACGAACCTCGCGCAGAGGCAAGGAACGGGAGTCGAACAGGTCTAGCAAGAGTACGTCCCGTGCTGTTTCGAGAGACCGAGGAACTGGTCGGAAAGACGCGCGTAACACCGATGAGAAAGACTCCGAGTTCCCAGAGAGCTACGGGAATTGGGGCCGAATCTCTCCCTCGTGGGGCTTCACCGCTAAACCCGCCAACACCGACGACTGGGGCGAGCCCATCAACAAAACCACAAGCCGCACCCAGGACGACTGGGAAAAAGAAGAATCCGCAATAACAAAACCACGCTTCGACCTCCCCACCCCCTTCGACGACGACGGCGGCGCCCCCGTCGGCGTATTCCGCAAACACAAACCCTCAGACGACTGGGCTGAACCCACCGACAAATTCACGAGTCGGAGCTCCAAAGGTCCCAACGACTGGGGTGAACCTGCCCCCACCAAATCCCGTAATATGGGTGGCTGGGAAGAGACCCCGGTCCGCTCGACCCGTGGACGGCCCGGGTTGACCATGGCGAGGACGTTTAGGAGGGCCGAACCTGTGCAGCAGCAGCAGATTACGGAGGATTGGGGACAGCCGGTGGGCGACGGGGTGGGTTCACGGAACGGAGCGCAGGATATCTGGCGGGATCGACCTGTAGGGGATTGGGCTGATTCTGTGAATTCATCACCTGATCGGACGAGAGCTGGGGAGGAATGGGGTGAGCCGGCGCCTACGTCGTTTTGGGAAACGGGGGCTAGTCGAGGTGGGCGGGCGGCGCGTGGGGGAAGAGCGGGGCGGAACGACGGTGGCGATTGGGCCCGACCCGAACAGCGACAGGAAGACGCCACCCGGGTTCCGGAGAAATGGGACCAGGACGCAGAAACGGAGTACGTCGAATGGGGCGCCGACACCTCTGTCCGAACAACAACAGACGACCGAAACAACGGCGGTTATTCCAATCCATCTAAACGCGATCGAACACTTTGGAGAAGCCGAGCAGGCGAGGAGCCTTCTTCTTCTTCTTTGTCGTCTTATCTTCAGAAAGACTGGGACCGCTCTGCACCCGACGCCACCGATTCTTCGAGACAGTCGCGCAATTTCCCCTTCGACACCGACGCTTCCCGTTCCTTTCCACGTCGTGGCGCTCAGGATCCATGGGGCGACGACACCGATGACTGGGATAAGAACTCTCGCAGTAAACGCGTCTCATCAGGTGGTGAGAAATCGCTACGGGGTGTCAAGAGTCTTGCGGCTGTTGATTGGAGGGCTGGGGCGAGAGGTGCGGGGGCGAGCGAGGAGGTCGGGAAAAGGAAGGTGACGACGTACGAGGTTCTCAAGGGGGAGGAGGGGGGAAAGCCGGTTTTGCAGAAGCGGGAGAAGGACAGGCCACGAGGGCAGAAATGGGATCCGTCCCCTGCGGATCCGATTGATCAGAAGGGGCGACCGAAGATATTTGAAGAGTATGTGATTGTGTTTCCTTATCATCTGTGGCTAACCCTGTCATCTGTTGCTCACTACCGAACAATTCATAATTCAATTGCTCAGCTACATCACTCTAAGCGAAGTAACCACGGGTTTGAAAGAGGGCACCCTCCACAAGGGCTCCCTCCGCATAAACCGCCGCAATCGCTTCGACGCCTACGTCTCCCTCGACCCCACCCCCACCTCCTCCATCACACAAGATATATACATCTGCGGCACGCGCAACCGCAACCGTGCGCTGGACGGGGATACCGTTGTTGTGAGGTTGCTGGATGGGGAGCAGTTGGAGAAGGAACGGGCTGAGGAGGCGAGTAGGAGGGATAGGAAACGGAGGGATGATAAAGAGAGACAAGCAAGGTGTGATGTTAGGGCTGAGGGGGAGGAGGAGGCGACTGAGGTGGAAACCGAGGTTGAAGTGGAAGAGAGCGAGCCTGGTAAGCGAATGTTGCGATTGTGCGTTTTTGTGATTATTGGGATGTTAACAAAGGCATTTGGGTGAGCAGCTGAAAACAGGATCTTCGGTAAGATCGTGTACCTGGTTGACCGAAGATCGAATGGAGAGTATCCCGGCACGCTGTCGTGGGATTCTCCGAACGCTTTTGGAAGGGGGGGAGGGCGGTCGTTGGATCAGAGGCCGAGGCTGGTTTGGTTTCAGCCGGTAAGTCATTTTCAGGTGTAAATTGATGGTGTCAAGACCAATACTGATATGTTTTGAACAGACGGACAAACGCGTCCCCCTCATGGCGATCCCCACCGAACACGCCCCGCGCGAATTCATGCAAGACCCCACCGCCTACTCCACCATCCTCTTCAAAGCCTCCATGGGCCGCTGGCCATCTACGTCTCAACACCCCTTCGGCGTCGTCACGGGAACCCTCGGCCAGCTCGGCGAGATCTCGATCGAGACTGAGGCATTACTCGTCGACGCGGGGGTTACGTGGGATACATTCACCGATGAAGTTATCAGCTGCCTGCCCCGCACGCCGTGGACGATCCCCAAGGAGGAGTATGCGAAACGGAGGGATCTGAGGGCAGAGACAATTTTCTCGATCGATCCGCCTACTGCGCGGGATCTGGACGACGCGGTGTCGGTGAAGCCGGTTGGGGAGGGGAAGTTTGAGGTTGGGGTGCATATTGCTGATGTGTCGCATTTCGTGCGGCCGGGGAGTGCGCTGGACAAGGAGGCGAGGAACCGCGCTACGACCGTTTACCTCGTGCAAAAGGCGATCCCGATGCTTCCGAGGTTGCTGTGCGAGGAGTTGTGTAGTTTGAACCCGGGCGTGGAGAGGTTGGCGTTTTCGGTGATTTGGATCATGGACGCACAAGCCCGTCCCGTCGGCAAGCCCTGGTTCGGCAAATCGGTGATCAAGTCCTGCGCCAAGCTCAGCTACGAGCACGCGCAGCGGATCATCGAAGGGCGGCGGTGGGACGGCCTCCCCAAAGTCGAGCTCAGCGGCGGGGTCACCATGGACCGTCTCAAGGCGGACATTCTACGGTTCTACGAGTTCAGCCGCATGATGCGCCAACGACGGTTCGAGGACGGCGCGCTAGCGATCAATAACTATAAACTGTGGTTCAGCATCGACGATTACGGCAACCCGTACAACACGGGGATATACGAGATCAAGGAGGCGAATAAGTTGATTGAGGAGTTTATGTTGCTGGCGAACATGGCCGTCGCGCAGAAGATCAGCGAGGTCTTCCCCAACACCGCGCTGCTGCGGAACCACGCCCGCCCCGCGGAGAAGAGCATGGCTGACTTCGTGCAGTTTGCGGCGAAGCTGGGCTACGTGATCGACCCGGAGACCTCGGCGTCCCTCCAACAGTCGTTTGAGAACATCCCGGACGCCAACCAACGCACGGTGCTCAAACAGCTGTGTATCAAACCCATGCAGCGCGCAAAGTACTTTTGCACCGGGAGCGTGGATATCCAGCAATGGCGCCATTTCGCGCTGAGTGTGCCGCTGTACACGCATTTCACGTCGCCGATTAGACGGTACTGCGATCTGGTCGTGCATCGGATGCTCGAGGTTATCTGCGACGGCCGGAACGAGGACGTGTATGACATGAAGGAGGTGGCGATGATTGCCAAGCGGTGTAACGATATGAAGGACGCGTCCAAGGCGGCGCAGGAGGCGAGTCAGAAATTGTATCTGTGCGCGTACCTGGCGTTGTTGAGCGAGCAGGAGGCCGCGAGGGTGGCCTCCATGGGCGAAAGCACACAGAACGCCGGCGCGGGCGTGCTAACCGAAGCACAAGTCTACAACATCGGCACGCGTTCACTCGACGTGCTCGTCCCCGAATTCGGCGTCGAGAAACGGGTCTGGATGGAAGATTCGATCGAACTGGGCGATGTCGTCGGCGTCGAGGACGTGCATGGCGAGATTGGCGCGTTGAGGATCCATTGGAACAAGCCTACCGCTGACGGGTTGGATGACGACCCTGAGGGACTAGCGGACCGGTTGGCGAGGTTGGAGTTGGCGGAGATGGAGCGGGAGGAAAGTGATCTGGCCAAGACGGGGAAGAAGGGACGGGTGGACGCGGTTAAGAAAACAGCCACGATGGGTAGTGATACCACATCCTCCGACTCGGACACGCGCGCCAACCCCAAGAAACAACGGCCGCGAACCTTCGACCGCGGCAGTGTGCTCACGCAGAAGATCCGGATCTTTGATCAGATCGCTGTCCGCATCGTACCCGATCTGACAAAGAGCCCGCCGGATTTCAAGGTGTTTGCGGTCCCGCCGTGGGTGGTGCTGAGTAAAGGGAGCAGGGTGATTGCGGGCGGGAAGGTTAAGCCGGCGTTTGAGGATTTCAGTTGTCCGGCGGCGAGTGAGGATGCCGAGTGAGCAGGGGTGGAGTGAATGGAATGGAGAAGGGGGAGGGGGGGAAAGAATGTGGTATTTATGGGCGATTGACTTTTCTTCGCAAGAACGTTTTGCTGGGTTGATTTGCGTCGTAGAGTGAGGTCGCCCCGGTGTATAGTTCGATGGGTTCGGTGGGGGTATTGTACAAATGGGTTTTTTGTTTTGTCCTTTATCATCTATAAGTAAACGTTTCTGGAGTGTGTATGCTCGGTGGAAGGGGTCTTGCTGTGACTTTCGATCCATAGTGCACGCGTCAAACGAGGCCGTCTTGGGACACGACCAAAACATGGGAAGCCCAATGGACGACATCTCCTGCGGTATATACAGTACACCGACGACCTGCCCCCTCTCAAACTGCGCAAACTCACACGTTGATACGCAGGGAAAGAAGTCCTCCCCATCCCCGCCACGGACGCTTCGTTTGAGCCCTTCGAGGTACGGCCCCCACCCGTCCTAGCCGTCCCCCATTCAATTCTAATCCAACCCGCGCAGTATGTAACCAAAAACATCATCCCCACCCCTCTCGCCACCCCCTACTACGACGGCTGCACATGCCTGCATTCCTGCTCGTCCTCGGCCTCCTCCACCGAGACCGAATGCGGCTGTCTGCTAGCCCACGGCGCCGCCTACGACCGTAATCGTCTTACAGACCGTCTCACACATCCGCACGCCATCTACGAATGCAACACCCGCTGCACCTGCCCGCCCACGTGCGCCAACCGGCTCGTGCAAACGGGCGTCACCCTCCCGCTACAGGTGTTCCGCACGGCGGGGCGGGGGTGGGGTGTCCGGGTGCAGGATCGTGTGGCGCGGGGGGCGTTTGTGGTGGAGTATGTTGGGGAGGTGGTTGGGACGCGGGAGGCGGGGCGGCGGTGGCGGGGGAGGCGGGCGCGGGGGAATTATCTGTTGTGTCTGCGGGAGCATGCGTAAGGGTGGTCCTTGTTTTGGGTGGGTGAGGAGGCGTGCTGATGCGGGCTTTTGGGGTAGGGAGACGATGATCTATCGCACGAATATTGATCCGACGCGGAAAGGGAATGTTGCGAGGTTTATTAATGTAGGTGTATTGTGCATGGCTAGGGGAAGAATTGCGAGCTCACATTTCTTCGGCTTGTAGCATTCATGTGCGCCAAACCTGGTGGTCGTCCCCGTACGCGTTGACACGATGATACCGTCTGCCGCGTTGTTTGCGGCGTGTGATATTGAGGCGGGGAGTGAGTTGACGTTTCACTATGGTGGAGAGGGTGGTGCGGTGCAGGATGAGGGGGCTGGAGCAGGAGAAGAGGGGGGAGATAGGATACCGTGTGTGTGTGGGAGTGAGGCTTGCTGTGGGTATCTGCCTTTTGATGCGGGGTTGGAATGATCCCCCCTGCGCATCGCTGTTCCGGATTGGGTATTGAATACAGGTTAGAGTTGGGGAAGACGGCGTAACATTATTCATGCACAAAACGAAACGGATATATTATGTACATGTACAACTGAATGGTAACCGCAAACTACGAGCAAAAAAAAGCGTCAGTCCCCTCCCAAAAAAAAAACTTCTCCTCACATCTCCCCACCCCCCAAATCCTGCTGCACAACCATCTGATAATACAACCCCCTCATCTTAATCAGCTCCAAATGCGTTCCCTGCTCCGCAACCATTCCCTCCTTAAACACGTAGATGCAGTCGGCTGCCTTGATGGACGAGAGGCGATGAGCGATAGCGATGGTCGTGCGCCCCTTTGCGGCTTTGTCGAGGGCTTCTTGAACAACTTTTTCGGACGTTGCGTCGAGGGCTGAGGTCGCTTCGTCGAGGAGGAGGACGCGGGGGTGCCGGATGAGGGCGCGGGCTATCGCAATGCGTTGTTTTTGACCGCTGCAAATAAACAAAAGTACATGGGGGGTTAAATAACTCTGGCACGAAAAAGTCAGCAGTGCCATGGATATGCAGTACATACCCCGACAAATGGGCCCCGCGATTCCCCACCCTCGTCTCAAACCCCATCGGCAACCTGCTCACGAAATCATATATGTTCGCATCCTTCGCGGCCCTCACGATGTCCTCCTGCGAGATCCCGGCCACCGCCAGACGTTCCGCGGGCGTCGCGGTCGGGTCGAACAATTTGGCGTCCTGCGTCTGCTGGGCGCGTCGATACTTGGGCGACCCGTACGCGATGTTTTCCAGGATGGTGGCGTCGAAGAGGACGGGTTCCTGCCCGACGTATCCGATCTGCTCACGCCAGTCTTCGAGATCGAGGGAGGTGAGCGGTACGCCGTCGATGAGGACCTGCCCCTTCTGGACATCGTAGAAGCGTTCGAGGAGCTGCACGATGGTTGATTTCCCGTTGCCTGAGGCTCCGACGAGCGCGACGGTTGTGCCCGGTTTGATCTCGAGGTTGAGGCCGCGGAGGACGGCTTGGGTGGGGCGCGTGGGGTAGGCGAACCAGATGTCTTTGAAGGCGATGTGCAGGGTGGGGAGGGTGCTGGCTGGGATGCGCTTGGGTTCGGTCATCTCGGGGACTCTGAGCTCCGAGTGCGGCGAGTTGGAGTCGGCGGTGGGTCGGTTGTCGTGGCCGGTGACGTCGATCAGCGTCTTGCGGTCGATGATTTTGATGATTTCCTTGCCGGCGAATTTGGCTTTGGATATGTCGCCGGCGAATGCGCTTGCTCTGAATTCTCCCCAAATCAAAGTAAGCCATCAACACCGGCCGAGAATGCATTCTGCAATCAGTGTGACACAAACAAACATACCTCCCCATAGCCATCGACCCAAAAACAGTAGCCATCATAACCGTAAACATCCTCCTCATATCAATCTCCCCATCCGCAAACAGCGTCCCACCCCACCAAAACGCAAGCGCGTTGCCCAAGAACCCCAACCCATTGCTCGCAGCATACCCAACCCCCGTGAAAAACGCCTGGCGGTGCGACGCGCGGATGGGCTCCTCGAGGGCCTGGTTGTACTTTGCCAGGAAGGTATCTTCGCGCCCAAGGCATTGCACGGTGGTGTGGTTTTGCATCGCTTGCACGGCGACGGAGGCCGCGCGTTGGTAGGCTTTTTGGGTGGCGGCGCCGAAGCCTTTTATGGAGGCGATTTGCATTGCTCCTAAATAATCGAAAATCAAATGACGGTGGTGAGTTCAACGCTTTTCCTTTGCACTATGAAAGAGGGGGAACCGAACGAACCAGCAAAGATCAAAATCGGGATCAACCCCATCGTAACCACCGTCACCTTCCAACTCGCCGTAAACCCCACCACCAACCCCCCCACCACATTCACCAACAGCTGCACAAGCGTCCCCATCACCGTGCCGACCAGCACATTCACCCTCGCCGTATCGATCGCAATCCGGCTTACAAGCGACCCGGTCCGATTCTCATCGCGGTCGAACCACCCGACTTCCTGACGGAGCATCGCGTCGAAGAGGAGGGTGCGGAGCCGCGTGGTGACCCGCTCGCCGATTTTCCCGAAGAGGTAGGAGACGCCAAAGTTGCCGAGACCGGCGGCGACGGCGACGACTATGTAGCCTGCGGCCCAGCGGTTGGCTTCGCGGCGCATCTGGAATCATAACCGTACATAGTATATCGTGTTTGTCAGTATAATGAATACCCCACATTGCCTCTTGCAGTGTGAAAATCCGAGCATATCTCATACCTCATCCAAATCCAACAACGTGAAAACCTCCAAAATATACCCATACATGATCGCATAAACCGGGTATATCGCGCCACTCAACACCGCGCTCGCCACGCCGAGCGCAAGCAAGTTCCATTCGGGGCGGTGGATCATCAACAACCGTCTGAAGAATCGGGTGGGGGGTTTTTCGTCTTTACCGGCGGGTTGACCGAGCTCGACGTCTGAAGTGGGTTGACGAGTGCGCGAGCGGCCGGAGAGGGTTGAGGCCATCCGGGTGAGGTATTTGAAAGGGGAGGTGGGTTCTTCGGCTTCGTCGGAGGAGGGTTTTTCGGTGGGGGTGTCGTGGAGTTTGATATCGATAGATTTCCTTTTTTCGGTCGTGGTGGTCGATGCGCGACGGTGTGGCGCGGATGTAACCGTCCGCTGCGACTCGGACGCCGGGATTCCCTCATCAGACACCTCTGATCCCTCCGGTCCCCCCTCCTCATCCTCATGCCCAATCTGCTGCATATCCACCAACTTCCTATACACGCCATCAGCCTCAATAAGCGAATTGTGGTCGCCGATCTCGACGATTTTGCCCTGGTTCATGACGACGATGGTGTCGGCGGTGCGCACGGTGCTGAGACGGTGGGCAACGACGAGGGTCGTGCGGCCCAGTGAGGCGCGTTCGAGGGCGGATTGGACGAGGCGTTCGGAGTTGCTATCCAATGCACTAGTCGCCTAACCCAAGGAAATCAAAAGATAGTCAGATTAGCTGTCCTCCCCCACTGCAAATACATCCAGGAACGGGGGTTCAGACGTACCTCATCAAGCAACAAAACCTTCGGATTCCTCACAAGCGCCCTCGCAATGCATATCCTCTGCTTCTGGCCTCCACTCATCAACGCCCCGCGGTCCCCAACAACCGTATTATACCCCTCCGGCAGCTTCTCAATGAACGCATGCGCATTCGCCAACTTACACGCCTCCTCTATCTGCTGCTGGGTAGGCGGCGGTGAACCCTCAGGCGCGCCGAGTGCGATGTTTTCGGCGATCGACATGTCAAAGAGAGAGGGCTCTTGGGAGACGATACCGATTTGGTTGCGCCACCATGCGTGGTCCAAATCGCGGAGTTCGGTGGTGGTGGAGGCGGTGATTGTGCCCTCTGTGGGTTCGTATCCGCGTTCGACGAGGGCGATGATGGTTGACTTTCCGGATCCGCTGGCGCCCACGAAGGCGGTTGTTTTTCCCGGTTGGATTTGGAGGGTGAAGTTGTCGAGGGCTTTGACGGTTGGCCGGGAGGGGTAGGTGAATGTGACGTTTTGGAAGTTTATTGCGCCGTTGAAGGTGGGAATGGTGGTTGGGGGGGTGGTGGGGGAGCGCGGTTTGGCGATTTGGGGTTCGGCGTCGATGAGGGTAAAGATGGCGAAGGCGGCCGCGCAGGCGTTGCTGAAGGCCGCGAGTTCGGGGGCTACGCTGCTCATTCTGTGGGAGGGAGATGGGATGGGATGATGTCAAGGGTCTAAGGAAACAGATGGACTCGGATGTATATAGTCGCCGAACCCACCTCATGGTCCCAATCATCAAGGCAAAGTAGACAGCAACAAGCTTCCCCGGTGTAAGCTGCCCCTGCTGAATCAGATACGCACCATAGAAGAACGCAATAGAGTACGCCAAGTACATAAACGCCTGCACACCCGCAAGTCCCAACCCCTGAGCCTTCGCCTTGGCCACGCCCAACTTCTCCGCCGGCTCCAACCGGTTCACAAACTCCCTACTAGATCTTTTCTGCCCGTTCAGACTCATCAACGTCCGGATGGCGGACAGGGCTTCTTCAACCACGGAGTTAGCTTCCGCATAAGCAGTCAACGCCGCGATCCCGTTCTTGGCGGCCCACCGATTACAAACAACATTGATGGCGCCCATAAACGGGAACAGACATCCCAACACAAGCGTCACTTTCCAGCTCTGGATGAACGCAATCACGATCGCCGCGACCAACGTGCAGGACGCCTGCATGAACAAACCGACTTTTTCGCCGGTGCCGTTCTGGATCAGCTCGATGTCGGAGGTTAAACGTGTGGATAGCTCCCCGGCGTTGTGCGTGTCGAAGAAGGAACGCGATTGGCGGAGGATGGATGAGAGGTAGAGTGTGCGAATTAGATTCGTTTGTCGCGCCGACGACATGTCCCAGCAGACCTGCGTGAAGTGAATGAGGGGTGGTTGGTTGGTTGATTGAACGATGAACTGGAAACCATGGTTGATGGTTGATGGTTGATGGTTGAAGGATGGTTGAACGATATCCTGCTCGCTCCGCTCGCGACCAGGAGGCTCGCATGGCTCGCGCCTCCGGCGCAATTAGGGCTCGTTGGCGCTCGCTTTCTCCTCGCTTCGCTCGGGACCCTCAAGCAATCTCCTCGCTATCGCTCGGAACACCGCCATGGCTCGGAATACCACCACCGTCGCTCCGCACCGCTCGCGCGTACTCACCATCTGCACATAACAAGTCGTAAACATGCCAATGGCCAGGTAAACAAAATACAGCACATGCTGAATCAGCTGCTGTTCAAAATCCCCTTTACTCAGCCTCCCCTGGGTATACAGCGTGAACCCATCGACCAAATTGCTAAACACAACCGTCATCAACGGCCTCGTGCACCCCGCGATCGCAGCGGCCGTCCCGCCGAGACACATGAGCGCCCATCCGGTCCGGTCGGCGTGGCGGTAGAGCTGGAAGTAGGAGACGCGGCCGACGGGGGGTTTGGCCGGTTTGGCCGGTGGATGGTCGGGGGAAGAGACGAGGGTGTCGCCGAGGGTTGGGGCGGGGAGACCGCTGGACTCGTCGAGGACAGAGGGGTCCGGCTGGTCTTTCGCTGCGGTGGTGGTCGCCATGGGTTTGGACAATGCAATGGACTAGGGTGTGCAAGGTTGGACTCCTCAAGGCGAATGTATGGCAAGGGGTGATACACTAATACTTCTCACACCACTCCTGCTCTGGACTTTGCGATGGCGGTGGGGACACCGGCAACTCTTATTATACATGCAGTGGAATGGGAGGGAGGGACCCACGGCAATGGGGTTGGGGTATTTGTCATAGCGATATTGCTGTTGTGGACGAGCCCTCGTTAGATATCATATAATACGCATAAGGAGCCGGTCCGGAGTTATCGCAGGCAGGCAGGCAGGCGGAACAAGTCGATCCGACAAAGGTGGGCTTGGGGGGGGGGGGGGGGGGGGGGGTGTTTCCGTTGGTCGCTTTCCCACTGACTGGCGAAGGAGGAAAAATGGTTCGTTCCATCGTTCCATGCCTTCCCATGAGTTACTTCATCATAGGAATCATTACAGTAGTAGTATTCGTGGGGCTATTCCTTTCAAAGATCCGCGGGTATATGCCCAGTCGTACCGACGGGCTGTCTCCCATCCGTCCCACGTAATTTAATCTCACAGACGCCGATCCTCGCTGGGTGCATCTGTGATTTACCCGCCATGACGTAATAGCCACAGAAATACCACAGATGCGTTCGAGAACGACGGTCACATGCCAGCCGTCTTTCAAAAGAATATTCTCTGCTTTCCCCGTCGTTTTTTTACGTCCGAAAACTCTTTTTTCTACGACAACTCTCCAAAAAAACTGTTTAATAAATATATATACATCCAAATCCCAGAGAGTGTCCTCAGCAACACCTCAAAAAAGGAAAAAAACAAAAGAGCGAACATATAGTCCAGTCCACTGTCCATTCCCACCCCCAACCGGGGAGATGTCTCTATCTCTGCATGTCGTTCCTTTCACAAAGGCGAAGGCGGGGGTATTTGAATTGTCTTTCACGGTATCGTCCTGTTGGTATATTCTTGTGTTCCGAGGGGGAGCTATCGGCAGACACGCGGGTGTTGTTGGTGGGTGGATGGGTGGGTAAAAACAAACAGTCGGGGCGTTTCGGGGATCCATCATTTGCAAGCTCCGAAGCTCCTCAGACAGCTCTCCGACGCGCTCCGTCCAAACTCTTTCCTGTAGTTGCGCATGGAGAGCTTGAGCGTCTCGGTGTGGGACGCGTCGCACATCTCGACGTAGCGTTGGGGGAGGCAGCGGGTCTGTGTGAAAATGCGGGTGAGGGATGAATACCTTGCGGGGTCAGCATTCTTGTTCGCAATCTCATGAGAGGCGGCTAATCTCATAGTCATACCTTATACTCATTGAAAAACTCCTTGTACCCGCCCTGCAGGATGTAGATCTCGGGGTAAAACAGCTTTGGGTATTCTTGCATGTTCAGCTCACGATCCTGCGTGCGCATGAACGAGGCCCTGAAAAAAAAGAAAGAAGCAAAAATCTCATCAGCTCCTGCAACCCATCATCCCCTTCGCATCCTCTCTCACCCAAAACTCACATCCTAGGAGCACGATGCGACGAAAACTCGCAATGAAACACAATCACAGTCCGCTTGTTCTCCGTAGGCGGGCTAAAGAACAACCGCTGCAGGTCTTCTTTTGTGTTGACGTTGAGCGCGTTCTCAATGTGCCCGCCCGCGTACTCGTACGGGAACCGGCAGTCAATGATGTGGTACTCGTCGACCGCGTGCGCGTATTCGCCGTTGATCAGCCTTACGAGCTAAGAAATATATGGGGAGCGGTTGTTGAGACCGGTGTAAAATGTGTGATCGAAAGAGGTGAAGGGGGCAAGCCTACGAACCATCTCGCCGGAAATACGCTTATGCGCGTCCGATTTGCCGGGGAAGCAAGGCAGCAATGAACCTTCGTGTCCATAAACCTTGGCGCATTCCGCTTCGACGGTGGAAGGACGTGGCAGGCCGGAATAGCAGCTTTGTGTACGCCTCATCTTCTGGGGCGGCAGTTCGCCGGAGGTTGGGCCGCGGCCGGTGCACGCGTCGGATACGGCGCCGTCTGAGTTCATAGGGTCTTGTGTAGAGGGGCTTACTTGCAACTGCCTCTTTCGTCGGAACAGTGTAGGTTCGCTGGACTATAATGCGAGAAAGTCGTGTCGGAAACAGTTGTGCTTTTCATCACGATCATGAAGATGATCGCTCAGCACATACCTGTCTGGCGAACCCCGGGCGTGCGGAGGCAGGCCTTTGTCGGTCCTTGGACGCCCAGTGAGACCTTCCCGCTGGCCTAAACAAGGATGAGAGAGAAAAAGGATGAGCCCCAATTGACCGTCCTTGCCTCAGCGCCAACCACAGTACATACCTAGAGCCATCAGCCTTGTCAGTAAAGCGCGCCAAATCGAAAACAGGGGCCTTGATAGCGGCTTTGGACTCACTACAAAAAAGCAATCGAATGCAAATGTGAGAAGGAAAAGATCAGGATCCCAACACGCACGAAAACAACAACCACCTCTCATACAACCCACATACCCAATAGCAACACCCCCACCAACAAACCCAAAGACACCCTCATCGTCCTCCAAACATATCCCGGAATCCCTCAACTTCGACCTCCGCGGCATACGCGGTGCAGTAGCCATGTCAAGCGCAAGAGGGAATTTAGGCGGCTTGGTCAAGAATGGGTTCTCCATGGCGTCACCCAACACGCGGGAAGGGGGTGACCCGTCCCGGAGCTCGGTCTCGGAATCGTCGTCGGAGGGTTGGCGGGTGCGGAGGAATGGGCCGGGGGTTGTACTGCTGCAATTCAAACATTCGTAAAATGAGCACGTCCGAACATTGAGCAATGTCCCAACGAAGCATTTTCAAGTAACATACGTCTTCAAACCCCTCTCCAAATCCTTCGCAAGCGCAGTCATCGGCGACTCAAACAGGGGCACTGCGTCGAGCAACATGGGGACCGGGCTGGCGACCAGGTCCATGTCCGATGTCTGTGATGAGGTCAGTCCGACCAGACGCGCAAGGGAGGAGGAGGAGGAAGGCGTGTTGGAGCCGGTGGGGGAGGTGGTGGGGCGGGGTTGGGCGAACATGGCTTGTTGAAGAGGGGGTGAGAGGGTTGAACTCGCTGCTGGGGGGTGCCGGGGGGAGTTGAAGAAAAGGGTTAGCGGAGAGATCAGAGACGGTAGTGGTTGAGAGGGTTGAGGCCAGGCGCCTTTAACGAAGGGGCTGGGAGCTGGGCTGGGGGAGAGAGGAAGGAGCAAAACGCGTCCCCTCGCTCACCCACAGCACCAATACAGCATTTGCACCCATAAGCGAACCTGTAAGCGAACGGGCGTGGGAATCGGGTCGCGAGAGAAACAAATGGTTGGAAGTGGCCACTGAACCCGCAACTTCATTGTGTTTGGTTGGAGAATCCAACTGCCTGATCCGGCAGCCACCCATCGTCCACCTGTGTGCGTTGGAAGTGAAAGGTTGTCAGAACATGTTAGAGGAGTGCTGAGGAGGGCAACAGACGGGAGGAAGAGAAGGAATCAGCAACATCCTTGTGCCCTAAGTCTGTGGAACGGTGAAAAGGCTGTAAGAGGGTACAGTATGTAAGTACCAGAGGAGCGGGCGTTGCCAGTGGGGCGCGTGCAATGATCAGCGCTGATTAGCGCCTTCTTGAACCTGTCCTTCCACGCAACGTGTCGTTCATCCTCCCGACTTGGCCAGTGCATCGAAAGCGTCTTCGCCCCTCCGTCCACGAAAGTTTCCAAGTATAGGGTCGTCCAAGCGAGCGCAGGCCGATCTGCCAATCTATCCCTGTTAAGCCGATGAAACCCAACCCCTCCGCGCAGACTCCGGTGCCTGTTAGAGCACCGACAGCCGGCCGCCACCTACAATGTGTGGCCTACAAGGATGAGCTGACGCGAGCTTGCGCAAAAGATATTATCGCAGACTCAGCGCCGCACTCTGAAAATCCCTCGCACTTTCCCAAATATCGCCGCAAAAAGATGGGGGCAGCTAGCCGAACTCGTGGAGGGGTTAGACGAAAAATTCCTTTCGTGCAGCGCGGTGAGGGTGCTGGACAGCATTCAAGAAGGCATTGGAGTCGATTTAGAACGCTGAAACGTTAGATATGAATCTGAAAGAGCACGCAGCATGTGCCTGGGACGCCTTTCCATCCGCAGAAAAAATCGCTAAAGCTTTTGAGAAGCGTGCGGTGGCGGTCGAGACACTACGGAGGCAAGAAGAGGAGGATGAAGCAACGAGGGCAGAACAGACGAGCAAGAAAAGGAAATTTACCCACCAGCATGGCTGGTTATGCCGGAAGTATCCTCCAAACCCTGAACCTGACCCGTCAGCTTGGGGCCGATGCGTAGCCGGGGGAGCGATCGGACCGAATCGGCCTCAAGCGGACGCGCCAGGTTCAGGGTTTGGGCCCCAATGCAGAGATAGAAACTGAGCTCGAAGGGGCGGACGACAACAGTGAAGCTGAGATGGGAGCGGATGCCGCATGCGAGGAGGCGGAAGCTTCGAGTGACCGTAGCAAAAGACCGAGGGTATCGTACGAAGGTATGTCAACGACAGAAGAACCACCTCAATAACCTGATTGTCAAGACTGAAGGTCCATTCGAAAAGCTGCTGTTGCGGTTGGTGCGTGAGTGGTATCGCTCGCATCTTTAAAGCTGCGTTCGAAGCCATCGTCTCACGCATGCGGCCCTCAGACTGTGCGGTAGGAAACACGCTTCACGTTGATCAGCGTTGAGATTGAGAGAGTGGGGTAGTTGGAGCCGCATGCGAGAGCGTCAAGAATAAGATGTCAGGAGGATGAGTCACACAACGGAAGTCACGCGCCCCCCGGCACTCCCAACGCACTCCCCCCCAACGCGTGAGTTTCTCCTTTCCCCTTCGTTTCTCTGACGCTCTCGCCAATAATAATAAGGTGTGTGTATGGAAGTAGCAGCGTCCTCAGCACTCAACACTCACTCCCACTCCCACTCAGACTCAGGCTCAGACTCAGCACGGACCCTTCGCCCACCACTCCAGCCAGGGGACGCAATGAGCTTGCACACTCGTTCCGTTCGGACCGTGATCTCGCCACTCGCATCCGTCGTCAAGGCGCCAGCCACGGCGTATGTGAGGCCGACCCTTTTCGTACGCCACTCGGGCGGCGCGAACCTTCATACCGACCCCAAAGCATCGCCTTCTCCCTCCCGCCCATCCAACGCATGGCTGGGTATCGCGGCAGGAGTCGTTGGCGTGACAGCTTTCGCACTCCTGACCAGTGGCCGTTTATATTCGGACGCCTCGGTGGTTAGACACCAGGACAATGCCGCTGACGGGAAGGGCGCTGGTAAAGGCGGGCCTAGAGCCATCGGACTCCTCCACGAGGTCAAATCCACGCATACCAGCGGCACACCACAACAAACGAGGCCAGTCTACACACGGGCAGAGGTCTCTCGCCACACCACAAAGCAAACCGGCATCTGGGTCCTCCATGGCACCGGCGTCTACGACGTGACCGAGTTTGTCGACGCACATCCGGGAGGCGAGCGCATCCTTCTCGCCGCGGGGCGGTCTATCGATCCCTTCTGGGGCGTCTTCACCATCCACCAAAGCGCGTCCACAAAAGAGATTCTCGAGCAGTACCGCATTGGGGACCTGTTTATCCCCGACGACCCGAAGGAGCTGGATGCGATGCGGAGGGAGGAGGCGAAGGATAAGGAGGCCTTGAAGGATCTGTTTGCGAATGATCCGAAGCGGCACCCCGATTTGATTAAGCATGCCACATTTCCTTGTAATGCCGAGTCGCCTGTGTACGCTGTCGAGGACCACGCCATCACGCCCAACCCGCTTTTCTTTGTGCGGAACCACCTCCCCGTCCCCAAGGTCGACGCCACAGACTTCAAACTCGTAATCGACGGCGACGGCCTAGCAAAAGACGAAGTAGAACTCACCATGACCGACCTCCGCAAACTGCCGAAACACACCATCACAGCCACCCTCCAATGCGCCGGCAACCGCCGCAAACACATGAGCGACCTCAAACCCACAAAAGGCCTCCAATGGCAGCAAGGCGCCATCAGCACCGCAACCTGGTCCGGCGTCCTCCTCCGCGACGTCCTCCACCTCGCCGAATTCTCCCCAACCCCAACCACCCAACACGTCCAATTCCACGGCACCGAGGGATACGGCGCTTCCATCCCCCTCCCCAAAGCGACCTCCTCAACAGGCGACGTCCTCCTCGCCTACGAAATGAACGGCGAATCCATCCCCCTCGACCACGGGTACCCGCTCCGCGTCATCGTTCCGGGCCACGTTGCCGCGCGCTCCGTCAAATGGGTCGACCGCATCACCCTCAGCGACGAGGAATCCCACTCCCACTGGCAACGCCGGGACTACAAGGGCTTCTCACCGGGCGTCGAAAACCCCGGCGAGGACGATTACAACTCCGCGAGGAGTATCCAGGAGCTCCCCGTCCAGAGCGCGGTCACCACCCCGCGCGACGGCGCCACTTACACCCTCCCCGCAACCACAGCCATCCTCCCCGTCAAAGGCTACGCGCTCAGCGGCGGCGGCCGCGACATCCTCCGCGTCGACGTCTCATCCGACGGCGGCCGCACGTGGACGACCGCCACCCTGCACCCTGCGGACCAGCACGCGCCGCAGGGCCGCCAGTGGGCGTGGGCAAAGTGGGAGGCGGAGGTCCCCGTCAGCGGAACGGAGGTGGAGATTGTGTGCAAGGCGGTGGATGAGGCGTACAACTCGCAGCCCGAGGGCTGGGCCGGCATTTGGAATGCCAGGGGCGTGCTGAGCACCGCTTGGCATCGGGTCAGGGTTAGCGTTGAGCGCGGTGCGGAGGAGAGGAAGTAGGCTGCCGTCGGGTCAACACGCCCCCCACACCTTTGTAAATACCAATATGGTTGTAGGTGGATATCCCCCACCCACCCCATTCAATCCCAGTACAGTGTTTAGGTCCATCGCTTGTGTGTGGACGTACTCTGGAATCAGCCCCTTCGGGTACACAGTCAGGGTTCTTACAAGCATCTCTTCCCATTCAAAAGCGCAATCCACCATTTGATAAAGAAGGTTGTGAACTGATTGAGGGAAACAAGAGAGATGATTTGGTACTCGGATACGATATAGATACGTGCGATGACAACATAAATACAGATAATGGCCATGCCGATAGGGAAAAAAGCACCACCGTCCACCCGATCCTAATCGAACACAGACAGGCGGAAAACGTCCAGCTAAGCCCAGCGTCCGCCGTTCTACTCTAAATCTCCCCGCCCACACCCCACTACGCCCAGATATCCCTCAAATACCGCCCTTCTTTCGCCCACGCATTCACAACCTCCACCGCCGCCGGTTTATCCGCCGCACCCCCCTGCTCCACCACCACATCCACAAGCGCCGCGTTCACCTCCTTGGCCATCGCCACGCTCCCGCACACATACACCACCGCCTTCGCGTCCGTCATGTACCCGTAGATGTCGGCTCCGAGGGCGCGGAGCGCGTCCTGGACGTATCGGTAATGGACATGCCCGCTCGGTTCCGTCTCGCGCGAGTGGCAGGGCACAAACCGCGTCAGGGTGCCCTCCGCGACATGGGTCGCGAGTTCAGGGTCGTACAGGCCGTCGGCGTCCGGGGTCGCGAACCGGCGGCCGTGGATGAGGAGGGTCGGCCCGGCCGCCGTGTCTGACGATGCACGATGCCCCCGATGGGAAAGGAAACTCATGAACGGCGTCAACCCCGTCCCCGCGGCGATCATGACGATCGGGGTTTGGGGATCGGAGGGGAGTTTGAACGGGTGCGCGCTCGCCGGTTGGGGTTTGGGGAAGATCGGGACGTGTACTTCGCTGGTTAACTCCGCCCAGTCCCTGTTTCCGGGAGAGACGTGGCCGGTGAGGGAGTCGAGCCAGGTGGAGCATATACCGGCCATGGGTTTGTTGAAGGGTCGGTCGGTGGTGTATTCGACGATGTTGAACCCGATGGTGACTGCATCGCTCATGGTGTCGTTAAGAGGGGAGGAGGAGACGGAGTAGTAGCGGGGTTGGAGGTTGGGGAGGTTTTCGATCAGGTGTGCGAGGGGCGGGGAGCAGGTCGGGAAGGTGTGGAGGATATCCAGCAGTGTAGGTTGTTGGGTGCGGAGATTCCTGTACTCCGCCGCACCCTCTTTGGCTGCGAGGAAGTAGAGCGTACGTTTCTCTGTTTGGTCGGATGTATGTTCCGCGAGCATGCGCAGGAGTGCCTTTTTGGGGAACGCGTGCAGGTCGAGGAAGTAGCGGAAGACTTCATAGGTTGTCGGTTTTTGGGTCGTTGTGAACGGGAGGCCCTGCGCTGCGCCTGCGGAGGCGTCCTTAGGTTGAATATCGCAGATGGATGATGGGGTGAGGTTCAGGCGTGTGAGTAGGGGGTTGACGATGGTGTCGGGGTTCGGGCACAGGATGCCGAATGCGTCGCCGGGCTCGTAGGACCACTTTAGGCCTTTGATGTTGAGTTTCAGCTCGATGACGCGTTTAAGGGCTTTGGGGCCGGAGAGGGAGCGGACGGCGGTGATGCGGGCGCGGAAGGGTTTTGTTGCTGTGTAATCGAACGCTGATGTAGTGTCCGCGGGGCTGAGCAGGAGGGGAAAGACACCTGCCCCCTTGCTTTCCTCCGTTGATCGTGTTTCAGTATCATGGAGAGTGACCTCCAGGAACCGAGACGGAATCTTCGCGACGCCTGTGAGCTGGGCCGCTTTGTTGAGGGCGTCGAGGTTTATAACGAGGGGTTGGGGAAAGTAAGGGCCTGACTCTAGCCGGTTGTGGGATTCGGTTGAGAGTGGAGGTGTGAAGGCGTCGGAGACGGAGGAGTGGTCGCCGTTCTGGTTGGTTGGGTCGGAGATGGGTGGGATGCCGGTCTTTTCGTCTTTTGCGCTTGTCGAAAGGGTGGTGGTGACAGGGCCGGCGTTCTTTGTGAATTCCACCGCCTTTACTGGTACATCCGCCGTCTTCACTTCTTCCGCCTTCTTTGATTCATCCGCCTTTGCTGTGGACTTGTCACCATCCGTCTTCTTCACAACCCCAAACTTGCCGAGATCCAGCTTAGACTGCTTATCAGCGTTTTCCTCATACGCCTTTGCCTTTGCCTCATCAAAATCCACAACCTCAGGCAGGGCGGTCCACAATTTCTCCATCCACGGCTCAACCACGGCCTCCATCCCCGTCGCATCGTCCGCAAAGCCCGACTTCATAAACGGCACAGCGCCCAAATCGTTGAACTTCCGATCCAGTCGTTTCCCCGTATTACAAAAGTTGCTGTAATTGGTATCGCCCAGCCCCAGCACCGCAAACTTCTTGCCCTTGAACGCTTCGAGTTCAGGTCCCTTTGCGCGACGCAACCAGCGCCAGAACTTTGTGGCGTTGTCTGGCGGGTCGCCGTCGCCGGTGGTGGAGGCGACGACGACGAGGGCCCAGGGGTCGTGGTCGGCGGAGGCGAGCGAGGCTTTGGCGTGGTCGTCGAGGACGTGGCACGTTGAGGTGTAGCCGCGAGCGAGCGACTCTTCGTGGATATGCTTTGCCATCCACTCTGCGTTGCCGGTTTGGGAGGCGTACATGACGACCAGGCGCTTGGCGCGCTGTCCCTCTGTCATGACAGCTATGGGTGTTGCTAGAGTGAGTGAGTGAGTGAGTGAGTGAGTGAGTGGGGGAAGCCGCTTGTTGCTGCTGGTGCTGGTGCGGTGTTCGTTATGGCTGATTGTCCAAGGGGAGAAATGGCCTTCCGCGCAAAGGGTCCCCGCCCGCCCCGTCTCTCTCCAGGGTCCTGTCCGCCAACAGCGACGGCCATAGCGACTACCATACAGACACCCCTGACACCCGCCTATCATAACCCCAGGCTGACCCCAGGCCAGCGTCTCATTCCCCGCAACTCCCTCCCACTCGTTACGCTCTTGCAAGACCAAACGTTAGTCGCTCGCTATCTGTCACGTCTCATCAGCACCGTGCGAGGCAGCAATATGGCTCGCACCAACGCGGCGGAACAACACCGTTACAGTAAATTGGCAACCACTAACCTCAACTCAAACTCACTTTGGAGTCCCGGGAAGAAGCTTCGGCATGAAAGGAGACGGGCAGAGGGACAGCTTCTGCAGAATATGTCTTCGAAGCCTCTGTAGTTCAAAGCTTGTCGCGTTTAAGCTTTCGATAGCAGTGCTGGAGGTGATCCTTTGTTTGCGCCAAGGTTCATACGAGCCAAGGTCCATAAGATCCAGTGTCTATCGACAGGCGACACTTGGCTGGCAGGTACTAAGAGTTGTAGGACGTCCGCATTCCTGTTATCTGCTCCTTCGCAGGCGACTCGTATCCCAATTGCAGTCCGCGACGGACGATTTTTCATACTTCGCCAAAGTAAAGCGGTCTATTTCCCATCATGGATCCATTAACAACAGCGTACAACACGATCCTCCTCATCAAGGATGCGGTGATGGCAGTTCGCGCAAAAGAGAAAGCATGTGCACGGCTATGTGAGAGAGCGGAGAGAGCCACTATGAGTATGAGGACTTTGGCGGATAGGACAGGAGGATGTTTAGAACCCGGGGCCGCAGCGCAAGCGGAGGCCTTTTGCCAGTGAGTACTGGAAGGTTTTCGAATGTGCAAGCTCCAAAGAGAGAGCGGAATCTCACAAAATCACGTCGCAGGCTGCTCGCAAAGATCCTCAAATACATGAACAAACTCAGCAGCAAATCCTTCCTTCACCGATTCGTCACGCTCCACGTCCTGGACATGGAACTAGACGATCTGCAAGAACAGCTTGAATACATCTCCAACGACCTTCACTTCGCCATCGGACTCGACACCCGCGGCCTCCACGAACAAGACGTTGCCGACCGCAAAGCCGACGCACAAGCCCTTGAAGCTCAGCTCGCAGCCCTTGCAGCAGATCAGCAACGCATGCTCGTCGCATTAGGCGTTCAGAATAAAGACTACCTGGAAGCGTTGGAAGCGATGAAGAAGGCGATGGTTGGGTTGGAGGATACAAGCGTCGAGGCCCGGTTCGCTAAAGCTGCGTATGGCGCGTTGGTGCGGGCGTCGGGAGGGATGGTGCCTGAAGTCAAAGAATGGACAATCACGTCCTATGAAGTTGAGGTGGGCGAGCCGTTTGCCCGCGGAGGGTTCGGAGAGGTTTGTTTGGGGACTTGGAGGGGCTTGACCACCGTTGCTGTCAAACGGCTCCCGTCGGGGTTCGAGAGCAATAAACAGAAGAAGGCGTTTATTGCGGAAGTGGAGGTTTGGTACAAGTTGAGGCACCCGAATATCATGCTCTTGCTTGGCGCGTGTCCGAGTGCGCCGCAGCCTTTCATGATTATGCCGTTTGTAAGTCGTTCTGTCAAAGCGAACATCGCCACTAGTACTGTACACTAAGCAATTTGGGAGCCTAGATGGAAAATGGAACACTACTCTCATACTCTGAGAAGCATCCCGAACAAACCTTGAAACTCCTTCACGAATCCGCCCAAGGCCTTCATTACCTTCACACCAGTAACATCGTTCACGGAGACCTGAAAGCCGTCAACATCCTAGTATGTCAGCGCGACATTCGCATCCCTTCTGTGTACCACCGACTAATCCGGCCCCTTGTAGGTGGACGCAGCGGGCATACCCAAACTGGCAGATTTTGGATTTTCCATCCTGAAGCAGAACGGGAAGAGTACGTTGAAAGCACGGACAATTCAGGGACTTAGCGGCGGAACGGTGCGCTGGAACGCGCCTGAGATCTTGGAGGGTGGGAGAGTAAATTTCCAGTCGGATGTTTATGCTTTTGGAATGGTGAGTCTCTTCGATCCGTTTGCGTATTTCCCAACCACAAGATGATAGATTCATTCCTTGCGTTTCCATTAGGTAATGTGGGAAGTCTTCAGCGGCGGCGAAATCCCCTTCCCCAACATCACCAACGACCTCATCGTCATGTCCAAAGTCGTGGCGGGTCTCCGCCCCGACCGCCCCCTAACCTGCGACGACCTTATCTGGGACCTCATCACCCAATGCTGGACCAACGAACGCGCCCATCGCCCCGCCATGCATTCCGTCGCGAGCACCCTGGCGAGGATCATGGGGCGCAGCAGCCGACGGGAGAGTTTTGGGGCTAGTATGGGTGGGAGTGCAAGGACGTCAGTGATGGGGTTACCGGAGTTTGGATTCCCGGCGGTGACGCCTCGACCGCAGATTGCCCAGGCACCGTCGTTTAGGTTGCAGGGGATTACGGAGGTGGGGCATTCCGCCGTGCCATCGGAATTCGCGGCGGAACCGGAGAGTTATGACCACTCGTTGGCGGCTTCGCATGTAAGGGGCATGCATAGGAGCACGTCGTTTCGCGAGGATATGGGAGCTATGCCGATACAGAGGATGGAGGCGACGCCCAAGAGCGCTTCCTTTCAGAGCTTGCAGGACGCTGTGCATCAGGAACATGAGGAGTTTCCGAGTCCTCATCGACCTGGGTCTGCGTTTGGACCTGCGGCTGTGGCGGGTGTTGGACTGTCACCGAATGCTAGGTTTGAACAGCCAAGTGGTGTGACACCTGCAATGGCGTATGGTAATGTCGGGCAGTTGGGCTACCAAGCACCGATACCGATATCGGGGCATACACCGGAAAGGTCGCGGTCACCGTCTTTCAATAACGTTGATGCGGCGCGACTGGTGGAGAAAGCCGCGCATTTTGTGTATCACAATGCAGACCCAACGCCGGTGAGGCCGACCGCTCCTGGTTGGGAGCATGAACAAGGATACCAGCAGCCGCCACCACCAGCGTACCGTTCGGGCCCATCGGCACACCCTCAGTACGGGATCCCGCAGAGCGCCTCGTTCAGTAATCACACGTATCTACCGTCAAATCCACCCTCAGCTCCGCCACAATCGGACCATGCCGCAAACACGGGAAGTATCGAGCGACCTGAACAGAGAAGGCCACATCCCCCGAGTGTACCCACCTTCCAATACGACTACTCAGAGAGCGGTGAGGTGTTACCCGCGCTGGCTCCTGCGGGGAATATCGAGGCTGATAGGGTTGTTGCGGTGCCACAGAAGGACGCGAAGAATGTGTCTGCGTCGCGGTTACCTGTTCCGGTAAACAAGGCGAATGCGAAAGGAGGGGACGGGCTGTCGGTCTCGCGTGATGTGCTGGACTCGTCAAATCTGGATGAGAGTGAGTTGCAGGAGGCTGGGTTTGCACAGGGGCGCCAAAAACCCAACGGGGCTAGCGAACCGGATCTGAAGGGCAAAGAGAAGAAGAAGGAGAAGAAGAAGATGACCTTGAAGCGCAAATGCTGCATTGGCTTTTCGATCTTCGCCGTGCTTGCTGTGGCCGTGTTTGCGGTCGGGGTCGCGGGCTTCGCGACAGGAAAGGGGTTCTTCTTTTCGAAGACGGCCGCCAAGCTCTTTCAGGAGGCCACTGGGAGTGGTGTGGATGCTAGCGGGACGTCATCTTCATCATCGTCGACGACCTCCGCTGCTCCCGCGGCTGCAACAGCCGCCGACTACACGACAACGTCGGTATGTGCCGGCATGGTTCCCAAATCCGTATACGACGGCACCAACGTCCAGCAATTCCCGCTCGCCTTTCCCAATACCGCACTCGGAAATACGGGTTATCGCAAGGTTTGGGCTTTGTCCTCGCCTTGCGGGGCGCTGGTTACCGTGACGGATACCTCCGACACCAGCGCGAATTACTGGACTACCGTGTCTGTCTACCGCTTCCCGCCCGCTCCTGCCAGCCTGACTTCGCCGACAGCGCAGGCGACCGCACGGCTTTCCAAACTATTGTATATGGTAGATCTGGACAGCACAGCGACGCTGTTAAGCTGGAGTGACCTCAACAGCGTTTTCCAAATCAATCTGTCAACAAATGTGCAGAAAACATACGCACTTAATGTACCGATCAAGCGGATATTGCAGACCCTGGACGACAGCCGTTTTTTCGCGCTCCTCAACAACGGCACCATCGTGGAATGGAAATACGGTGCCGCGGCTCCGACACGGCTGCACGGGCCAGCTACCGTAACCCGTTCGGACAGTCTCAACCCATTCATCACCGCGCTCTCCTACAACGGCGAGTGGCTCGCCTTCTCCCCAACATCAACCACCATCGCGATCGTCGACGTCGCGACAGGCACGGGTTACGCACAGCTCAACCTCACAGGTATCCCACTCGCCTTCACCCGGGACAAAACCACATTGTTCTGGCAGTCCTCACCCACGACCTTCCAACGCTACGACCTCACCTCTCGCACATCAGTCAAGACCTACGCGCCCCCCAACGCCGATTGGACCGATCTCACCTCACAAAGTATCGCTATCACATCCGACAGCAAATATATCTTCACGATCGTCGGTAATCACCCTTCGGGCACGTCGTCGTATACCTATATGGTTGTGCAGTGGAACGCCAACACGGGCGTGTATAAGGTGGTGGATGGGACGAAGGTATCGAGTAGCACGGTCGCGACGGGGATGAGGGTTGAGGTGACGAGTGATGACCGGTATTTGGTGTGGGCGGTTGCGGGGACGGTGGGGGTGGGGAGTTATGATCGGGCTCTGTAGTGTAGGTAGCGGTAGGATTTTGTAGGGGTAGACGGAGAATTAGGGGTAGAGTAATGCAGATGTGCGTCGGGAAGTAGCTTGGAGAAACATCAGTGAATTGATTTGGTGGGGAGTGTTTTTAGTGAACGGCGGGCTGAATGATGTTATGATGCCAACACTCAAGAGACGACTTCAGGCATGGTGCATCGTTTCCCCACGCAGCGCCCATTTTCCACCCGACATATGTACTGTACAGATACGTAGCTGCCTTTCCGGCCACTCCCGTCCGGTTCTGTTTCTCGCCCGTTCACAACTCGGAGAGCGGTATTACATAGTAGGTCTATCGCGCTGTCAAATTCCGTCAGTTACCAACGCGCTCGATAAAAACATACCCGCATCGTCGTGAGCGGTTCCAACGGCATCACTTATTGGTTCTTTGTCTTTGTCGAAAAGCAATATTCGAGCGGCGCATCTTGGTTTATCCACTATGAAGAATATGGCGCCCACCACCACTGATATCCCGGCCGTCAACGACGGGAACCTGAAATCAGCAACCAGCATTGAAAAGCTACCCTGGGAGCTCATCACACCCATCTTCAAGTATGCCAATCAAGCGCCACGCCCCATCACACTCTTGGCCTGCAGAAAGTGATTCACCTGGCTAGTGGAGCTGCTGTATTCCCGAGCCAGCTTCGGTCTCATTAGCAGCGTAGACCAGTTGTTTGCGGCAATCTGCAAGCGTTGAGCGCTTTCGATGGATAAAGGATCTTCAGTCCCGACGGTTACCCTCCGCTCCTCTCTTTCCGACCCCGCATTCAAGGTTATGTCCCCCATCTCCGCCGGCTCCGCCCCACATTCGACTATCATCGCCTCCACGTCGGGTTTTCCGGGCCTTTACCACGCCCGGACTACCTGATACTTGCACCACCTCGCTTAGCCCGCTTGGCCCTCTATCTTTCGGCCCCGCCCTTCCCCCACATAAAACCTTGTATATTGAATTCTTTTAATATATTCCCCCATGACCCCTAACCCTAACCCTAACCCTAGGTCGAGCAAACGCTGATGGAATGATGTCAGTCCCACGTGGTGCAATTCAACCCTCGTTTACGTTGATCAGGGATGATAGACATGCATCCGTGGACGTTCGGCGGTCAGCGCAATTGCGTTCGAAGATATCCTTCGGAGTCTGAGAGGTAGGACGCGTCACAAACTCATAATGGATTCCGTTCGAGGTTGTGC